AAGTCTCTCCAAGTATCTTCAGTTTATTTTGTCTTTCTCATCTCCTAGCGATTACAGTTATTAATTGTGCTGCTGGGCACGCCTTGAAGAATCTCGCCCCATTTCCAGTGCAAATGAGAGCAAATTTCCAGCTCTTAATCGCGAAAGGAATCCAAGGTATTCCCGTTTCCTTGCTTAACATGGCGGAGAAATAATTGCGGCACGATGATGATTCACCCCTATTACAGAACAGCTGGTGACCCTCTGTTTTAGGATCCTTGGGTTTGTCAAGCCCCAAACCGACTCCCTCGCAAAGCTTGAAATTCGCTTCCTGCTTTAGGAGACTGAAGACAATTTCTAGAAATAGGTGTAAGGTAATTTTTTTAATGATTCTGTTTCCCGCAATACTTCTAAGCAGTGCATAACTTCTTGTATTTATTATGAGTGAATGAAAGAGAAATGATGTAGAAGGGTAGCATCACTAGGCTACTCGATCCTCTACTACCTACCTAGGTAGACCTTACCCAACGTTTGAAAATGGTGCCGAGATGAATTCCTAAGCCCGACCATCGAGAATGTATGCGATGATGAAATCTTTTGGCCGTAAGATCAAAGACGTTTCAATTCTACAGACGATCCAGGCTGCTTATTACCTATTTTCTTACAGTTCTTGGTAAGAGTCTTTGCTCATTTATACCACGTTGCGGTTGAAATTGAGGAACCATTCATTGAGATTGGAAAATGTAAAATATCCTGGGGGAGCATCCTGTATCTCAACAGTGTTCAAGACAGTAGGGCCTTCGTTACTTTTGAATTATGTATCTTATTATCCAGCTCCATAGCTTAAAGATTAAAAAGTAACGCTACTATTGTAAGCAGAACATCCGCCCAACCCTCATTTGGAACATGGCGGACTTTTAGGGGTCTCAAGTTCCAGCGAAGCGTCCCGTGGAGGAGACGCCTTGGAATGATGATGAAACTGGCCTCCGACACCATGTATGTCAATCGGGAAGCCTCCACTATTGGGTTGTTGGATCGATGGCACATCTAATATCGGGCATTGCTTCTTATCAAACGTGCTGGGTTGAGCTGTGGTAGTGGTAGGTGGTAATTTCTGTAGGAGATGCTCTAGCTCTGCTTGTTGTTGTATTGTGTGCGATGTACTCTGTTTTGGCAATGCCGAGGGGTTTTGGAGTAAAGTGAATGGTTCATCAGCGGTAGACTGAGATAACCAATACCCAAGCTGAAAATTGTCTGGGTATCTGTTGGATGACTCTTTGGTGTGTGGTTTGTGGGACATGCTGGGACGCGTGGGTGCTAACTAAAGTCGAGGAGGGAGTAAGGGGTTTGAAGCACGCCAGTAACATTGAGCTGAGAAAAGAATAAATGATGAGAATAAGAAAGAATTAGTGCGAAAGCGAAAGTGACCCCAGCATGCTCGGGCATGACCTATATTTATATTTTCACCAGCTGTAAAAACAAAAGAGGCGACACCTCGAAAGATTGGAAAAGGCAGATTGGAATAGTATTGGCATGCTTCGCAAACGGGAGAGGTCCTGCTGCCACTCCACACCCACCCCGTCGACAAGGGTGCACGGCAGAGACATTTGCCCATTGGTCGTCACCAGGCGAGCCCAATCCAAAATACATAGACACTTGCATGAAGAAAGATGCAAGATGCAAAAGATTGGCTTAGCTTCAGCTAGAGGCCGCCATACCCCCCACCTGCTGTGTCTTTGCGCCGGCGAATGAACGTGCCGGGGGAACGGCGAAAGATGGGGACCAGCACGCGTTGCAGCAGGCGCCAACGCTGGGAGGCGGCAAAGAAAAATCACAAAGTTGCCATGCGAGACAGATCTTCGAGGAATCTCTTGGCGGGGACCCCCTCGAACATTGCAGGTAATCAGACAAGGATGTGCGCCACGTTGGCCGCTGCCTGCCTTGCCGTTCCTTCGTCATCATCACCACCAGTCCTCTGATTGCCGCAAGAGCTGCGATTCTAGTCTTGAACTTGAACTTGCTCTTCTAGTATACGTATTTGTTTCATATTGTGAGAAATTGAGAAGCAACAGTCATCTCTCCAGAATGCTATCCAGACGAGATTAGGCATTGGTGCCCTGCAGGTAACTTAAAGGTAGTCTGGCAAGGTCTCACTTCACTTCCAGCAGCTGAGCCCCGGACATAATTCTGTTAGATTTCCTTTTCACATGTTGGTCCCCCCGCCCCCTGCCTGCTGGCATGCCCCTACTGCCCCGTGCCCACTCCCTGGTACCCTGTAGGCTACTGAGCACAGACAATTCTTACTCGTAGGAGCCGACAGAGCAAGGCAATATTACTACCTACCTGTATGTAAGAAATACGAAATGGGCACCAGGGGGCTAGGGTGCCGGGGGACATTGGATGGAGGCGGAGTAAGTGATGATCCCACTCGCCATAGCCGAAGAAGAAGTGATGGGGACCAATCAAAGCTAGCCTATGCTGTTCCGTCCTGCAAGGTTCCTGGGACAGGGGGTCCCGGAATAAAATGGGTGTGCTCAAGCGGGCTAACAAATGCTGCCTTGGACACTTCATTTTGCCCAAACCTCAATATGGTCCCATAGTTGCAACATCAGCATTGCCTTGCCCAGAACTCCTTTCCTTCATGGTCTCCGACAGAGCTTCCTACGCATATCCACATACCCAGCCCCTCACATCCCTTCTGTTCTCTCGGCCATCCCAGCGGCTCTGAGACGGGTATGGGCAGTGTCCTGAAGGCTGTTAGATGCTGGCCAGAGATGCTATGGGAGGGGCCCGGATAAGGTACGTACTTCTTTCTGCCAGAATCGGCTGGCTCACACTGTCATTTTGGTACTTGGCTCCGGTCAAGAAATCAGGTGCCTTGCCCCCTTCAACCCAATCCACAAGAGCGAGGAGGGCGTGGTTCGCGGCATCCAACCTCTTGCTGTCCAGCGGGTACACTTGGCCAATGTTCCATGCTCCCGGCCCAGCGCTGCAGTGATCCATGCCAGGAACCAAAAAGAGTCGGTAGAAGGATTGCATCTCTTCCAGAGATAGCCCGACTGCTGCTTGCACCCCTTTGTAGAACTCCATTGATAGGAGGGGGGTCACTGTTGTATCAACAAGCCCGTGGTAGGCCAAGACCTTGCCGCCACGCTGGTGGAATCTCGAAAGGTCTCTGCTGTTGCTGTTCACCCCTCCAGGATTGATGGACAAGGCGTAATCTAGATCTGAGAGGGTGAAGTTGTTTTCGTTCCAGTCCGAGTTGTTGTATACAGCACCACGCCAGAAATCCTGCATGCGAGTTAGCAAGTCAGATTATCAAGTTCATGTTGCTGGAAACCTACTCTGACAAGTGAGTAGTTAAGAATCGGCTTTCCATCCTTCTGATTGTTAGAAAAGACACCTGTGGATGCACCGATAATAAATGGGGGGTAGATGATCTCCCCATCTCCGTTTGTCAAAGGCTGGTAGGCCTCCTCAACCGACTGAACTTGGTCAGGATGAAGACACAAGTCTTGCCCCAAGGCTCCAGTCCCACAGGCTAGTAATGCCGGATCAAAGCGGATATTCTGCGGAGCGTCAATAATACCGTCCTTCTCACCGTCTAACTCATCGAAGAGCTCTATCTGCTTGGCCACAATCGCCTGCCATTGCTCCGGCCGGACATAGGCGCTGGAGTTGAGGTCTGGCCAACCAATCCGCCGTGCAAGGATTGCCTTTGAGGCGACAATCTTGAGCCAGTCAACCCCCGGGGCACCCGCGAGAATGCCATCAAAGTCATCTTGGTACATGGCGGCCTCTTGCAGGGCTTGCCTACCACCTGTGCTGCAGCCATCGTAGTAGCTCTTGGAAACCTCCCGCCCGTAGAACAGCGCCGTGATTTTCTTGCCAACCGCGGCCTCAACGTGGATTGCCCTGTGGCCGAAATCATTGATCACCTCGGGTTGGTTGAGGAAGAAATCGTGGCCGGATGAACCATCATGACCGGCGTTGGTGCCAAAGGCAGCAAACCCGAGCTGTGCGCCACTCTGGAGGCGGGAGTAGTCAACGCAACCCCCAGTACCGCCTGTACCAGTGGCAAGTAATCGACTGTTCCAGTTGTCTGGGAGCCATGCCTCTATGCGTATTGAGCTGGAGTTGGAAGTGCGGACATTGGCTACCAGGCGACAGATGTCAGCGCTCACGGTTATGTTTTTGTCTGGTCCTCCACACGAGGGAACAAGGTCCGGCAGACGTAAGATGCTGCTGCCTTTGAGAGTCTCAACTGTTGAGATTTCCACGCCACTGAGGGAAGAAAATGTAGACGTGGTACACCGAGTTGTCGTGTCAAAGGCAAGTGACGATGTGGCGGCCAAGAGAGGTAGAAGAAGGCCGGTAATTATTGATGGAGCCATAATGTGAATTCACAATAGAGCTTGGCTGCTACTCTTGGATCACAAATCGCAGCGGGTAGCTCAGAGGCTTATATAACTTTCATTTAGCCGAGTATCTCAAGGCCCCAGCGCGGATGCAGTTGCTAATCATGCCTTTCCCCGGCGTTATTCCCAGATCTACATGGGGCAGGATGGAGTTTTAGTTGCCAAAACCTGGGGATTCCCCAGATGCTCCCCACCACCGCGCTCGACTAATTCGGAGTGCTGATTTCTGATTGGTACATACCAGGCTGCAGATGAGCGATGTTGCAACGTGAAGTGGAAATTGTAACGGTAAAGTCGGCGCGGCGTCGGACGCCGAGGCCGAGCAAGTATCGTAAAGAGGCGAAGACCCTCTCTTCGTCCTCCGTCCTACGTTGGCTAAGCTAACTGATCCCTGTTCGCCGATTTCAAAATTGGTCAACATGGCTCATTGTAGTGGAATCAGCTCGTTTCCCTACCCCAATTCCAATAGATACAATTCGAAGCATCCAAGAGTTCTACACCTTATGCTTTATTCCCCCTGCCTTGAAGACAATGATTTCCCAAGAAATTATATGATGTGATAGAGCCGCAGAATTGCTCGAGAACATCAAACAAAGCTGAAAATTAATCGATATATGGCCAGCCGTCCAAAAAGGTTGCCAAACCCTGACTGATTGAACACATAATGACGGTTCCATGGTCCTCTCCGTCATACACTTTGCACGTCAGATACTTCATCTTACCAGAGTCCCGGAGCCGTGTGTTCATTCCCAACACGGAGTCTACATCTTTGTGCTTCTGATATTGCTCCCGTCGTTTCTCATATTCGTCATCCGTCTCATCTCGTTTTCGCCGCGGATTCTGCTCTGCTCCACCAACGTATAACATCAGTGATGGTGGAGAGGTGCATTCGACTCTTCTAGAGCGAAATGATGCTTCCTCCTCCAGAATGAATCCATTGTTCCAGGAAATACTGGTGCTAGAAGCAATGTAACTATCAAACATCCAAGGCCTTGTAAACATGACGTGCAAAGTAAACAGCCCACCGTGAGAATGCCCGTATAAACATTGCGCTCCTGGGTCAACCCCGCGAATCTCCTTGATCCGCTGGTGCACAAGTGGCTTCACTCGGCTCTGGATGAATTTGGCGAAATCATCTGCACCGCCCTCATCAGGGAGACACCCTGGGGATGGGGGCGTTAAGTCCCAATTTCTCCTAGCACTCCACAAGAAATTCGAGTCGGGTTGGAGCAGGTAGCCAATGGCCACAATGACTCCAGCAGATGTGCCGAACTCGGACAGGACTAGATGTTGATGGAGTCTCTCCAGGGAAGACGAAAAAACGGAGTTCCCATCAGTGAGGTACCTGGTGAATGGTGAGAAAAGCGCGCAAACCCGGCATATGTGGCGCGGGGGTCAAATCTTACATGATTGGAACGCTTCGTTCCTTCGGCTTGCTTTGAGGATTCAGCCAGTCTCGGGGGAAACCGATTTGAACAAGGTATTCCAAGCCCTGTGCGCTTGTAATTAACCATGATTCAGCTGGCCGCACTGTTGAGGTCTGGATGCATTTGATTTGCATATTTGGGTGTATTGCGATAGATAGGGAAAGTGAATAGTGCACATTGAAGAAATGAGGTCCCATGATCCAGCAAGATAAGCAGCTGATTGATAAGATAATCTGTTTGCGTCGGAGCCGACTCCAGCCGGGGACCGCTTTCGTTCTTGGCGAACGCTTTCAGATATGAAACCCGATTGAATAACTGCCCTATTGGGTTGAAGCATTCCGTCGGTCTTTCGGCTTAATTCTAATTATTACCGCTCAAATCGTAGTCTTCTGTTAAATGATACTACTAACTCGCCGTAGTCCGCGATGCCTCATTTGTAAATACCTACTCTATCAACGCCAGGTGTATTATTCTCATCCGCCTCCAACATCCTTGAATAAATAGTAAGCTAACACTTTAAGCAAGATTCAAAGTAACCAAAACGGCCATCTTGATAATTTTTGTGAGAGTTGTCACTAGCACTGCGCAAACGCTAGGCAGATTAGGGACTGGCATGACACACAACTGCTACCTCACGATGTTTCGGTATTCAGGAAGTATCAATAAGGGTTCTTTTGAGTAGATAGTCCAATTTGAGTACTGATAAATGCCCGTTCATAGCTCAAACCAAGACTGAGCGTTTCCCATCAAGTATAAGTCTATCTATCATACCGTCAGTTGCGTGTATTGAAGCCCTCATCAACCATTTGAATTGCTCTCTTGGTAGCTTCGTCGATGCTCTCCTTGGGTAGACCAAGTGCCTCATTAGCAAGCGTCTCTGTGGCCTCAAAGTTCGCGTCCCCGTTAGGATAGAAGCCTCGTGCGTACAAGGCTGTCACAAATCCAAGACGGCTCCCTGACTTCAAGATGTCCAATCCTCTCTGATAACGAACATCAGAAGGTTCATGTTCGATTTTCCAGTCCTTATCAGTTAATCCCTGGACACGGTTCACGCTGTCCAACATGTCTCTCTGTGAAATCTGGAAGCTGGAGATGAACATTGGCTTGTTTCGCCATCGAGAGATAGAGGGAGAGTTATCGTTCTCATCATCGGGCAGCTCATTAAGGCTAAGAAGGTTTGCAACAGCGCGACCGCACTGCTCCCAAGTGCTTGTGTTGATAACTGTGTTTCCATCGTCGGAGAATTCGACCTTTTTGTTTGCAAAGTCGAACCCATACCACGGCGGGCCCATAGCAAGCGAAAATTCGTACCAGAAGCCGCAAACGAGGAGTACCCAGGATGAGACACCACCATCTTCAACAGCTTTAATCCCTGATTTAGCAACAGGGCCAATCATTGCCTCCTTGGCGAGTCGCTCATTGAAAGCATTAATTCCATATCCATTAGGCATTACCCACGGAACACCCGCTTTAGCCGCTGCAGTGAGGATTTTCTCCTGAGACCCCCGTGGAGCAGTGGCAGCCACTGACACAATCAAGAATTGCTGGCCTCTGAGCGCGGAGATTACAGACTCCTCATCGTCGTAGTTTACTCGGACGACCTTAACGCCAACTGGGACTTTGCTGTCACTACCTTCTCGAGAAAGGACGGTGATTTCGTGCTTTCCCTTCGCGATCAGAGCTTCTGTAATATGTTTTCCGATCCTTCCTCCAGCCTGTCGTGTTGTAGTATTAGTAAGTCACTCAGACCACACTGTTCCAATATCACTTACGCCAACAATAGCAACTCGCTCGATGCGGTTGGTGAAGCCAGAAGGCTGGTCCTTGGCATACTTTAGCTGTTCCATTTTTTTTCTGAGAGTGTCTCGCTGAAAGAGGAGATGGAATAGTAGAATTCAGCAAAGTGTGAAACTATGTTGATTGGTTTCAGAATCGACGATAATGCAAAGGCTATTCAATGAAGTAAATACTGCATTTATATACACCAAAAGCAACACAGATATCGCAGTCCGTCTATCAGACTTCGTGTACCAAATCGTCTCGAGAAAAGTCACTCGGAGTTAAGCCGGGATAGCTGTAGTTAATTCCTCGAAAGCCTAAACCCGCAGTTGCTAAATACGTACTGACCACAGCATTGTTCCAAAATGGATCTTCCTGGACACTAGTCTTGATCTTAAATTGAAATAGGCGTTTTCAAATGTCCGAAGAGAGAAGAGAGATACCCGACGCCGATCGTATTCATCACCTCAGATCATGATTCATCGAGGCTCCCACGGGCAACTCTAGTTGAGCCGCACTTTTCTGTTTCCCGATCTCCAGTAATTTTGAATAATTCACATAATAGTGTTTCTTCGCTTGTGTCTTATCTCCATAGTCATGCACACCGCTAGCGAAAGATTACGAAGGTCAATGCCGCTCCAAAAAAGCGTGGGAATAGGCATGTCCACAGGTGGAAATTGATAGCACTACCGATTCTTATTGCAGCTTTCAATAATGAAAGAAGGCAATTGCTTTGTACAAGAATTAGTCATGCGAGATGTCTCTCAACATCACTCACTTTTTGCCCCTAGCAGTTGCAAAAATTATACTGGTCTATTGCAAACAGTCAGTAGCGCCTCATGCCAAACCTCTCGAGAGCATAGCTTGCCTTTACTACACGCCGGGTTTCTAATCTTCTCAGTATTCTCCATTCCAGTCTCAGCCTTGAAATATTTGATGCAATCATCGCAGGTTTTACACACCGTGCCGTCCTCTGCAGGACACTTCAAAAGACAAGCGGGGCTTCTTCTACCCTCGAACATACAACCTGTGGAGCACACCATTCCCTTGTCTTATACAGCTGCCATGAAAACCGCCGAGGCAATGTGGGTTATTTTTGGGAGTGAGGGGATTTCGGGAAGTCGATTTCTTGTTCTTATTTTTGTTTGTCTTTTTGTCCCTTTTTGATGCCTTCTTCCGTTGCTTCTTAAGTGAGTTCTTCTTTAAGGGCTTCTTCGATGATTTCTTTGGGGATATTTTGCCGTTTCTAAAACAGAGCAATATCGCTTGATGGTGGCAATGTCAATAGTAAGCAACAACGGTTTTAAACCGTTGCTACATACCGGCGAACCAAACAATATGTAGTGAGCAAGACGGTAGATTATTCTGTTTTAGACCAGATTAATCAAACAAACCAACATGAGCTGTGTCAAAATCCTCGTGTATCCAGAATCAAAACCCCGAACCAAAATTTGTTCGTATAGATATTATGGTAGTAAGCAGATTATGTCCCAAGACTACGGCTACAGACGGTGGTTCAAGAAAATATTGGATTAGCCTCACCCCACTCCGAAGGTTACCATCTTCACACAAACCCCGCATCCCGCGTTCACGACGAGGATGAGACTTCTCAACACAACAACCCTAGAAATACAGGAGTTCGGTCATATTATCCCGCATTAGGCTATCCTTAGCCACACTTGGGAGAAGGACGAGGTCCTCTTTCACGACATGATCAATGGAACGGCCCACAAAAAGGCAGGATATAGCAAAGTTTTGGGCTGTTGTCGTCTCGCGAAGGAGAGAGGCTTGAAATGGATATGGATAGACACCCTATGTATCGATAAGACGAGTTCCTCAGAACTCTCCGAGGCCATCAACTCCATGTACAGGTGGTACGAGGGGTCTACAATATGTTTCGTCTATCTTTGGGATGTTTACGACAAGCCTGACCACGCAAGTCTTTCCCGGTGGCCGGTGAGAACGTCCGATGTCCGTCGAAGTCGGTGGTTTACCAGAGGGTGGACTCTGCAGGAGCTGATTGCGCCGAGGTATATCGAGTTCTACACGTTCGACTGGGTGGAGCTAGGCACGAAGAGGAGCCTGGAGAAACAGATATCTGAACGGACAGGCATCCCGCAGCGGGTTCTCCGCGGAGGAACCCCGCTAGTACACAATGTTGCTGAGCGGATGTCCTGGGCGTCCAAGCGGGTGGCAACAAGGGATGAGGATATGGCATATTGTCTGATGGGACTTTTTGGTGTGCATATGCCGCTACTTTATGGGGAAGGCAGCAAGGCTTTTCTCAGACTGCAAGAACAGATCTTGAAGCAAGAAGACGACTACACGATCTTTATGTGGTTCCAGTCACAAGATTCTACAACATATCGCCATTCTCCGCTCCGGGGGGCTTGGTGCTCATCCCCGGCAGATTTTCCAAGATTGAGCGAACCCGATAAAGTTTCCAGCAAAGAAATATCAGTTACACCGCCATCGCCACAGAGTGCCATTATAGAAAGGTTGGATGCTTGTTTCAAATGGAATGTTACTCGTCGCTGACATGGTCCGTTTAGGCTATCCCGGAAATTTCCTGAGCACATTTTTGAAGCGATCTGTAGTTTAGACTACTCAACGGTCTACCAAGTCCCGACTCACGAGATTGAGCGATGCTTTGGGGTTTACGAGCCTCCAATTCTTGCCAGCCGTGGGATACAAATAAGCCTCCCGCTGATGGAAATAGAGGACATTGGTACAGGTGATAGCACGTTGATACGGTATGAAGAGTGTTCTGGATCTCTCTGGCTAGCTTGGACTTGCTGTAAGATCGACGATCACCTCCTGTGCTTGGTTCTGGACTCCTCCAGGGCTCATTGTCGGCTGGATTCTAGGGCTGTTCCCCACTGCCTGGTCAGTGTTGACGAGTCACTCGAGAAGGATTTCACAATGAGCCGATTCGAACTACGTCCCAGTGGCTCAATTCAATTGAGACAAGACCTTGAATTTGCTCGGAATCCTCAGTTCACGTCTTTCAATGTCGAGTCGAAGACAGACCACATAAGCATTGATATTAGCCACCCAATACCTGCGGCGGGATTTCACGTGTTCCCTAAGAACGAGGACTTCATTCTGGTTCTAGGGTGCAGTTATTCTCTGGGCCGAGAGAAGACATACTTCCTAATATCTTGCGGGGTGAGCGATGGGCAGCATTGGTGTAAGTTTGATGAAGAATCCACCAGCCGTCTTACGACAATTCATCAGCGATATGATGACCTTCACAGCCAATCAAAGGCATACTTTTTGCAATTCTCGGACCGCGCAGCCGTAGCGTCAACTTCTAAAATCTATGGCTTGATATTGACCGCGGCGATGAGGAGAGCATCAGCCCACACGTACCAACTTGACATTGGCTCATGCAAGGTGGGAGAGGAGACGGCCTGGGTGAAGTTGTGCTTGTCTGGGGATTTAGTACATGCCTGACGACAAGAAAGCTGATAATTTTAAGAATATTAATAATAAGTCTTGCAAAGATATAAATCCATTCTTCATATGTAACGCTCTGAATATCGTCACTGCTTGATCAGAGATGCTCAATCGCACAGGTAGTCTAGCCACGAGAATATGGGCCAGCCCCAATTTCAAAGGTATATATACTATAGTTTTTGTTCCCCTGCCACAACCTGGTCTTCCATCCACGAGGCGCTTAGCGTCCCACGGTTCCGTGGTCTAACGGTCATGACTACAGGTTCTGATCCTGTCAGCGAGGGTTCGACTCCCTCCGGGACCTACTTTTTGACTTTTTTTTCTCTCTGCTTTTTTGTCTCACTTCGCCCCATTGTGACCAGCACGAAAACGACAAACTACGACTTTTGAGTTCTACCCAGGAAAAACTAATTCCCTTTCAGCACACGCGTCGCACGTACATTTGAAAACATTCACGCCAACATCCTCCTTCCCGTGAATCTAGGTCATATCGCAACGTACACTGTCGTTTCACAGCCTCTGTCAGCGGGATGATGCTCAAGGCCACTGAGACACAACCAAGTCAGTCCGCACAACATTCCTAGACTCACCCGCAAGAACTTGGGCGCATCGAGCTGAGCATGGTGGCTGACGACGCAGCCATCTCCCAGCGTATTGGGCATGGCGGTCAGCGGTGTCAGCTGTCCCCCGAGCCAATGACACCGAGATTCCAGCCGTCTCGACCCCAAGTTAGAGTCTCGACCGCTCAATAGCCCGCTGGTATAAGCAGCTACGCTCAGTGGCTGGAAGTTCTTCTGTCGCATTTGGCTTAGGACCTTGTGATATCACACTCAGCTCGGCGTCGTGGCTCACGCGGCACGTACAATAGCGGTGCAATCCCATTCAATAGCCAGCCCTTTTGTGAGAATGCAGCTTATGAGTACAATGCCGTAACGGTGAGACAAAATGATGTACGTGTGCTTTATTCGTGGCTGAGAAGGTATAAAGTAAGCCCCCAGCTGCGACAGCCCTGCCCGGACTGCTCCAGCTCCTCATCCAACAATAGGATATATTCAATTCGATTTCTTCTCAATCCATAGCTAAAGGTCACGCACATCGCCATCATGCCTCTCAAAGACTACGGAGTGTGGAAGGCAACACCCACAAGCTTCACTGTCGAGAGGTCAGACAAGGATCCTGTCAGCCCTCATGGACACTTGACGTTCAAGGACGGTGTGAGCTCCAAGAAGCTCTCGTCCGCCATCAACGTCAAATCAATCTCTTCAGACTCACGGCTCGTATACTGGCTCATCCAGGACTTCAAGCACCCCCTCACGGCGAAGCTCAAGTCCCTGTCGCCTGGTTTCCACAGGCTCACAAAAGACCAACGTGACATTGCGCTGGATATCCTGCGCTCCAATGTCGTCAACGTCCAGGACGGCAGTGTCGTGCCCCATGACCTGCCCGGTGACAAGAACGACATTGTTGATTTCATCCAGCCCTTTTTTGACAATGCGATCAACAAAAAGGCCACTGTGTACATCTATGGTGAGCAGTATTCCGGCAAGGACGGTCTGCATGATGTGCATATGAACCAAGGCAGTGATGGCAAGTTCCGGAGCTCCAATGGCGTATACCAAGACGGTAGCGTCATTGTGGAATTTGCCGACGGCCACTGGGAGGCTTTCTTCATCGCCTTTGCTTCTCAGACCGCGGAAACAGATGACAAAGGCCAACCAAAGGGGCCCAGTTTGGGTGAATTGCTGGGGAAAAAGGCTCAGCCCGGTGGAGGCAATGACAACCCTGATGAGGGTGATAAAGAGCCAGGTGATGGTGGTGAGGGACCCAGCCGACCATCCGACGCTGTTGTTGCTATCGCAGCCGCCCTTGTCAACCCAGACGGCCCGGATGGTGGTGAGAATCCAGAAATCGTTTACGTAGTCAACAATGGGCCGTCCTCGGTTTCTCTGAAGGGGTGGACGATTGAGAACCAGATGGGGAACTCTTTTGCCATACCTGCTTCATCCGTTCTCAAGGTTCAAGGCGATAAGGAGGGGTTCAATGTGAAGGGGGTCCCGCTGTCAAATAAAGGAGGATCAATCATCTTGAAGAACGCGGAGAAGCAGGTAGTCGACAAAGTCTCGTACACCAAGACACAGGCATCTCAGTCGGGCGCTTTGGTCTACTTTCGATGAGTCCTTTAAGCAAGAAGGGCGATGAATAGATTTTGCTTAAATAGCTTCATGGTAGAACTGATTCCTAGTGTCCAATGGCTAAAGTATGTTGCATGTACTCCCCATACTAGCCAAGAACTAGAATGCCAACACTTGTACGATGCTCCTAAACCTTAGCCTAAAACAAAAATGTGAGACATAAAAACATTCAATATATGAAGCACTGTGCCTCGTTGTAGTCACAAATCCAGTGTCGTCATCACACTTGGATCAATCAACTGATGTCACAAGACAGCTACGTCACATGCATGTCGACACTCTAGACCTTCCATTGACCGGTAATTATTCAAATTATTTATCGAGATCGCAGGCTATGAGAAATACGTAACATTATACTATGCCGGGATACTCCCAATGCGGACCAATGGACTGTGACGTATCGTCCTATACCAGAACCGACCAGCTTCAAAACCCAACACATCTTCAGATTAAAATTCCTAATATATGAAAAGAGACAAGACATTACATCTTTAAATGAGGGACACAGGAGTGCTAAGCTTCAGCGTAACTGGGGAACCGCTGAGAGTCACCCACTGGATGGGGGGTTCAGCACCAACAACATCCGCCGTGGCAGAACCACCAGAGGCTGTGACGGCTCCGGAGGGAATGGTGACGGGGACGGGAACAGAGCATGTGTTCCCATCGGCGGTGACGACGACGGACTCGATGGAGTTTCCGTCAGTGGAGCGGATGTATGACATCTTGGGGTTACAGCCGTCGAGGGCCATGCGATCGGTGAAGTAGACGGCAAGGTCCTTCTGTGTGATGGTCTTGAGGGGCCAGTTGGTAAGCCGGAGGAACTCCTGGGTGACGACCTCGGTCCAGATCATGACGAGGGACATCTTGCGGGTCTGGTCGCCGATGGTGCGCGAGATAACGCCCTCCTGGTACATGTTGGCCTGGTGGAACATGTAGGGGTCGGCCTGGAGGGCGAGCAGGTTGCGGACGTTGGACTCCTTCTCCAGGGCGAGGAGGTCGTCGAAGGTGCCGGTCACGCTGGAGGTGACTGTCCACTCGTAGGTGGTGCACTCGGCGGTGTGGCAGTTGTAGTAGATGCGGCTGGAATAACGGGGGATAACAGTCACACCGTCGTATCCGTTGATAGCCTTGGATGTGATGTATGGCCAGTAGGGGTGGCCGGTGTTGCGGGTCTGAGGGCGAGTGTTATCGCCGACGACCTGAACGATACCGTTCTCAACCCAAGCTTGGAGAGCATCACCGTTATACAGACCGGTAATAGCAGGTGGAATAATACCATTGTCGCTATATCGGGTAGCCTTGTCGATGCCGAGCTGCTTGAGCCAAGCCTGGTTGAACTGAATCTCACGCTTGGCGTCGGCATAGGTGGCGTTATTCAAGTTCATGTGAGAGAAAGTGTGGGAGATATGACCGAACTGGTTGAGGTTGTTGGCGTCCAGGAACCAGGAGGCGAAAGCATCGCGCTTGGCGCAGGTCAAGGTCCAGGGGTACTCGGTCCACGAGTTGGGCCACAGGTCCTCGCCGCTACCAATGGGCTTAACCCACTCGTGAGGAGCCTCAACATCCTGGTCGTAGTCAACAGCCTCGTTGGGATCACAGACCGAGGCGGAGGCATCAGTTCCAGTAGCATCGATGAAGTCGCCGTTTCCGTTATGTCCCAACTCGAGCCAGTAGTCAGACCCAGAGGGCATGCGGGCGTTGATGTTATTCTGCCAGTCGATATGGGCCTCGAGGTCGGCGATGCTAATCTTGAGGTCTCCGTAGGTAGTAGGGTAGTACATTTCAGTAGAGAGCTGAATGTCGTCAATTTGGGTGCTCAGGTGAATCTTGCGCTTGCCCTGGAAGATACCACGGGTCATCCAGTGAATGTGAGCGTGCTGCAGATACGCACAAGTCAGGGACCAAGAGGGATCCCAGGCCATGTACCAGGCCCAAACCTCGACACCGTCGGCGGTGTTGATGACGGCGGCGGTAGAGCCATCAGAGAACTGGGCCACCTCCTTAGTGAGGGTGGCGTCGGTAATGGTAGCAGGTACGGCATACAGGCCAGTGAGAGAAACGGCAGCGTTACTAGAAACGAAATATCATTGTTAGCAAGAAACGTACACGGCTTCCATCAATGGACAATGAGGAACTCTTACGCCTTAAGATTGGCAGTAGGGAAGAAGCTGAGATCAGTAAGAGAAACAGTGGTAACAGTGCCGGTCTTGGCGGTAGTACCAGTTGTAGCACCAGGGTACTCGTTGATACGGACCAGACGAATGTTAAAGTCGGCCTGATAACTCTTGATCTGGGCCCACTGCTCAGTGGTCACAGCACTGCTCCAGCCGGCAGTGCCATAGTCATAGGAGACAGCGTCCATGACAATGATGGCGCCATAATTGGCGTGGGTAGCAGTGGAGTTGAGCACGGGGAGCGTGGCACCGGTGGAGGGAACGATCCAGTTGACCCAAGAGATACCATATGCGAGAAGACCATCGCTGGCCTGCTTGGCCTCGGTCTCTCGGCGGGCAATAATCAGAACGGTGCTGTCCACAGTCTGGACTGGCAAGCTGGAGCTGACAGGAGTGCTCGAGGGAGTAGTCGTCGAGGCAGGTGCGCTGCTGGATGACAGAGGAGTGGTCGAGGAAATAGGGGTGGTCGAGGACTCAAGCGAGGACGAAGACACGGGAGTCGAGACGGGAGTGACAGCAGATGAGCTCGGTGTGCTTGAAGCAACAGAACTAGAGACGGGAGTGGTCGACTCAGCAGTGCTGGACACCGGGGTGCTTGAAGCAGCAGAGCTGGATACGGGGGTAGTCGACTGAACAGCGCTGGAAGCGGGTGTGGTCGACTCAACAGAGCTGGATGCCGGAGTGGTTGAATCGGCAGAGCTGGAGATAGGTGTGCTGGAAGCAGCAGAGCTGGAAGCGGGAGTCTCTGAGGAAACAGGAGTGGTTGATTCAACGGAGCTCGAGGCAGGTGTGCTCGAAGCAGCTGAGGTGGAGGCGGGAGTTTCAGAGGAGACTGGAGTTGTTGACTCTGCAGAGCTTGAAGCAGGTGTGCTGGACGCAGCAGAACTAGAGATAGGGGTCTCGGAGGAGATGGGGGTGGTTGACTCAATGGCGCTCGAGGCAGGAGTCTCTGAGGAGACGGGAGTGACAGTGGAAGAAGCAACGCTGGAAACAGGAGTGCTAGATACCTCAGTTCCGGAAGAAACGGGGGTAGCAGAAGACACAGGAGTATCAGTAGAAGCAGCAGTGCTTGAAGCAGGAATATCTGAAGAGGCAGGAGTCTGGGAAGAGATAGGGGTGGTTGAGGAGATCAAGATGGAAGATTCGGGAGTGCTCTCAGCCGAGATGGGGGTGCTGGCCGGGATGCTAGACTCAGGTGTACCGGACGACCCTGGAGTACTAGAACTAGCGATCTCAGAGGTGGACTGGGCGGGAGAAGTCGAGGTGGGAGTAGCCAAGGCTGAGGTAGGACGAGGACGACACGACCTTTTGGCATCACCGACGCTCAGCATGCCGAGCGCGGCGACGGCGATGGTGAGATAACGCATCGCGAAAGGGGTTAACTTCGGAATTAACTGTAATTAGAGCGAGTGACTGTAGCGACCGGACTGAATAACAGCTGAAAGCGAATGTAAGGTGCAGCAATGGCTCTAACGAGGCGGCCAAAGTCATACGCAAACGAAAGGGTTCTGAACGATTGATGACCCTGAGCACAACGGCAACGACAATCGCAACTACAAAGAAGGACGTAGAAAGTAAACCCGCGGCGATAATCTCGCTGGAGACACACACATCTTATTACGAGCCATATCTCCTCCTCCCCTACCACACCACTACCCAGGCACACCAGCTCTGACTGGTAAGCTGGGTCGGCTGGCTCGTTGGTGATGTCCGTATACGGGTTTCCTGTTAGTCTCGTCTCCAATATCCACTCGGCAAACCGGCACACTTAGTTGTCACAGGTTGTGTGTCGTCGACCAACCGGGACGTCGAGCGAGGGAATGGAGTGTGGGGGCAAAATAAAGATATTTCCGCTCAGCACTCCCGCGGTGCCCGGGAGGGATTTTACCTCTGTTTAGCTCTGCTATTCCCTGCCCTTTCCATCGAGAAATCGAAATGTTTAATCCATCGAAACCCTCATCGAGGGAGATCGACAGCCGTGTCTTGGACACTCGATTCCAGAAGGCCAAGAGACCTCGCTGTCTCTTGGCTGCTGTGCCCAGAAATGTCACTCATCAGCCCCCTACGCGGTGGCGTCTAACGCTCTCTGGGGCCGAACGCCCAATATTAACCATAAACCCATTTTTCTGCCTGTGCTACATGTGTGCGTACGTTTCTTGGCAGGGGGCGTCTGGGAGACATAGAAATAAACATAAAATAAGGGGTCGGCGTTTGGTGGACAGGCGACTATTGCCTTTAGCCTGCGACGGCGTCTTCTGGCCATGCAGCGCCCCTGCAGGCCCAATGGCAGCTCTCACATTTATTCAGTCAGAGACCCCTCCCCTGTAATATCGAATGCAAACCCGCTCGTGTTCTGCCAGCTCACTGACTCTGTGCAGCTGCGTGGGCAATACGAGCACCGGTGGGCGCACTTCTGCATACTCGCCCTGCATCTGTCGCTTTCAGCTGTGAGCGAAAAGGAAAGGCCGTTCTTCACCGTCTCCAAGACCACTCATCAACATTAGGTGCTATGTAATTAACACGACCGTTGGTGCTGTCGCGTGAAGCTGAAATGATGGCCGCACACCACGACCCCTTCAGCCAGCCGCACTACTCGCTTAGACTCCATCTAAAACCAATAGCGTAGGTGTGGCGAGCGGCTGCAGGAACACACATCTCGTGTGTTCGTTAGGCTTATGGGTCTTGTCAGGCACCGTCCGAAGGGTTTTTTCTTCACCTCGCCTTGATGATCAGCTCACCACAGGCAAAGCGGAGATGGCGGGCGTTTGTTCGGCCTCTCTGAACCCAGGATTTGACGAGAGAACCACAAAAGAGCACCGCTAGAACGAACTGCGGCTGAGAACTCCTCAAATTTGGCCATCGTATTAATAATCTATCCATCAAAAATCGGTCGAGGGACCAAAAAAAGGTGGCTTGCAGGTCATTATTGCGCCTTTTCACCCTTCCCCGCCTCGGTGTTGCCCGGTGAGGAGTCAAGGAGGCCTCACGAGTAGGTCCTCCAAGCTGCGACATTTCAAGCCACGATGCAGGAGCCCTAATCAGACCGAGGAAGCAACTCACGGCCTCCTACCCAGTCCATGCTTGTCGTCACACCTCTACAGGATCCCTGTTTTCTGTTCGGAGGTCATCAGGAGAGCATGAGGTAGCACGTCGATCCGTCTTGGCCAACCAGCGTCATCTGGTTTAAGGTCTTGGCCAAATACTTCAAGGTAACCCCTCTGGGGAAGTCCATGCACAATTACGCCGGTCTGTGACGATATTGGACTGGGAGGGACCGTAGACCAAGGAATGGCATTTACAGCATCATGGCAATGTTAGCTGGAAATCTGTTCTCAACATTCGCAGCAACCCCGCTATGGATGTGGTGTGAGGGATAAACGCTCTACTAGACAAGGTTTCACGCTACTAGAAACAAAATTATGAACGGGCTGAACCAATTCAACCTTATTGATGATTAACTTGGTCTGCAGATTAGGGCATTAACCTTGAATCGTGTTTTCGCTGGACTGTGCACTAACACTGCTACTTTGCCGAAATGAGGTTTAACAACAAGTTCACCATGAGACAGTCCAACGCCTCATTTTACAGCCAAAATCAATCCTAACGTTCTGTAGAGTGGTGTGACAGAATACCCAGGGTAACTGCCAACGGTACAGAGCCGCAAGGCTGCCGTATCTTGAAGCGGTTCGTCACAAGTGCAACTCAATCTACGCTCCTTCTCATGGCGCTTGTAGATTACGCCGTTGAGTAGTGATCAAGCCTGCCAATCTCTCCAGGAACTATTAGCCGCCTGGACGATCATCGTGTGGGGAGGTGACGCGTTGCTCCAAATGCACAACACAGCAAGACGAACCACCAGCAACCAAGCCCAGCGTTTCATGAGCTGTCATCGTTGAAATAATGCGGAAATAGATACCGCTTTCGACATCAGGCATGACGAAAGCAAATGAAGTGACTATTGATGACTATTGGCGTACCCCAGCGCAAATAGTGGATAGTGGCTGGATTAAAGTTGTCAAAACTGTCATTCACGATGACTACCGCCTATCGTTATGACTCCAATCGGATGTGTCTGTTTAATATGTCCATCGCGTGGAAATTGCGAAGCGGGAATTTTTAAGAAAGAAACTTACGAGAACCGTTTAACTTAACACGAAGAGAGTATTTTCGTAAGGAGTTGGAAATCCATATCATACGATAATTTGAATAAATTATTGCTTTTGATAAGCTCAAAGAATGACAATAAATACTAATAAATTATTCTTCAATAAAGAATTAATCCGGACATGTGAACATAGGGTGCCCACTCAAATTAACTCAGAATCACTCGAAAACAATGCGGTCATACACGTCTTAGCACGAGACGTAGAATACTTAGAGATGATTGACCACAACAAATGACCTCGGAAAAGTCGAAACGGAAACGGGGACTTTGGGGTTTACTTATCTCAGGCTACGGCACTTGTCACAGAAGATTCCCTTAAAAAGGCGAGAGTTACAGACATACACATTCATAGGGGAAATTGGAAGATTTAGCGGGATATTGTTATGCTTGCGAATATTTCTTCTTTGAATACTACTGTAAGCCTGTTTAAGATTTATCAGATTCAAGTGTGCCATCGCTTGGGTCTCTTGGTTGGTAGAAAGGCACTGTTCAAGCAGAGCAGGTGGAGGTTTGGCCAGTCTGATCAAGCTGTACTAAAACCCATTACAAGCACCTGAGTTTGCAATGCTATTCAGATCCCTGGGAATCACTCCAGCATCAACAGCAGCTGTGACAGAAAATTCCATTAGCACACTACTCTCATTTTAGATGCACAATTAAGGCCCACTTACCAGTATAAGACCATCGGTAGTCGGAGCCCAACTCAGTCTTCCAGGACCAAAAGATCCAACCAGCGACGTGCTTCTCGTACGCCAAGACCTGTGCCTTGAACCATCTGGAGTAGAAATCCTTGTTGTTATCGGGCCGCCAGTAGTCGTTCCATTCCTGGTTGTAATCCAGGGGCGCGCTGAGACTCCATTCGCCGACCAAGACTGGCCAATCCCATCCGTGGGCCGCATCGCCACTGCGATCGTCATTGCACGAGGTCCGCAGGTAGGTGTCCTTGTCCTGGGAGATACCCGACCACTTCAGGTAGCGGTGGTCATCGTAGGCGGCAAAGTTCTTATTTGTGAGGTACTGCTGCGGGTCCCCAGAGTTCCAGAGCTTATTCATGAACTGGATGTGGACGTAGTTATTGGACGAGATTCCAAGAGATGCCTCTTTGTCGCGAATGGTCTAGAGTTAATTGCATTCGGTTAGCTTAGAAAAAAAACGATTTGTAATTGAGAAGGTTCTATTTACCTTGTACGCAGTCGGATAAAATGTGTTGCGCATGTATGTCGTCTTACCAGAGTCCTCGAATTCTCGCAGAGGCTCGTTTACGACCTCAAACATTCCTACGTTGCGGAACTCGTTGTTTTCATGTACAACCTGTCGCAACCAGGCGAGGAACTTGTATGCGCGGTCGAACTGATAGTCTTGGTAGAAGCCAGGGTTGGGCGTATATTGACCAGTGAAGGCGTTGTTGGCGACTTGCGCACCAGGGGCTCCATGCAAACTCATTTTCGATCAATATCAGCGTTCATTTTATTTATCCAGGCATGACCACTCACTCCAGAATTATGTAGAATCCGCGGTTGCTAGCATACCCGCAGATCCTCTTCAGGTGGGCAAGACCACCACGGGGGAAGTGCTCAGAGTCTTTATATACAATATCTTCGTACATCCAGTACCCAACCGGGATACGGACAGTGTTGAGACCGTAGGATACCATCTTGTCGAAGTCACTCTCCGGGATCCAGTCCTGGTAGTGCTTTTGGAATGCGGCGTCACCACCGCTCTGTCCAAGCTTGAGCATGCAGTCAAACTCGGAGCGAGGCTCGCTCTGAGGGCAATTCATGCCATTCCAGGTGGGAGTCATCATCCAGGGCTCCGAAACAAAGAGAGAACCAAGATTCACGCCTCGGATAGGAGTTGTTCCTGGTAGCCATCGCTTGCCGTCGGAAGAGAGGGAATTGTTGAAGAGCGAGGTCCCATCTCGGCCAAGTAGTGGCTCGCGATTCTCTTCAGAGGGCAGCCATCCATGGGATGTTGAGATGAGAGCCAAAATCGACAACAAATTGAACTTCATGATAAAAAAAAGCGATTGTCCAGATTGAGGAGGGTTCGATGTTACCAATTATTGCAGTATTGAAAACGCAAAGCAATAGTGGATGGCTGACTTAAAAAGTTCAATTTGGGGTGGCAGATTCGGAGAAGTCATCTGATTCAAGTATCATATATATGGACTTTAGTGATATGTATCTAGCTCGAATGCAACATACCCCATGCTGGGCGGATTCGGACCGTTCGGCAAAACAACTTCGGGGTACAACACTGGAAGGTCGATTGAGGCAACTCACATGCAGCTTACCGCGCGATGGTACCTAGTCAGCAACGACTAAAGATGATTAGCCTCTCTCATCACTTCGTGGCGTTGAATATCACGCAGACGCGAGATCAGGTGTCTCACATTTGCCAATAAATTTGCTAATATGATTATTGAAAGACTCAGAAACCCCGGATATCGCCTTACCTCCCGGACTTGCAGTCTTATGCCAACATGCCGAGCTTGCGCTATCTTCATTTCAAGAAGGTGATGTGAGCTCAGAGTTTCCCTACTATAAGCCTGAGTGATGCGCTATGGTTAAACTGCTACGGTAATTTTGAAAAATATCAAATCTTTTTGTACCTTTACTCCGAGTCCATACGCAACAAACTAAGTTCACCACCAATGTACTTTATTTATCCCCACGTATAGTGCCGAAGCATTGATCGTTTGTGGCGATGAAGATTACCTACAGCCGAATCGTAGAACATGTTTCATGAGACGAGTAGCCTTGTATGGAGACAGCAGAGGCAAAGTCCTCTTAATCGTAAAATCCCCCATGAATAAAGAAAGATTTCTGGCCTCTGGATTTTCTCGAGGTGCGCGCTAGGTCTGCTTGGGGCTGATCCTCACAAAAGTATTATCAAGCTGAAATGACACCACCTTGGCTGTGAGCCGTATGTGTGCGGAGTTAGTTTCGCCGATTTTAAGGCCGGGCAGAGTCCAAATACGGCATCGAGAATCAATCGATCCCACGTGTGGAACGACATAGCATAAACAAAGAGAGCTTCAGACTCCTGGGCCCAAGGGGCTCGCGCTAGACAGTTTCAAGAAGCTACTCTAGAGAATTGGCGCAGGGCCAACTGTCTTGGCTCTTGAGCCATGAAATTGCCACAGAAGAAGCAATTCAAGAAGTGGGCTTAGTACTCCTGGATTACAGCAAATATGCGGATTTTGTCAAGGGAATGGGCTGGTTTGATACATTGGGTTGCAGCCAAGTCAGCCTTGATCTCGCCCTACGCTTGATACAGAGCTTGTTTATCGGCCCTCGCCCTGTCAAATCACCCTCCTGGGCTGTAAGCAATGGTGCGAAAGCCGACGTTCTATGTAAGCAATAACAACCGAAAAAGTCCGAGTTGTAAGATGGGTTAGTGCTCTGACCGCCTATTCATTCGCTTATGAGATGTTCAGAGAATCATTTGCTTATTTTGAGTTTGGAGCGGCCTGCGTTGTAAGACATACGCTTACGGCGCAGTGATTGGGGCCTTGCAAAATCGCTCAATCTGGCCATTTTCCTCGAATTTTAGGTTGCGTAATAAATAAAATCGTCATCTTGAATATGCGAAAGCTGTATGGGATTAGGACTTATCAAGGATATCTGCTTTGTCTCAAGCCTTTCCCAAACAGCTTAAAAAGCAGTAGCGTTCACTATAGCACGCAAGTAGAAGTAAGAATGGACCCAGGGCAGGGGTGCTGAGATGGTACTCAACTACCAATATATCCATACGCTGCCTTCGTGTAATAAGCATAACCAATTTGACTCGAGAAGTCTAAGTTCGAGTTTCCAACCCGGCCTCCTTCACTCATCATAGGCCATATTAACAAGGGACGTGGAGGCATCCCGTTATTGCGATCATTTGCTTTTAGCTGGCAAAAAGTCAACGACTTCTGCAGAATTCAAGCCAAACTACATACACAATTACCTTCATGTTATTGGGTACTAATTATAATCCTCGCAACCGATCATTTTAGATAATGCCGGCTCCTTATTGGAGCATTTGTGACGGGTGTCACAACCAGGTCCATCCTAAGAACTGAAGACGCCATACTGGGCGCCTTACACAACATTCCAGAAGGATGCGCTTCCAAGTGTTATTTTAAGGACGAATAGGGCAAGGTTGCGTCGCGTCTGTCCTTCGCGCACGCGTCTGATTCATGTAATCGCGTCTTGGTGGATTCGCCAGCGGTACATCAGCCGGGACTAGCCGAGCTCGCGAAGTACTACCCTAGACCAGGCAACCATGATGAGTTTCTGTTTAGAAAAATGAAAGAAAATACTTTTAAGAAAACAAGAATGTATATTGATGGGGGAACATTTTTTAATGTACTAAGATAAATCTTTTATCAAAAAACTGTAGCTACTAAGACGATCATGAGTCTTGGTTCGGTTCACTTGCCTGCCTTTCTCCTTGCCAATGGCCCCATGATTTAGAAGTAGCTACATGGTTATAGCCATCTTTAGTTAGAACAGATGCATCCAGAATGACTTATCTTTCATGCTAAGACAATTAAATGACAAGTTTGATCAAAGAGGTCGCTGAGGATATAATGACAAGATGGATCTATATTTAGCTGTTGATAGCTGGCTGCTCCTGCTACGGGGATCGAAGCAGAGAGTGTTTCCCAGGCTAAACCGTATCCGTATTTATGCCAGCCGGAGATAATTCGGAATTCATCACGAAACGCCGTTGTCTTTTCATACCTGTTTCCTCCTCCGCAAGTGCCACTATGATTGATCGCTTATCTAGCAAGAGTGGTGAATATTATGAGTAGAATTGGACGCAGATGTCCAACATCTTTTTACTAGAACGTTTGACGGCTGATTAAAGGAGAATATTGAAAATCATGCTTTAATTACCCAAGCCATCGGTCATGCAGGGCTGTTGCTGGGTTAGTTTGGTGGTCCGTGATTGCTAACTCAAGACATGTGTCTCTTCCACAGCCTATCACATTCTGATTCGGCCGCTCCGTCAGCTTGGTCTGACCCGCAGTTGGGCTGAGACAGAGCTCGATCCTCGTCATGCGTTTCTCATTATCATGCATTGAGTGACATGCATTGAGTGACATGCATTGAGTGAATAAGTTGGGCTTGCAACCACCACCCCCCCGTGTCCAGCTTCACTTAGAAAGCTCTTGACAACTTTTTCTCACTGAACGATATGGATAATAAACTGCGGCTGTGGAAGACGCTGAAATGGGACCGCGCCAAAAACAGAAACAGAAGAAGAACAGGCCGGGTGCACGGAAAGACGGATCGCCCTTCCTTGAAGCTCGGGTTGTCACGCCTGTACACTCATCCGCAACTCAACGACAAAGCTGCTTTTATTTACTCCCGTATGAGTTACGAAGGTAAATACTCATTTATGCTTTTGGAGGGCGCCAACTTCATCTCGACCTCTCTTTCAAATGTCCCGATGCAAATTCGGGCCGGAAAAGAGACAATGGAAGTTTGCGCAGCTGTGGAATTATATCTGATACGCCTGAGTCTACCTTTGAGCAGTTGAAGCTCGGATTGCGAAGGCGAAAACAATGGCAGTGGTGGGGTTGCGAATGTCGTCGATCATCCTCAGACGCCCAATGGATGTGGTCCAACGACGCCGGGCCGTCTGCACTGGGACCCTGGGTCGACAAATGTTGTGGTGGATGCAGGCGATACTGTACCAACAAACCAGGTGAACAGTCTCAAAACTATCAGATTGGAATCATGGGATGGCTGTTGAGCTGTCGACAAGCGTATGTATCCAGTTCTTCTCTTGGGAAAATGTGGGCGCTAAGTTTGGGGGACAGATATTCCGAAAGTATTGAAATCCTGTACGGCACGAATGACTTCAAAATATCTCGTGAATTTCTTATATCGAATATCCACAAGCTTCTTCTACCATCGTCGCTCACGATGATACCCGCGCTTGAGATCTCATGGCCTTTGGAAATTTCCTCATGCAAAAGCGATTCATCACCTCGTCGACTCCGAGAAGGACAACTGGAAAATTTGTTGACAATAGTGCAAAGATATTTCCCGTCTTTGAGACGTCTTTAAATCTCATTTTACTCCACGGAAAGATTTTGGATCCATCGGTGGGTATCGGGTTATGAGATTCTAAGTCAGATTGACCAACTCGTTGCGAACTGTCCAAGGTTGCGTGAATGCGCGATTGCCCTTCCCGATTCGATACACGAGTCCTTGCAGTTTTGTGTTACTGGAAAGAAAATGGAAGAGAGAGTGTGGGAAAACACCAAGATCTGGCGGGATGTCAATGGCAGGATGATTTCAGCTGATCCTATCATGAATAGCAGTTATCCTGAACCACCAGAAAAGAGACTTGACGCAACCACGCAAAAGCCGATGAAGGGATATTGGCTGTTCGAAGGTGATAGCGATGGCATGGCCTTGGTCAGAAGCTCTATCCAACAGTGCTATTTGCAATCTGGCTTTGATAGTAGCTTATGATTGACTGATAAATTGATCTAAGTTTTGATTTATATAGCCTTTTATAGCGCTATACTCATGCCGTAAGGCTGTATTCTAGTACCTATCTCGTAGACTCGAAAGAATTTTTCGTAGGCTTGATATTGAGGATAGCCCCATTCTCTATCAACAGCTTAGCAGTGTCTTCATGACAATACCTCAAAGCCTGTGTGAGGGCTGTAGAATTATTGTCATTGATAGCATTTAGATCGGCGCCATTCTCTATCAAAAGCTTGATGATAGTGTTGCGACCGCGCCCTGAGGCCCATATCAGTGGCGTCGAGCCAGCTTTCGAAGTCGTATTTACGTCCGCTTTCTTTTCAAGGAGAAGCCGTACGATCCCTTCCCGATTCTGACGCGAGGCTTCTAAAAGTGCTGTGTTGCCGTAATGGTTTTTACCCTCAATGTCGACTCCTCTTTGGAGAAGCAGTTCTATGTACTCGACTCTTCCTTCTTTGGCGGCCCATGTTAACGGCGTCTGGCCAGCAAAGGCTTCGCGTTGGCTGTCATCAAACCCAGCTGTGATGTCAACTCCATTGTAAAATGGTGTTGATAGACCGAATAGAGCGAATATTGAGCGCCTGTTGTTAAATTTGAAAGCAGCAAGTAGAGCATCATTGAATTGTTCTCCATAAACTTCATTTACTGGCTTGTCCTTTATCAAGGTCAGAATCAGTCTTGGGCAATCTTTAGCTGCCAGAAGGTAGAGAAGACTTTTTTCTGACTTGTTGTGAAAATCTAATTCATCTCTGTCACCATCGTGCATGCCCAGGGATCTGGAAATCCTTAACCACTTAGAGGGCTCAAGATTTTCTAGAAAAGAATTTTGGGGAATGGCTTGTGCGGCTTCGTCTGCATGATACAGAATATTTCGAAGACAGTAAATCGCAAATGGGAAGAGTTTATGACCCTCCTTATCAGACCCGCCTTTTTGCTTGTCGACGAACTTGTGGATGGTGGGATGGTTGAGATAAGCCTCGCAGCATTCTTTTAGCCTCTCGTGACATGGGCTTTCTCTTTCGGATCCAAGTTCAGCCCAGAGAATATTGAGGCCATTGTCTTTGAGAAGGAAGTCTCGAACGGACTCGTGGATGAATTGTACGGATGGCCATTTGGATATAGTTATCTCGGCCAATCCTTTGGAAGAACTGGTGACATATCTGGTAGCTGTCTCATCTGTATAAAGAGACGTGTCCGGAATTTCTGTATCTGCTGAGCCCTTCAAATAGAGTCCAGACCATAAAGCATGGAAGTACTGGTCGGGTGAAAGCGGTACATATGCAAAGAGAATCCATAGACTAGAGAGAATAAGATCCTCGATGTTATCCTTGTCTCTTGTCACAAGGTCCCTGAAAAGCTCGCTTAATCCACTTGGAATCTCCTCGAGCTTTTTCCGAAGCGTTGGCCGACCCCGTCTATCCTCGTCATTGAGAATATGAACAACAAGCGCGACCCATAAGAACACCCCGGCAGCTTTGTTTATGATGTCCTTTTGTAACTGCTTAACTAGCCGAGGGTTCGTAATGCGCAGGCTGCTCTTGATGTAGTCCATCAAATCATCGGTATGTCCTGGTTGGGCCTCGAGTGTCACCCGAATGCTGCATCCTATGTTAATATACGGATAATGACGACTAGAAAAGCAGATACGAAGAGGCGTTCCATTATTAGTAGATTGTATGGTGAGCTCTTCGATGAAGTGTATCATCTCAACTGCTTGCTGTTCATCACACTCATCAAGAGCATCTACGAAGCAGGTGAAAGGACGACTGCCAAGATTCGTTATCGCGGCTCGAAAGATGTTTTTGAGAACATCCAAGGAGAGGCGGTAATACTTCTGGCTTGATGAATTAGCCCTGAGCTCAGGGTCATCCAGCACTTCCTGGAGGGCTGAATCCTGACTCCAAACATTGGCCATGAGCCCAGGGTCGTCTAAGACTTGCTGGAGGTCTGGATAACCTTTTAGAAGTTGAAGTAGTAGTGACCGATACATTCCGGACACTGAACTTTCCAAAGATTCACCTCTTGCATTAAAGAAGAAGGATGCAATTACCTCATCGCTATCGTGTTTTCTGGTCATTGTGGAATGGACAAATTTCATCAAGGTAGACTTCCCTGCGCCAGGCTTACCACTGACCCAGAGGAACCCATGATGTTGTTTTAGTTGCGAAGCATCAAGCCAGGCTTTGTAAGATGGGTGGCTGAGAAACCAGCGGCAGGTTTTTTCATGGGCTTCTTTGATGGTCAATCGCCGGGATTCGATTTGTTCGAACTTGAGAGAAGCAAGGAATATTTTGCGACGGGCCATTCCTAGGTCCTTCGGACGGTCTTGACATCCAGATTGGCGGTTAGCGAAGATATGCGAATTAGCCGTGGGCTGCTGAGCTTACCGGTGTCAAAGTGGGAAGGCGCCAGAGTGCAGATATTGGAACTTGGCAGAACCTCGAGTAATTCCCTCGCATAGGCGGATGCGGTAGCTGCAGCATACCTTTGCCATTCCTTGCACTTGTGGCTATCTGCGTAATCACAGATTCCTCGTATTGGCAGGCATGGGAGGACGCCTATCACACCGGCAGCCTCCATTTCGAAGCATATGACATCCAGTTCTGAGCCTATCTTATCCCTTGTCCAGGCATCCTTCATTACCTGATTTCCTGACGCGATACCGCCATAATGTACCTGCGGGATATCTGATATTCTGATACGACGAGGCATGATCTTTGACGGGTCGCAATCATCACAAGAAGATGCTTCTCCTTCATGTTCGTATGTCTTTCGAAAAAGGCGATCTGGTAGGTTTGGATGAAGGAAGTGTTGATGTTTCCCCAGCTTATTCTGCAGTATGGAGGGAATTCGATTTGATTCAAGCTCATGCTTGGACCGCAAGTTGGAGATGGCCGTGCCCAGGGAGTGGTCAGGCAATCTTGGTATTGCTGTGGTTTTCAACCCCCCCTTGACGATTTTGCCGTAATCGTATTGCATTACCCTCGTTCCAACGACGACATCGCCTAAGCGAATATCATGCCTACTTGGATCCGCACCTCCGATCCCAACCATCAACCAGTATTTGATGCTGGGAAATGTGCGCTTTAGGTTGCTTGCCACGTGAGCCGCGTTGTTGGTTCCGTACTCGGCATTTGGTAGACAAGCGATGACGACGTTGTGTGTTTGAATCCTCCCAAGGACGTAGCTGTTGGTATCATCTTCCATTGATGGCAATGGATCATGAGTCTCGTCGAGCATGGCACGAGCCGCTCCCATTTCAATGTGCAGCGCGCAAACCCATGCAACATCATACTCGTCCTTTCTGTGCGTGTTTTTTCCCCCGCTTTGCGATTTGAAAATCTTGGGGCGCTTTGCCAAGCGGGACAAATCAGCCGCATCGCGACCTTCGCTCCCTGAATGCTCCTTTTTCATTGTATGGATGTGATTGTGTGCGACGTCGGGGATGGAAGCCCCCAAGCTGTCGCCCGAATGCAACCGGAACTGGGACTCAACGCATCGCGAGTGGCGCCGCTGTAGGAAGAAAGAGGAATGGAGAAGATGGAATTCAGGCTGACCCAACCTCCAAACCACACTTTTCGAGCAGGGGTTGATGTGGCGGAGTTGTGGCTAAGTAGCTAAACGCAGGCAATTCTTCACGATGCTACCATATAATCTCACAAGAAAATGCAAAAAGAGCCAGCCAAGATCTCACCTTAGTCTACGACGAATTAGTGTTAATCATTAATGCTAATTCTTAGTTATAATCATGTCTCGTGAGGATCGCTGCCCTGTGCCTCTGAAACCCAGCCATTCGGCAACTGCGCGATAAAGTCATACCACCAGTCTCCCATTACTTGATACCCGCGATTTGTTGGATGAACGCAATCCCGAAGGCTGTCGCCTGTGTCAAATGGAGAAAAGTCCGCTGCGAGTACAGGCTGGTTCCTATCGTATCTGATCTTAACGATTTCGGCAATATACTTCTGGAACCGTTTCGTCCTCTCGTGTTGATCATGGTACTCGGAATTATCGCAGACATTGGCGATCATCGAAACCAAGATGACCGCCTTGGGGCACGCCTGATGGATCTTGTCGATCAAAGACCCGAGACGCTCTGCGGCCTTTTTGGGGTCGTTGCCTTCCGTGGAGATGGATGACATTGAATTCATATCATTGGTACCGGCGCTTAGGAGAACGAGGTTGGGTTCTTGCCGGAGGGAGGCATCAACATTCTCTGAAATATACTTGATTGTTTTCCCTGACCATGCAGCCTGGATTGAATTAGCACTCTGGGATTTTTTAATAGGTAACAAGCCGTCACTTACAAAATAGTTATCCTTCAACGAAGAAGCCATATACTCTGTTCCAGCGAATGCGACGTGGTTTCCTGAAGAATAACTGTTAATAAGGAGTGACAGTACAATAAGGGGGATACCTACTGGAAAGGTCGTCGCGCAACGCTTGTCGATATCCGCTCCCATCGCCACCGTCTTGATCGCTCAAGAATCCTACCGTGATTGAGTCCCCAACACCTAGAATTCTCAGCTTTTGGCCGCCCTGGACGCGCTCGCCCTGCCTGACGTTTTTGTGGCGCAGAATATGAATGTCTTTTACGCCCCCGAGCATGCCGGAAGCAAAGGGGGTTTCTTCGAGAAGGACTTGATCGCTGCTGGCCAACGGGAAGGTTACGTCACGAGTCTCCAAGCCTTCTCCTAGACTGTCGGATGAGTCGGATAGCGATTGCTGTATTGCTCTGCCATAAACTGTGATCGTGATGATGCTGGCCACGGCCAGGAATTTTACCGTCAATCTCATCGTAATGAATATAGAATAAAAGGTAATGAGAAAGAGGGATGGATGAAGATCCGGGGCTGCATAGACTGACGCGAAGGATAACAATTCTCCTCAAGACGGAGATTTACTCCCTGTGATGCGCATTCCAGTAGTCTTTCTAGGCAAGTCCGGCATTGAAAAATCGAAGTCGAATTCACGGAAGCCTTTTTTTTTTTCTCGTGGGGAACGAGGATATTAAGAGGACAACGCTTGGAGCAACAGCAAAGACAGGGGTAGCAGATAATGCTCTGATACGATCAACGGCTGCCTAACCACAGAAGAGAGTTTGGTATGTTCTAGGCCTGTTGAGAGAGTGAGAGGGCCGAATCAGCTGACAGGATTCACGCATGGTGGGACCGCATTTCTTGGCTGTCATTTCGGGATTGTCTCTTTTCGAGGGCTGGGCAAGACTTTTGTCTCGGAGGATCTGTTGGCATGACCAGCATACCCACGTTACATCGCTGAGTGGTAAGGCATGCTTGCCATATTAATCTGAAACCCGGTCGCAACTTCAGTTTGTTTCACGCTCAATTATCTAACCAGATATCTTGCCTGATCAGACTTATTCAATAGAGTTTCTGATATAAGGATGATAAAGAGCTTTAGCTTTCTGTAATATCTAGAATTATAGAATAAACCTCAAGCGTTTAACATGAGAAAAAAGTCGCTAAATAGTTGATTACATTACCTAGTGCAATGTGACCTTGTCTGTCATATAGAGTCAGATATTTCATATTGATGGCATATCACATGATGCTCACGATGTAACTAGAGAGCCATCATGCCGTCCTTTCCCCTATAATTTGGAACTAAAACAAGGAGGTGCTAGTGATATTCAATTTCAATGGAACGGTTCTAAGTCAGCTGCTGAAAGTAGCTTTCGGATAAATAGGCGTGGTTTGATGCCTTCTGTAACCCACCATTATCTGTCTGTGCTACCAAATAACCAAATGACCAAAATCTAGAAATAATGGTGGATTCTTACAGCACTTGTGAAGAGGGTTCATGGCGAATGCAGCTCTTTGGTTTCGTTGCTACCGGCAGTTCCATGCCGAGACCCATAACCATTGGTAGACTTGGTTAAAGCCGGGACGAGTGATCCTGATCATATGAGCTGTTGAGAGCAAATTTTCATTTCGGCAATGAAATTCCGGTTGAGGGTCAAAGCGACCGAGGCAGTTTGGACACATGATCAGCACCCTTGATGTCATAATCCAGGACGATTGATAATCACGTTCTGTCAGGATGGGCAATGGTGCATTGAGACGATGCTGTATAGCACAAGACTGATTTGATGTCAGTCCACATATCCAGCGCCATAAAGAGTATGCTTACAGAATTACCTTGGTGAATGTTTTCTGTAAGAAGCTCTGGGCTGCCGGGTATACTTTCTTTTGGGAAGGCAATACTTACCACCTCATCTGAGCTTAATCTGCGTGAAGGATCTTCAGAACAGAGAGTCAATATTCTCAGTAATGCCAATCTTAAGCATGGGAAAAAGAACAGAGCCTTAGAATACATCTGTCGCCTCGACATTTTGTATTTTCAATTAACCCAATTGTGCGTATGGTTGATTTTTTCGAGGCCGAACCTGGGAGAACATAAATGTATTTGCTCGCCCGAATTTTCAGTTCATATTAATGCTATCAGAATATCCGTCATTGCCTTCTCCTTGCTCATTCCTTCGTCACTTGGAAGCCATGCCGCCACCAGTAAGCATGGCTATCATAAAAGCCTTCATCATCTCTTGGCATAGCATTCCACATCTTCTTGGAGAATTGACCAACATGGCTCCCTAAGAACGGAATGTCAAAAATGCTCTCTATCATCTGTTTCTCCGAACACTGAAGCCCCAAGCCCTCAGCCATGGTGAGATAAGACAGTGTGAGTATGAGAGGGAAAGTGGAACAATGACTTCCTAAAGCTCCAGCCCCAGGGAGATACGCCAAGTAGAACGAATGCGCAAGTTTAAATGCGTAGGCCGTCGGCGCTGTCTGACGAGAATGTCGATTTCTGAGAGATTGAGCCCCTACAAGCGAGATGCCACTGGCACAGGATGAAGTTATGGCAGGATGACCCTGCGCACCGTATTCGCTTCGCTGAGATGGGGAAAGAGGTGCAATGGTTTGAGTAAACCACATCGTAGAATATAAAAGCAAGCATGCACACCAATAGAACTGGGAGAGATGCAGGATCGCGAAGCCTTTGTCGGTCGTTGGCAGTGAGATCGGTCCATCCGCGAAATCGTAATCATACATTTGTAGTGGCGGCCCTATTGTATCTTCCCATTGCGCAATCTCGGCTTCAATCCTGGCGCATTTATCAAGAAGCTCTTGTCTGAGGGCTTCGCTATAGTTTGATCTTAGATAGTCGAGATCCTCAAGCAAGCCAGGGATATCAGTCATGAAATCCACCATGAGATCCTTGACCGTTTTGGGTTCAACCTCCCAAGGAACAGTTTTCCATTCGAATGTGCTAAATGGAGACGCCTTTCGTTGTGTTATGGACTCGTACAACTAGTATCGGTTAGGAGAATTCTCTTCTTTAATCACTGTACCTAGTCACTTACAGTATGCAATCTCCCATCAACAAATAATTGATGTCCAAACCCCGTTTTCAAAGAATCTGCCCCTCGCGACGTGTAGAGCGCGATCTCGCCATTTTTATGACCCTCCCAGCCTTTCACTTTCCCTAAGCTTCCCATTTGGCGATATTTTCTTCCCTCCGAGCTGAAGAAAATCTGGAGGTTTCTTAGCATTTGTTATACGAGGGAAAACGTCTTTTGGGGCAGCATCTTGATACGTACCTCAAAGTAAATCATAAAACGGACCGCTGCAAGCAGCCCATCCGTATTTCCTTGGCGGGAATTTCGGATAGCGGTCACCATGGATTGGACAGCCCTCGTGTATGTCTGAAGACCATTCAGCTTGAGAGTGGCGTTGTTATCCCGGTCGCCTAGCATCGACAAGCTTGTGGCCAAGATGGCCTGCCGCAGTGTAGTTTCCGATCCACACAGTTGGCCGGCTACAGTTGTCCACCCCCCTGTAGAAAACTCTAGAGCGTCTGGTGAAAGCGTCCGGGAACCGGGTAGAAGAGCAGACCAGTAGAGGCCGAGGTACTTCTCATCCCTGGCCTTGGATTCGAGAGAAGGATGGAGAGTAATGTCGTCCCGTGGAGCTTTCTTGGTGTATATTGCCTTGTTTCGGCCGTTCGTTACTTTGGCATGGACGAACAGGTGATCGCGAGTGTATCCTCCACATTCAAATCCAGCCAAGATACATTGTCCACATGCCGGAGTTCTTCTATCACACTGGAAACCATGTTTAGATTCCATGTACTACCGGTAGGTTTGACGGCAATATTGCCGGCTGCATAGTGGAGCGACTTACCCCCTTCTTTCTCTCTCTGCAGGTGTTGCAAGCCTTTGATGTCGGAACACGAACCATGGCCGGATTCAGGAACACGCGATATTGGCGCGAGTATGCGGGGACCCATGGATTCTCGGGGACGAAGCGTTGTTTGTAGCTCTTTTAGTACCTAGACTGGTTACGCATTCTCGAGACGAGTCCCTGTGGCGCTGTTCTCCTCAACGGCAGGCTTGGATTGCTGATGATGAGAGGTGAGAAATAATCGTGGCTGTGTGTGCGCAGGGGTGAGACTGACAGTTTGAATCCTTCGAAACTTCTCCGCGCTGATACAAGTCTAATCGGGACTAGCTCTTCGCCTCGAAATTAGTGTTTAAGGCTCTCCATTCTTATTGCAGCGGTACACATATGCTTAAATCAGAGGTTATTACGAAATATGCCCGCTTCTCAGCCCCAACCGCTGGTTGATGACATTGATGACGCCGATATTTGGCAGAGAAGCTGACGGATCTGAGTCAGCCATTCTCGCTTTCGGGACGCCGTGATCTGCGTTTGCCTCTTGACGATTACCCACCAGAGGAGAGTAATTATGCGACGGATTGTTGTGTACTTAGATTGTTGTCAAAGCATTATGCTTTAGCCTTTGATTGTATGGATGGGACTCGTCGTGGATAAGACCATAATGGGATACAAACAGCGCTACGAGATAATGTTTATATTTAGACTGTTGAATAAAGTAATATATAAAGGGATCTCCATTGCATCGTCTTTGATGAGCCCTGACTTACACCACAACAACATCTTTGATTTATTCCTTTGCCTTTAATTTATCAAAAGACATCCGTCAACCCAAAAATGAAGGGAAAATCCTCTGTTGGTATAGCCGGAGTGGTGGCACTGATGCCATTTGCTCAGGCCATCCAGTATTGTCCTCCTAATGGCCAGGTACTTCCTGCACCATACATCTCTGACGCAATCGCCAATAAGACCAACCTGGGGCAGACTCTGACCCAGCTGGTTGAGAAACCAGGAGACCTGTTCAACAAATCCACAGTATCATTTTCTGTAACTGTCACATCCTCCTCCAAGACGCTCTTCGAGTTTCATCATACCGCCGATCTTCTTTCCTCGAAAGGAGCACAGCACGTTGATGGCGATACTATTTACCGTATCGCCTCAGTGTCAAAGCTGTTTACTACACTTTCAGCTATGCTTCAGGAAGGTCTCAATTTGGATGATCTTGCTTGGAAACACATCCCGGAACTCGAAGGTGTCGAGGCGTACAAAGACATTACGCTGAGAATGCTTGCTTCACATGTATCAGGCATTGTTAGAGATGGTAGGCTTTACTTTGACCTGTTAGGACGATTGCAATACTGACTGGATATATCAGGTTACGCCTTTGACCTGGCGGCAAGTGTGCCACCTGGAGTTTTGCAGTCCCTGGGCTTCCCTAATGCAACTACGCCAGACTGGTATCCTCTTTGTGATAGCGTGGGCCATGAGTACTGCTCCCGCGAAGGTATGTGTTTTAGCATTAAAACCCCTCCATTGTACCAAAATCTTATTCTTCGATTTTTAACGATGAAATAAGAATTCTTCTCTGGCTTAAGAAACAGCAGTAGTGTTTGGGCTCCTGGAGTGACACCTGCATACAGCAACTTTGCCTTCATCCTCCTTGGTTTGGCTGCTGAGAGCTACAGTGGAAAGAAACTGGGCGAAATAGTTTCAGAGAAGATCACAGGACCCCTCGGAATGACATCGTCTGGATATGAGACGCCGGACGAAGGCCGTATCATTGCCCCTCTGGGCAGCGAAGAATGGGCCACAATTGATTTGGGATACTGGAAGGGGTATGTTCAGTAGCCTCAACATTTGATTCGACCGATTGAAGAACTCTGGTGTTGATAAGATGTTGATAAGCTAACATTTTTCACTTTATTTAGAACTGCCGGTGTATTCTCTACCCCCCATGACTTGGCTCAGTTTGCCCGTGGCATCATCAACCATGAAATTCTCTCAACTGTCAAGACGAACTTGTGGCTCAAGCCTACATCTTTTACCACTTCTACGGCTGGTGGAGGTGTTGGTATGCCGTGGTCAATTGTTCGAACCTCAGATATACAGCGACCATCGGGCAAAAGGCCCTTGGAGGTGTACTCCATGATCGGCAGCTTTGCCATCTACGGGGCATACGTTGCCGTGATCCCAGAGTACAACATCGGCTTCACTGTCAACATCGCTGGTCCTGGTGGCGATATCCTACTACGAACCCTTCTTGGACTCGCAATCGAGAAATTTGTCCCTGTTGTCGATGGCCTTGCACGTGAGCAAGCTGAACATAAGTATGCTGGTTTATACAAAGGTCCAAACAGCTCCCTGATCCGTCTTGGGGTCGACGGTGGGCCAGGCCTCAAGATCGAAGAGTGGGAGAATGAAGGCAAGTCCGTCTTTGATGCTTGGATGGCCCTCTCGGAAGAGAGCGAAGGTGCGTCAGGCGTAGACGCCCGCCTTTACCCGGTCACTGGCAACGAAACGAACTGGCAGATCGGATTTTTAGGTCTTGGAAAACATGAAACGACACTCTTCAAAGACTACTGCGAAACTTGGTTCGCCTACGATAAGCTCCGCTTTGCCGGTCTTTCGGTTGATGAAGTTGTTTTTGAGGCGGATGAGCAGGGACAGATCAAGGGGTTGAAGGTTCCGGGACTGAGGGCTGATTTGGCCAAGTCCTAAACACCAGGCACGCACCAAGATTTCAACAATCAGTCAATGACAATTTATTCGGCCAGACTCAACATACCGGGTATATGAGGGGGGAGGCTGCAATTGTAGAGGGCGAGGTCGAGAGATTAGATGGCTTAGAGGTTTTTCGATGTGTCTTGTTACCTTTTCTTCCGACAGCACAGGCAATGATATTCACAACGTGGAGGATTTGTTACAATCGGGTAATTCAATAGAACCGTCTGTACTTAAGGAATGCTACTATGTCAATGGGGACAAAAAGTGAAGAACTTGGCTACGCCTCACTGTTGCTTCGTTCCCTTTAATAACCCCCAACGCATTCAAACTCGCATCATTACTTCTCCGCAAAAAAGTCCACGATGCCTGTCCGCCCTCTCGCAACAGCCATGTCGATTGCCGTTCTCATCTGGACATCTTCTTGCCGCGGGTCGAGCCCCATATCCATCAATTTCTTGAACACGTTCTCCATATGCTTGATTTGATCCGTGTTCCAATCTGGTTCCTCAATCCGCCTACCTGCTGCAGCATGGAGGAGTGTTTTACCTTCGTTGTCAGCGGTAAAGATGTCCGCGCCTCGACCAATGTACAGATCCAGAACGTCGCTCGGGGATACGTCATTTTCCAGCGCGTACGTCGGATGAGACGTGCCAGTTAGATGAGTTCCGGACCATTCGGCCGATATAGTTGGGAAGAGAGGCGTCTCGCCTTTATTATTACGAGCGTTGATGCTTAGGCCCTGGGCGAGGAGGAGTCTGAACTGAGCTTGCGCTGCTGCCGCAGATGCCTTCTCGCCAACCATCATAGGCGCAAGGAAATGCAGGGCCGTGTTTCCGTTAGGATCAGGCTCTAGCAAATCTGCACCGAGGTCTACCAGCCTCCGTATGGCCCAACTCTGACAGGATTGGCTGGCGCGGTGCAGTGGTTTGAAGCCGGCATTGTCGACCGCGTGGATCGTCGAAGGAGCGCTGGATACGAGAGCATCGAAAGCTTGTTGGTGATCTTCATCGTACGGGTGTGTCATGGTACAGAGACAGTGAAGTGGTGTTCTTTCTTCATCGTCTGTGACATCTGCAATTGCACCACGTGCGAGCAATGCGAGCACTGCTTTGGGGTTTGCTGTTGGTGGAAATTCTTTCTTGAGACGCCCATTCCAGACTTCCCGATGGGGCTTCTTAAGAACGACACAGGCGGACAAGAGTAATGTTCGTCCATGACGTCCTCTTTTCTCAACATCGAGGCTACCCATTTTGAAGAATGGATCTAAGAAGCCGTTCTCTTCTACGATGACCTGAAGCACGTAGCTATGGTCGGAATAAGATGCGTATGGGTCCGCACCGCCCTGGAGCAGAGTCTCAGTAATTTTCTGTTTCCGGAAATCCCAGTCAAATGGAAGAATTTCATTGGTAGCGGGGCGAGCAGCATGGTGTAGGGGATATTGTGAGGAGGCTTTGTCCTCTGTATAGCTGCCATCAGGGGAATCACGGTAATTCGGATTAGCGCCGGCATTGAGAAGAACTGCGACCATATCGGTATCCATCTTTTTCAATGCAAACTCCATGACTCCAGGGGTTGCTAAGATATCTGCGCCATGCTCGAGTAACAGTTTCAGTACCTCTGCACTATCAGCCTCCGACAGACACGATGCTCCGCTCTCGGTAATGAAATTTGGATCTGCACCGTGATCCAATAGCCGTTTGATCGTTCGTTCCTTCCAAAATCCGTTCGGATGTTGTGTACTAATGGCACAAAGGAGTGGCGTCTGCCCATCCTTGTTCTTGGCCTCTATATCTGCACCTTGAGATAACAGGTACGTAACCGCGTCCACATGCCAGAAATGTCTTCCACAAGCAACTATGTGTAGAGGTGTGGCCTTGGCTAGTTTATAGGTATAGCCTCGGCGATGGGAAGGCATGTTTGGATCCAAGCCAATGTTCTCAACAAGACATTTGATGATGTCAAGACCTGGCAAACCACGTTCACAAGCTTTGGCAAGCAAAGTTCCCGGATTGTCTTCCTCCATCATCCAAGGGGACTGGTCAACTTTCGATGCTTCGTCACGAAAATAGTTGAGCAAGCAGATATTGCCTCGGTCTACCATCTCGTGAAGAATAGTCGTGTTCCTATACTGATCGGTTTTCATCAAGTTCCCACCAAGCCTGACAAACTCTTTGATGGTCGCGTAGTCGTTGGTGTCGAGAACCTTCCCAACTTTTCTGACCATATCTGGAGAATTTCTGGACTCAAGAAGGTCATGAAGAGTCTCGGTTGATATCGCAGGCTTCGGAGACTGGTCATGTATACTGCCTTGAGACGTAGCGCCGTGTTGAACAAGAGCTTGTACCATGGCCTCATGTCCATTTTTGACCGCCAAGTCGAGAGCTGTGACACTGTTCTGCTCAAACCACGCCTTTGTACTTAGATCTGCTCCAAACTGTAGAAGTAGTTTAAGAGTTTCCAGCCATGGAGAATTCAACGGCGCCTCGATTAGGGCATGCAGTGCAGTGAAGCCATTCTTGTCAAGCGAAGCAATTTCAGCACCATTGCTCAGTAGATAAGAAACACTCTCATAGATTCCCGTTCGAGCCGCATGATGCAGACTTGTTCTCTCTCCAAGCGCATCGTGTAGATTGATCATCTGCCCAAGTTCGCCACGTTCCTTATATGTAGCCAGGAGCAGTCCAACAACGTTTGGTTGACCACCGCGACAGGCAATGTGAAGTGGGGAGAGACCTTCAAACGTTAGAGCTGTGGGATCTGCTTCTGCTTCAAGTAGCTTGGCGACAGTGAACTCGCAAGCGTTTGCGGCATTGTGAAGAGCAGTTGCACCACTGTTATCACGATCATTGACATCTTGGGCTCCTAATATCCCGGTCTTGAGGATGGCGTCCACCCAATCGGATTCATCTTCTCGGGGCGTTCCCCTTTCCCTGTGAGCATTCTCACTTGTCAGGTGCAGAGATGTACTCCCAAAACCATCTTTGGCTCCCCGGGAGACGCCAAGCTCAATTAACCTTTCGACAGTGGTTCGACCGTCTGCGTCAGCTTTGTGATGTTGAACAGCAACGTGGATGAGTGTTCTCCCGTTTTCGTCTGTGGCTAAAGGATCGACGCCTTTTGACAAGAAATAATCAATCCAAGCGATAGAGAGTTTTGATCTGACTGCGACGTGTAGTAGTGTCGATCCATCAACATTCCGCGCCGTAAGATCTGCACCTAGGCGGATGAACTTCTCGACATGGGCCGACTTGATCGCGCTGCGATGTTGGGAGATGAGAGCACTCAGAAAGGTCTCCCCCTGGCCATTGTATGTCCGAAAGTCGGAGCCAGCTTCCACAAGTGCTCGAAGCAGCGGCTCATCATCACCTTTCCGCCTACGGGTAGACCAGGATTCGTCTGGCAGAACGTACTTGAACAAGGGCGGATTTCCTGCGTTATTTGGCTTGTTTATATCAGCGCCCGAGCGGAGCAGGAGCTCAAAGAAAGGAAGATCGGTCATCTCAAACTTTGACAAATTGCCAAGGATCATATGAAAAATGGTATCTCCGAGGTTGTCAGAAGTGTTGACGTCGGCACCACACTCAATAAGCTTCTCGAATACTTTGACGTCTGGCTTGACCTGATACTGTTGAATCAAGTTCAGGAGTGGTGTTCTACCCATCGAATTTTTTGCATTGACATCGGCCGAGTAGGAAACAAGAAGATCAAATAGGGAAAGACACTCAGGGTTTGCGCCGTGCATGGGAGTACATCCGCAAGTTGTTCTGGCGTTGGGATCAGCACCGGCCTTGAGAAGCAGGGAAGCACACTTGTCCCCGGTTCTGTCGTTGGCACCGAACCAATAACCGGATATGTCCTTTTTTACGGCGTAGAACAATGGTGTAAAGTTCCCATTTTGACCACGGTATGTGTGTTTTTCTCCATCAGTTGTTGCATTGACGTCGGCACCATTATCAAGAAGAAGGCGGAGACACTTTTCCGCAAGCTCTAGATCGCTACACCCACGAGCGGATAGCTTTCCGTAACCGGCGAAAGCATGTATGGGCATTGGGCCTCGGGGGTTATCAACTTCGAGACTGATAATGTCCTCATTCTCGTACGAGTTCCCAAGGCACCGTTTATTCACATCAGCACCATGCTGAATCAACACTTTCATGGTTTCAAAGTCATAATCAGTGGTTGACTTGAATAGCTTAGTAGAGCCGCCTGCGAAGCAATCAACATTAGCATGTCCGGCCTTCAAGACGGCTTCGATGCTCTTAGTTCCCCGAGCCCAGTGGAGGCATTTGTTTGCGTAATCGGGGGTAATCAGCGGCATGAAGCATTCGATGATAGCCTCATGGTTGCCAGTGAAGGCATATTCTAAAGGAGTGCCGCCAACACTATCATCTTCATCATCATCACGACCATAATATCCGTCATGCGGATCCGGCGCGATCGTCGGGACGAGTGGACTGGCACCCGCCTCTAATAATAGCTGGACAGTCTCGATGGCTCCATCCCGGATCGCGTAGTGAAGCGGAGTCAATCCCCATCGACAATATGACTTTGGGTCAGCGCCGTGGCTCAGGAAAAAATTGACTGTCTTTGCCGCGTTCTTCTCCGCGGCATAGGAAAGAGGTGTCCGGCCGTCTCCATCCTTTGTGTCGTTTGGCCCCAAGTGCTCAATTACATACAACGGCATATCTCCAAAAGCTGCCAGATGAATCGTTGTGGAGGAGTTGCAGAAGCGGGCTGGCCAATTGTGATACATCCAGAGCGCGAAAGCAGGTTTCCCAGGAGCGAGGCACGTAGAAATTGTACCCAAGAGCTGAATATCCCCCGGCCCTGCATTATCAAGATGATACTTAAGATTCTCCACTGAGTAGCTCAAAAGTGGTATAGCAAGTTTCATGTCTTGTAGCACTTGATGGCGGCGTGTCTTTTCTTTTCTGCTGTCTTCGTACCAATCATGAAAAGAGTCAGCCGGCGCGCCTGTATTGGTATCTAGCAATGGACAACGATCCAGATATTGGAGGGACAGTATTGCCAGCATGCTATGTGCATGCCGAGAGTTTAAGACCGGGAATGAAGCAGGAGTTTGCTGTCGGGATCCGTCGCGAAGGAACTCTGTGAACGAATGGTGGATGACGCTCACAGTCTGATCTTCCAATATCTCGAGCAATGGTCCACAGCTCGCTCGTACCAGATCCTTGCCCTTCTTGAGATTGTCCAATTCCATGAAGCTAGAGACCAAGGAACCCAGTTCAATCAGTCGCAAGGGCCGAGAAGAATGAGTCACACACATGAGAATATGAGCCTGTTGCGTTGTGCCGACACCGCTTCTCAGCGCGTGATCTGCCAACATTTGTTCGTAAACATCCTTCAAATTTTGAGGCAACCTTTCCAGACACTCTGGAAGCATCTCCTCAGTGATCCGCCCGTCTTTGAGACCATTCGTCAAGTTATTAGTCACCAGTCGCGCGTGTAAGAATAGGCCCTGGGCACATTTGCAAATGGTTTTCCTCACCATATCTTCCGTCTCTGGTCTTAGCGATGGATAGAGGGAAACAAGGCTCACACGGACGTACTTTTCGATATCCGGATCAATTAGAGATGTCTCCAATTTGAAACGCAGGACATGCGGATCTCTGAGCGCTTCCTCGATCTTAGAAATAGGACGGCTTGTCAAAAGTAGCTTGACTCGGCCGGGATCAAGAGCCCCGAGGCGGACAAGTTGATGAATGAAGTCGAGATCCCCATCATCCATCTCATCCAACGCGTCCACAACACAGTAGACGCGCGGCATACTTTCGAGTGCTTGCAGTATGGCATCCCACAAAGAGCTGAATTCTGTCCCATCTACACCCCGTTTTTGGGACATGGGATATAGTTTCGAGACAAGAGATTGGTTGTGCGGTAGAAGCTGGGAAGCAAAGTCTCGGACAAGGTACTTTGCACTGTGATTTTTCTCGACAATCTGTCTGAAGAAGAAGAAAAGCACAGGGGTGTTTGGTTGTTCCTCCTGAAGCTGGGATATGATGCTGGCAGCGAGGACTGACTTGCCGCTGCCAGCAACTCCTCTGACATGTAAAATCCCATGTTGATCTTCGCTGTGTGGTCGTGACTCAGCCCAGGTGCTGTAAGTGGGAGATTCCCGAACCCAGGACCCGGTACCTGGAACATAAGAGTGTAAATGTTTCATGTACTCGTTGCCGGGAGAATTATAGTCTGTTGGTTGCAGCCATTTCTGAACCGTGTTGAGCTCTGTTTGCCGAGTTGTGCCTGCTTTCGCTGCTGGGGCAGGAACACTGTCTTGGGAGACAACTTGATAATCGGCCTCTTGCTCTGACGCGACCTCCATGGTAGCTACAAGTCCTTGTAGGAACAAGAAACTTGTTGGAACGCGTGAAAGGAAATCAGATGGGCCTGGTGAATCGCCTCAATCAGAGGGTCAGAGGTGTATAGTCTTTGCCTCTCAAATACAATCGAGCGTTTATTTATGCGTTCAGGTACGAGCTGCCGAAAGTGGCTCGCCGGCCGCATGACTCCCCACCGTTTCAAGAAGTGGGAGGGGCAAGTTAGGCTACTAAGACGACAAATGGTGGGCATAAGTCCCCTCGCCGTGCTTATTATTAGCCACAAATAATGGGTATGGTTGTCTGGCTGGGATCGCTGTAGGATTTGCAAGCCTTGCCATTCAAGTCATAGCTTGCGAGTGTACATTTCACTACCCCGCTTCTCTCATTGATTTCTTAGTTTTGTGTTTTAGATGGAATGAAACAGGCTACCGAGAACTTTCACGAAGTCTGGTCGAGCACAACCGACTGCTCCCAATATCCCGAATCTTAACCGCTACCATTAGCAGACTTCGATATGAGCACCTTACAGGACCAAATTGAACCTCTTTCAACTCTTCCGGATGATAGTTGGTATGGCAGTGGTCCGACGGGCCTGAACAGAAAGTTTTCGGAGGCCGACGAAGCAACTTGGACAGCAGAGAACTTGGAGATAGTGATTCAAGATCGCTTGAGCGTTCTTCGTGACACGTCAGTCGACCACTCAGATTATCCTGCCATGCACATGGACATTGCGAATGGATATTTGTACAAATACCTACGGTCTCAGTCGGCAGCAGATCTGGATCTAGCCATAGAGTATCAACAGACTTACCTTGACTTGGCACCAAATGATCATCTGGATCGAGCACTTGGATATAGTAGATTTGGGATTCAGCATGTGATCAAGTATCAACAAACAAAAGACATGGCCTACATCGAGCGAGCAATCACAAATTACCAAATAGCTCTTTCCATATACCCAGACAACGACAATGAGGTACCTGAGCTATTTGACAGCCTTGCCAGCGCCCATATCGTCCGTTGCAAGGCATTAGGAACTATGGAAGACGTTGAGACGGCAATTCAGTACTGCGCGAAATCGGTTGCTGCAACGCCACACCACTATGTCGATAAGCCAGGAAGGCTCAATACTTTTGGAAGTGCATATCAATGCAAATATGACATGAATGGAGAAAGATCAGACCTTCAATTGGCAATTCAATATCTTACAGAAGCTTACGAGATACTCCCAAAACAGCATGATGATCGAGTCAGGGTCCAAGTCCTAACGAACTTGGGGAGGGCTTACCAGAGAAGATACGTAGTATTGAGGGCTATGAAAGATCTAGATTCTGCAATTGAGTTGCTGCAGGAGGCACTGGGTGGTGCATTATTCAAACAACAACGTCGAATTATACTTCAACATCTTTCTCTATCTCTCAAGAGCAGATATCGAACGACAGACCAGATGATGGATCTTGACAATGCCATTCATTGCTCTGAGGAGAGTCTTCAACTAACACCACCGGATGGCCCAGATCGAGCGAATCACTTGCGCCATCTTGGTGCTGCTTATAACTCAAGATATCTCAAGACTCGAGCCGAGTGTGATTTTACCATAGCAGTCAAAATGTATGAAGAAGCTCTTACTCTAACGCCGGACGACCATCTAGAGAAGGCAAGCCAATTGCAAGGACTTGGGTCTTGTTATCATAACAGGCATATTTCCACGGGGTCTCGCGAAGACCTTGATACGGCTATTAATATTCATGGGAAAGTACTCAAGACAACACCAGAAACTCATCCTAAGAGAGCACGTCGGTTGCAAGAAGCTGGCTGTGTATTCTTAGAGAAAGGAATGGCAGAACCTGGTGTTGAGAATACTTTACAGCAGCTGAGGGAGGCTTATGCTATAGACCCAAAGCTCGCTCTACGATTAAATGACTTTCAAAGTATTTCAACACAATTCGACGCGCTCCGTGCCGGGATCCATCGGCTTGAAGAATCCGTTGCCCACACTTTCTCTCCTGCCAAGGATAGATTAGCAGCTGGAAAAGAACTTATTCTCCTGTACCTGCTAGTCAAACTTTGGGAGCCAGCATACAATCTTGTCTCATCACTTATGGCGTTACTTGCCCTAGTTGTTGATTGGTCTCTGGAGTATTCTGATAAGCAGCGCCTCGTAGCCGAGAACGCTCGATTGGGTTTAAGTGCGGGAGGCATTGCCTTGATGGCAGGCAAGGATCTCCACGAGGTGCTTAAACTCATTGAGCTTGGTCGTGGGATAATAATGGGATCGTCTATGGATCTGCGTACTGAAGTGTCCGCACTCCAGGAAGCATATCCGTCATTAGCGAACAGATTCATCATGCTTCGGGATCAGCTTGAAGGGGGGACGAAAATGCCCGCGGAGCACTCTGATCAGCCACAATATATCGATCGGCACGACGCAGGGCTCCAATTACAGAAAACAATCCAGGAGATCCGGGAAATACCTCGATTCGAGAAATTCTTACTTCCACCATCTGAGGAAGATATGAAGGCCGCTGCCGCTGAAGGTCCGATTGTGGTTATCAATGTGAGCGACTATCGTTGCGATGCCATAATCATTGAAAAGGATAAACTGCATTCGATAGGACTATCAAATGTGCAACGCCAGCACCTTGATCATCTTGGAAAGATAACGAACTACGAGCCAGAGATGCTTGAGTGGCTTTGGGAGACCATCGCCGAGCCGGTGCTTGGGGTTCTGGGGTTTGACAAACCACCAATAGATGGTCAATGGCCTCACATCCGGTGGATTCCCACCGGCGCTCTCTGTAGAATCCCTATACACGCTGCTGGTTTCCATTCCGATGGCTCGAAGAATACAGTTATGGACAGAGTCATATCTTCTTATAGCCCGTCTGTCAAAGCTCTCATAGATGGTCTCGAAAGGCACAATCGCTCGTACCAGGGTCGATCTCAGCACAAAGCCGTTTTGTTCGGCAGCAACCAACTTCGATACGCGCCGAAAGAGATTGACGAAGTGGAGAAGATTTGCCAGGCTATGAAATTGGAAGTCGTCAGACCGGAAGCACACCAAGAAGAAGTTCTTTCTGCCTTAGACGACTGTGCGGTCTTTCATTTCGCCGGTCACGGATTGAGTGACGGATCAGATCCGTCAAAAAGCTCGTTGGTTCTTCGGGACAATGAAATGCTAACAGTAGCAAGCTTGTTGAAATCAAACCTTCGACACCAGGCCCCATTCCTAGCTTACCTCTCCGCCTGCGGCACCGGACAGACGAAACAGTACCGACTCTTCGATGAAGGCATTCATTTAATTGGTGCTTATCAAATTTCGGGATTTCAAAACGTTGTTGGTACCCTCTGGGAAGTGGAAGATAGGTCGTGCGTTGAAGTGGCTACCCAAACCTATGAATGGATCAAGGATCGGGGCATGAGTCGTCGTTCCGTTGCTGAGGGGCTTCACCATGCTGCCCGGAAACTTCGTAGTGATTGGATTGAGGAAATCAGTCAATCACGGACAGTTAATGAGATGGATTCTGGAATCCGGCATGATCATGATATCGAAGAGGTTGCTGATGGGGGCGCAGCGGCTTCAAGAGACATGGAACCACTCGACAATCCGGTGTTGAACTGGATCCCCTACGTCCACTATTGTTAGTATATTGAAAATCGGGCGTTTGTAATCTCGTAGTAAGTGTACTTAATATTGAAAAAATTACTGCCATACTACTAGACTTTTTATAATGTATCGATCAAACTAATAATAACACCTAGATAATTCCAATACAAGTTGCCCAATTGTATTTCAAGGAAGAGGAAGAGAATAAAGTATAATAACAATGAATCTGCCAGGGCCCGGAACAACTCAACGCAGTGAATACTAAAGCTTGAAAACATAGCTTTTCCTAGTCCGCCCAGGATAGAGTCATACGGCAGGAAAATTCTACAAACCTTCGTACGGATGACTGATCAATCCACCTAGAATGTCCTCACAGTAATTACCGTAGCTTGTGTTCTGATACTAAACTCTCCGCTGATGTTGACACTGTACTTAAATAATCTTCACTTAATTTGTTCTTGTGGAATACCAAAAAGAAGTGCCCAATTCCTCCCATTTTCTATCATTAATAACACTACTTATCAATAGTACGACAAAAGAACATGACTGAGAAAGGGAACGAATATCGTCCATTCGAAATTCATTTTTCTCTGGTTGCGGCTCGCTCTACCCTAGAGCAATCTCAAACCTCACGTCGGGTTGACGTGCAGCTCTAAAAGCCGCCACACAAACAAGTAAATGAAAACGACGTTTATGTAATTTAGTGAATTATGATATCTTCGTTGATTGAGCTACGTTTTTATGGCTTAGGTATATGCTGAGCATTGAGAAGTCTCATACCAGACCCTAATACCAAGACATTGACTCAGTTTCTCCCGTTTAATCTCAATCTTGGTGCAATAAGAGTATTCTATAATTCTGCACACAGACTGAGGTCTACAGCTTGGGGCCTACAGCTAGCGATCCCTTTTTGACGGTCATATTGGTCGAGACAGAGCAGCGTTGATTGCGCGTCGGTAGGCTACATGTACAGTGCTGCATTCCCAGTCCAGGCCCGTGCTTAGGTGACTTTAGGCAGCAAACCACACTGTCTGCATTCGATAGCGTATTCTGATACGGACAGAGCAGAAATTCGGGCGCTAATTCTAGGGGCGACCAACAGGCGTTTTCAGCTCTGCCAAAGGAAGGCACATTCCTGCGCGCCTTCCATAATAAGTGGCCACAAGCTCAGCTTCACTGGGCATCAATTTTCCCCTTTCCCCTCTCCACCTCGACCTCGAGCAGATCATAATTACGGCAAAAAACTATATCAAAGATTGTTCGGGATAGGCCAACTCAAGGATGTCCCTCTCAGCGCTACCCAACGAATTGCTTCAGGCCATATCGGAGAATGTGCCCAGTCTCGCCGACGTCAGCGCCCTGGCCAGGACGAATTGGCACATGTTCCACGTCCTCATCCCCCAGCTGTACCGTCGCAACCACGACCTGAGTAACGAGAGCCTCTATCATGTCCGCATTAGAAGCAAGTCGGCTGTGACATGGGCCATCCAGCGGTATAAGCCCGAGACAATCCGACGGGCCGTGACGGTCGGTGTAGACCTCGTGCAGCTCCAGCATATCATGCTGGCAATGAAGCGTGGTCAGTGCGACATATTCCAGGCTCTCTGGGCCTGCAAGTTGGAATACGGCGGCTTCGAGAATCTCGATAAATATGAGGCTGGCGCGAAACCAATCGTAGTCGCAGCCAAATCTGGAAAGGTTGAAATCGTCAGAGCGCTGGTTGAAACAGGCAAGGTTGATCTCGAAGCTGGCCGCGATGTGTGGACGCCGCTACTGATCGCATGTCAAGATGGAAACCACCAGATGGTAAAACTGCTCCTAGAGCATGGCGCGAACATTAGAAACCCCCGGGCTCAACGAGCAGCTCTGACGGTTGCTGCGTTGAGGCACCAGCCAGGGAGACAAGTGAGACGCAAGAGGGAAAGGGGGGGCACCAGCTATCTTGAGACGATCCGCGTGCTTTTTGAGCACGGCGCGCAGCTCGAGTATAAAGAGTCAAACGGCAACACTGCTCTTCATACGGCTGCGCTTGAGGGATTCTGCGACGTGGTCGATCTGCTCGCTTCTCTGGGCGCCGAAGTCGACACCCGTGATGGTCAAGGCAACACGCCTCTGATCAGCACTAGCTTGAAGTTCGGGAAGGCTGATATGACCCAGCTCCTCTTACGCCTAGGGGCCGATATTAATGCCAAAAATGAAAGAGGAAACTCCCCATTGTCGATGACACGAGACACGGCTGAGCCAGTGGCAGTAGCCAAGATTCTACTCGAAAACGGTGCCATGATCATGGCTGACATTGAAGGCAACACACCACTGCATCTTTCCGGCCACATTGGCTCCCTGGAGTTGGCCGAGTTGTTGTTGGAGTACGGAGCGGATATTCATGCCCTCAACACACAAAATAAAACACCACTTCACTGCATTGCGGAAGAAAAGGATGCCGGGAAGATTGTACGGCTGCTGGTTGATAAGGGCGCATCTCTCACTGCCGCAGCTAGAGGTGGCGAGACACCTCTGGGATGTGCCATACCCCATCAATCGCTGGATACTATTCAGTTTCTACTCGAGAAAGGATCGGATGCTAATGCAGTAACAAAGAGCGGTTCATCGGGGCTCCAGCACGCAATAGAATCTAGAGCCATTAAGTTAACCGAGCTTCTCTTGCAGCACGGCGCTGATCTGGGAACATTCGACTATAACGGTCAAGGTGCCTTACACTTTGTGTCAATGGTTGGGAATACCCAGCTCATGGAGAGCTTCATTCGCCACGGAGTTCCGATTAATTCGCGGGATTCCCAAGGGCGTACACCTCTCATGTGTGCTCTCGAAGGAGCCACGGGTGTTAATGTCGATATACTACTACAACATGGGGCAAGCGTCAACGAGACAGATGATCTACTCCAGACAGCTTTACACAAGGCAGCGAAACGTGGAATGGTGAAAGCGGCGAGGACCCTACTTGAGAATGGGGCAGATGTCAACGTCAAGGATAAGGACGATCAAACTCCGCTACACATCTCCAAGATCTCAAGGCGTCTCAAGATGGTGGAGATCTTGTTGGATTATGGTGCTGAGTGTAGCATTGCAGGTTGTTGTGAAGGGAACACAGTGCTTGAAGTGCTTGAGACAGCAACAATATCACCCGGCGAGGTCTAGGTATATAGAGCGTACCGGAGCTAGTGAACTACGTATGTAGTCTTGGTTTGTGTTAGAAGAGCTGCCCTCGACTGCAGCCTCGATTGTTACTGAACAACCTTTTGGGAATAGTTGATTACCCAGTCTGCCGGTCAATCACTAAATAGCACATCAGCTAACTCGAAGTTATGAGTTGGAAGAATTGTGTCCAGATACAGCGTTATGTTTCAAATAGTAGATTGTTATTCTGCTTAAATATAATCTAAAGATACATAGGCTTGGCTATCTATTCGATTGTATGTCTCAAATGATTTATCCTAAGCCGAGATAACCTAAACCTACGTTGTATGGTCCTTTTTCGGCTTAGCATGTGTTGAGCATGCTGGTAAGTGCAGTCTTCTCAGCAGAAGTAATGGTAAGATCGTAGGAATACTTCACCTGCACCCAAGCAGAAGCATAGCTACAGTGGATACTGGTCAGGGGAGGCTTCCACGCATCAGGGCTCTTATCACTCTTTGCCGAGTTGGTGTCTCCATCGGTTGCCCACAGCTGGGGACCGTCAATGTCGTTAGCAAATGCCTGCCTCTCGGCAGTTGTCCACTCAGATGCACCGGACTAGAAGGCGGACACGTAGTTAGCTCAAACGATGTCTTGGGACACTATGGCACAAGAGATATCACTCACAACCCAAGCATTTTTGAGAGGAACCATGTGGTCGATATCGACATCAGAAGGCACGGTATGCTTTACGCCAGAGTATGGGCAAGTCCAGCTACCCGAGTCGGGGTAGCAGTCACTACCAACCACAACACTAGTGCCATCACGACGAAGAACCCATTCACTACCGCTGGTCAGCATATCGAACACTGGAGGGTTACGAGTATTCACCTACCGAGCAGAGCATGCAGGCTCGCTGGGTACACTCTTCCAATGAGGAAAGAGGTCGCGATCATAAGTGCCGTCGTCTACATATGCTTTGACAGTCAAACTAGCGAGCCGAGTCTTGGCAGTAGAGCCAGATGGAATGCCGGGCTATGTATCTGGTGTCAATCCTGGCTTGTGTCGAAATGGGATTTGGCTAATACTTACTGGTGTTGCTACCGCCAACGTAGCCAGGGAGGCAAGTGTAACCGTCAAGAACTTCATGTTGATTTCAGACAACAGATTGATTTGACAATATGGGCAGGCTTATAACAACAAAATTGCACGGCACTGCTCTGGATTGAGAAAACCTTTTCTCCTGCCAATGAACATAAGACGAACGGAACAGATGGAAAACAAGCGAGGAAGGGCCATATTTATCAACTTTGAGGCCTCCCTCACTTCATACTGCTTGCACTATCATAGCCTATCAAGCAGTATGAAACGAAGCGGGTCGCAGTATACATTAGAGTATCAACAAGCGTCGTAATTGGCACTGCGCTAATGGCATCGACCTGCCGCATTTGACAAGCTGTGGTGACATGAGATCTGAGACCTCCCTTATCCAGAACCATCACACCCTTCCGTTTTTCGGGGCTCGCCGCTGTCCTTGTCTTGACGATTCAAAGCGATTTACCTCAGTGGTCAGGAACGCTCCCACAACTCCAGTCGCTTAACGCTGCAAGACTCCACCATATGTTGCTGGCCCACTAGATCGTGTCTCTGTGACAGCATGCCAAAACTAACAGCATCCATTGGGGACGGAGCATGTCAACTGGGTCTCCGCTACAACTTTCGGATTCTGGACTGGAGAAATGGAGGGGCCAAGCGGGGTTACAGCAGCCGGCATTTGTCGGAGATATGTCCTCTTCTTGGAAAGTCGGAGCTGCAGGTTCGCAAGATAGAGGGTCCGATAAGAGTGAAAGACAAGCGCGACCTCGCTTGACATGTAGGACCCTGCCGATGAGGGATCTTTGTTTGCCGCTGGTGCAGAAACACTTGGGCAAGCTGTCCACGTATAGCACCCCTGGTCCGCCCATGAGCAGTTTTCCCAATCTGAAGGTAATGTGCATGCCTCTAAAGGTCCGCAAGAGGCATGTTGTAGAAAACTAGACCCCCTCGGCATGGAATAGTCCGGAGGGGCAGTGTGCGCGGTTTTACTCTTTTCAGCCTGTCTGCTGCAGAGATCCAAAACATATGCTGCGTAGAAAGTAGATAGTGGTGAGTATCCGCATTCCTCAAGGAGTCTCTGATGGTTATTATCGAACTAATCATAAAGAAGACCCAAATGACTCTTGTTGTTTATCGACTAGCCTAATGACCCAGCTCAGACCTGCCAGTCGAACTAGCACATTGACGGTTGTAGGAAAATATAGTGGCATAACGCTAAAGGGGTTTACGTACAACAATTCAGACAAAAATTCACAGGCACAATGAGGAGGACAAAAAAATAGGGCGGACAATTCGATTTTCTAGGTGCGATGTCGACAAAGAGAGCATACTCTATAAAGAAAATTATCCTCGAGAGAAACTTGAAATGAACAAAGCCAAGATAACGGTCGGACTTTCTACGGTATTGTAGGTATATGAAAGTACTATATTGAATATCAAAGAGCTATTGTTAGTTCCTTCAGTTCCATCTGAAATAGTCGAAGAAGAAAGGACAGTCCTTGGATAGCGGCATTAGAATACAATCTAAATGATATGAGATAGAACAATAACTCTCTAGACTAGTTTTTGATTGTATTCCGTATTAACCTCATTGTTTGAAATCTAGCACTAATTCTCCAGTGCTTTGTTTTAGGCCCTGAACCTTTATCTTTCTTTCATAGACAGCAACAATCTTCCACAAACGAGAAGACACGCTAAACACGGCAAATTTCATTATGGTATTCGTGTTCCCCTATAGTCAAGATATAAATTAGCCCCGCTTCTTCTGAAGGCATGAAGAAACCAAACAAGATCGCTACATCTTCTTACTTCCACCTCAAATCGCCCAAGAGCCCTGAAAATTCTGATTTGCACTCTCTACAGCGACTGCCAGTATTGCGAAAAAAAGAAGACTTTTCGAATCTGTGACAGCCTCCCATTACAAGATGTCTGAAACTTCGTTCGATGAACTTGAGGAGCTTTATAAAGATCTAGAAGCACTTGAAGAAGATCTTGAACCACTTAAAGAAGAGCTTGAAAATCTCAAGAAGAAGCTAACCTGCCTGGGTAGCCATCAAACTGTCCAGGGAATTTTTGCATGCCAGACAGAGCCAACCAAATTTATTCGCCATAGAGTAGTGCTCAATCGCGCTATCGAAGAAGAGCTCAAACTCGAACGCACGATTGAAGAAAAGGGCAAGCTCAAAAACCTTAACCTAGTCGATGAGGACCTAGGCAAATGGCATCACGATAAAGAACGCATCGACTCTACGGCGGAGGAGGTAACATCGATGAGTATCAAGCAAAATCTTGAGAAGGAGTTGCAGACATTGAAGGGGCAAATTTCGGACAAGGAGAAAGAAATCGACGGTAAAAAGGAGGAGATTAAGGAGGAGAAGTCTCTGACGAAGGAGCAGATCAAGGAGCGAGGAATCAAGTCATACAGGCTGTAGCGTCCGATTCGGCACAACGCAGGAGATGGCTCCAGAAAGACACTCCGATTCTCCTCGTGGGATATCAGAACTTCGAGGAACGGCTTCTTTGCTCATTCACCCAGACTTGATGCTGCTCGGATCTCGCTTAGTATACCACTGACGCAAAACTGATTTAATCAACAGGACGGGAGATGTCCATTCAGTTAGTAACTTTGGCCATTTTGTACTCCTTGCACGATGGGTGAAATAGGCAATATTGCAAGTTTTCCAACTTTCATTCTCTCGTGAATTTCTATATATTGTATGCGATTTTGAATGATTTACGCTGCAAATGGTTAACCATCGGCGCAAATCTGGAATTTGAAATTTCGGTGAGATTAGAGCAAGCGCCAAGCTGGTGAATGGGGGCAAGGGTGTTGAAAATCTGAGTAAAAAACGTCGTCTTGAGACCATGGAGGTGTGTCCGAAGGTTGGCTAAGACGTCTTGCTCATCCGTTCTATCAGTCGAGTGAGAAAAGAGTTGGGATATAAAAGGAAAATCTTACCTCATGCTCAGCTAATCAAATCAATCGGTAATCATGAATCAAGTTGATGAAAACAGTTTTTGATAAAAGAATATGCGAGAGATTCAACCACTTCGCACAGACAGCTCTTAATGTCCCAGACTTCCATGTTTTGAATACTTATTTAAGAGTTCAAAGGTAGTGGAGAGGGTGTCCACTTATTTGTGAGAATACTTATTGGTTAATGAGTGCATTTGCCTTAATTTGACTTAGGTAAGATTCTTATCACTCATTGGCAGGTTATTTTTGGTATCTCTGCTTATTTGAAATAGCTACCAACGTTTTTCTCAGCTTACTTGGGATCATCGGCGGTGACAACCTTCATCTACAATGAGAAATTTCCAAACCCTTCCGTTGGGCACTCTTAGTCATTCATCGATGCAAGTCTATCATGTTGACCGACTTGCCTGCTGAGATCCTCCAACGTGTTTGCGAGCAACTTTCAAGTTCGACTGATGTGTGCAATTTCCGCCTTGTTTGCCGCGCGTTTGGCCACACCGGTCTGCTCAGCTTGGCTCCGACCGTTTCGTTTACGCTCTCAAGACGAGGCCTTGATCGACTGCACGATATTTCCTCGCATCCAGTTCTCAGGCACTATGTATTGAGCCTCAATTGTTTGACAGAGGTGCTGAGGCCATACAGCAGTTATGAGCTGTGGAAACAAAAATTAGATTGGCCCGGTCAGGACGTGGATGTTGATGAAGGCGAAGATTACCCTGAGATTGCGCTAGAGGTTTCGGATGCTACAATTTTGGATCGATGGTCGGTTTACCAGTCACTGCTCGCAAGCCAGGAGCAAGTCTTTAGCGAGTTGAAGTCGTCGCGAATGCGGAGTGTATTTGAGCGCTTGCCCAATCTTACGCGTCTGAGGATTAAATGCTCTGACACTCCAAATGGCCTGATTCACGACACTGACCCGAAAGTAGTCAAACGGCGAGATGTGGCCGGGTGGCTTCATCGCCCGTTCTATCCTTTTAATAATGAATCGCAGTATATTGGCCCTACCGGGATCGAACCGTTAAGGTTCCTATCTCGTGCCCTACGACCGCCACTCAAAAGCCTTAAAGTTGACAAACTGGACATTGGCTTTTTCAATTGCGAAGAATCCGAGTTAGACTCTATCCGCCAAATCGAGAGTATTCGACTTGGGTTGATCTATAATGACCCTGACCACGAGTGGGTGGAAGATAAGACCAGTTGGGTTGTGGGCAGAAGCCGACTCAAGGCCTTCTTGTGCTCAGCACAGCATCTTAAATCCATCAACCTGAGTTTCTATGATGACTATGGTCACACTATATATACTGGAATCCTTGGAATCTTGCCAGCAGAGTATATGTGGCCCAGGCTCCAAAAGCTACAGTTATCAAGGATTCAGATCACCTCGACACACTTCTTAGGTCTCCTATGTTCTCACAAACGAACCCTTAAGCATTTGGGTCTAAGGGACTGCGAATTGGCTTCCCTTGTTCCAGGAAGTGCAAATCCGTCCCAGCACTTGCAGCCTGAATCAGAATGGCCAGCAGACCATTGGTCAGATGTTTCAGCGAGTGTACCACTCCAGGTCTTGCAGTCTCCATACAATTGGTCAGAAATACTTATCCCTCTTGCTACTGACTTCTCTCTGGATACTTGCGTACTCGCCGGTTACTTTCGCCTCTCACTCCATGCGACTTCCTACCACGGGACAGATATGCACGATGTAATCGAAAATATCAAGCTTTGTGTAGGCGAAACAATCGAGATGGTGGTATGTTCGAAGGAGCTGGATGACTTCTTACACCGCGAACTTCAGGCATGCGAAAACCTTTCTGTGGAAGGTGTCAAAAGGGGTATCATTGAAGATTTGATGGATCACCCCCCGAAGAGGCCCTGGAGTTCTCGGCCAGTTGAAATCGCCACAAGATACATACACATTCTGAAGGCGTTTAGTTTGGTGGCAGATACTTCAGCCTGGGGGAAGTCATGGGAGCCCCCCGAGAAAGATGCCTGGAGGTTTTCATGACAGCCACCTGAGGAAGAGGAGCCTAATGTGCCAACTCTGGAGGTACATCGGCGAGAATTCAATATCTGTAGTGCACCCCTCATTAAACTACCTCAAATTACAAATTACATTATTGGGCGTAAGATCACACTAAGCAGATCGTAAGAGTTTCGGACCCCAAAAGTAATAAGGCTATCTGTAGTATCTAGGTTAAGGTTGATGTTGAAACACTTGTTGGAAATTGCTAGCTGACGTATAACATTGGTGTCTGGTTGGTAAACTGTTGCCTCCCACGTATAGATCAACGAATCTGGCTCGAAGTCTTTTAGCGGCCTATGGCTAAGAAATTCGGTTTAATATGGGAGCTTAGCAAAATTACTGAAAAAGTAGGAGTGCAGCTTTCGATCGATCATCGTCTTTAGCTTCTTTGCGCTACAAAGTCACTCGACTTTTAGTTCATAACAGAAAAAGATGATATTTATATCTACGTGAATTATTCACTGTGTTAAGTTGGTCGGGCCCTAGCAGCTTCATCGTTGTTTAACCTTATCATCGTTTTCTCCCACGCACGCATATCTACGTGAATGTTAGGTCTCCCACTAGGTCAACATAAAGTTTTACTCCTGATGATATGAATGAAATGGCACCGAATGGTAACACAGCAATGGAGTTTCAGAGCCCCTTCGGCGGCAGAATCTTTGCCTGCCTCATCCGTTCCCATGCGGTGATGTAACTCTGCACAGTGTCGACCTCCTCTGTAAATCCCAACTTTCGGGAGTAGGTCAGATCATACTCGCGGTCAAATGCAAAGTCAGTCAGCACAAAGTGTATGAATGCCCAGTTCATTTGTTCAACCACTTTCTTACTCAAGCCGTGCCTCTTGGCGATGTCAAGCCACGTATCCTTATGCTTACTCACAAAGTTTTGTGTCGATATACTATCGTCCTGAGGCCCAGTCCCAACAAGTCCGAAATGCTCGCAGAGTCGGGGCCATAGTTGCGCCCAGGTCATGGTCGGTCCGTCCGCGACGTTGATGATTGCGCCGTTGCCGCATGTCTCTGTATTCAGTGCGGCAAAGATCTCCATCTTAGCGAGTATGTCTTGGGAGGTGTCTGTAAAAGTGGCGTTATAGCCGCTCGAGGTTCCTGGAAATGGAAATGAGGTCCCTGCTCCTTTCACCTCTTTGTAGAGTGAGAAGAGAGTACCGAGACCTTGTGCCAGATTCATGAAGTTCGACGACGGAGAAAAGCCAACAATGACTTCTGGTCGAATTTCGGAAAATGTCCACTTCTTGTTCCGAGACGCCGCTGCGAGTAGGTCATGTTGCGCGTAATAAAACACCTTGCTTGCCCATGGTTCAGGAATACGAGGCAAAGACTCTGATAAGGGCGTCTTGATTTGCACTTGGTCTGGAAATTCTAATCCATATCTAGATTACCAATAAACAGGTTAGTTTGCACCCTATACGTGCAAAAAGGGACAGAAATTGTCTTTCTAACCGTACCCGTTTCCGCCAGTTTGAAGAATAAATGTCTGCAAATTGGGTGCAGCCTTCTCAGCAGCTTGGACAGCAACTTCTAGGATATGTGTGTTCGTTGTTTTCATCTTTTCGGGAGTCTTCTCCTCAATGTAGGCTACACAAGCGATCAGTATTGTAGATCCAACGACACGGATGTTCTGAAAATGATAGGCGTACCAGTGAAAAAGACATGAGTGACTGTGGCAATATCAGGAACCTGGTCCTGAAGCTTTGCCACAACCTCTTCCACTCCAGCCCTCAAATCAATACCGGAAATAAGCTTGATCCTTTCATCTTCGGCAATGAGCGCCTGGTTGAGGGCGAGTGGGCGGTTTGTGGTGCCAGTGATTCGCTTAAACGCTGTCTCAGATGGATATACTCTGGTTTGGTTCAGAAGCGACCAGCCCGAGATACCAGACGCGCCAAAAATCAAAGCGTGAGCCATTATTATCGATGTGGTACTCTACCTGAAGAGGTTGCTTTCCTTGTTTGGTTCCCTGTATTGACATATGGTAATATACTACACTTACGAGATTGACTCTCCACTGCTTAGAAATCCGATCAATGCATGATTATAAATCCACGTTACACCGCTTCGCGTATCGGTAGATTAGGACGTACAAATTTAAATACCAGAGCAGGTTGGAAACCCGGATCTAATGAAGTCAGACGCAGTTAATGTTTAGCAAACAGGCTGTCTCTGGAGTCAGTTAAGACTTGTGGAATATCATTACAATAAAATATATACAGATGGTTTTGACTTTTCATTGTTCGTCTATTTGTATGGGTTTTTGACTTTCCTGTGTATGATCCCATGTAATTCCTTGAACCCTTGCTTGTCAAATACCTTGTGAGGCCTAGTAAACAGCATGGGGAGAGTAGCGGTCGAGCATTATTCCCGTACGATCTTTGATCATCAGGAACAAATATATTTTTGTCATTCCCTTTGTACTCATATGTGGGGGGCGCTTCGGCGACTTTCAGACCTCACGATATCACATTATCAAAGAAATAAATAAATAAAGCGTTCCATCGTTAGAGCAAGATGAAATTCGGGTACGAGATTCATCTTAGGTAGTTTGTTGACATAATCACATAAACTCCCACCGTAAAGAGCAACAATTCATCACTTTCATCAACTCACGTCAAAACGTCAAGAAGTTCCTTTCCAGCCACAACCCATGTGGTTATATCCCTGCTCCATCTCCACTATGTCCCTCCAAGCTCTTTATGCATTCTGCAAGCTTTTTAGCTTCTTCTCTTTGCGCCTTGACTTTCTTCTCTCCAACCTCCGCTTCTGCCAGCAACTGCCTCCTCCTTTCCCTAAGGAAGTCTATGACTTGCTCACTCGTCTGTGTGTTTAGATCCGCCTCATCTGTGGCCTTTCTTTTCTTTTCACCTTCCTTGTGTTCATCAATAGCTGTTGAAGAAAGATCACTATCAGCTTGGTAACCTGAATGATGTTCGGATGAAATCGCTTCAGAAGACTTTTGCCGCTCTGTCCGCTTTTTACAACTCTTCAGGTGTCTTGTCGAGTGAGCTGCGCGTTTGAAAGCATTCTGTGTATCTGATCGTCTGCAGCCGGTGTTGGGACAAGGAAACACCTCGGGATTGTCACTGTGCTTCTCGCTCTGGTGGCGTTGCAGAGTTGATGCCCGTGTAAATCCTTCACCGCAGTCCAGACATGTGAATTTTTTCGTAGCGATGGTAAGAGCAGGAGGTTCAGCTATTCGCTTGCTATCTTCACTTGCTAGGTCAATGTTGCTCGACTTTGATGTAATGCAAGATGAGCCCTCATTCTGCTCTAGAATGTGCGACAAGCTGGAACAAGTGGTAGCAGGTGCCTCTGTATTCCAAGATCCGCTGATGAGGGCACAAATTGGATTCTCGACCCGTGTCTCAACTGTGAGTTGATTCGATAGTATAATGTCGCCCGCAATACCGGTCCAGTCAGCATATCCAATGTTGTCGAAAATTTGAGGGGTGAGATCGTACTAAGCAAAGTCAATGTCCCCTGTACTAATTTGGCTGACTGGTCTTGGTCAGTCACAATCCACTTTCCTAAGAATGTGGTACTCACTGTCTATGTCATCAAACTCTGAGGCAGCATTAACTCCATTGCGAGACGGTTCAGACACTCGTGGATTGTACGTGAATTGTCCAGGTACAGAATGATGTAGTGGCGGCCAGAACATCCAGCACACTCCCCATAGTACAGCCAATGCCGGCGGTATTGTCCAAGGCATTGTTGTACAGGGTGGCCTCCTTTTTCTTCTAGCAGGGAACTTTAACCAATAGATGAAGGAAACCTCCAAAACGACCTCAATCAAGGAAATGCAAGACCAAAAGACCAAAACGGCGGCCGCTTTTATCTCCCCCGATGATTCCGCAGGCGAACTTCTTTGTTGAGATTCAAGTTCCAAGGTTTCAGCATCATCCGTCAGGTATTGAAACGCGGAAAGATAGTTGAGGGCAGCCCTAGCAAACATCGTGAGCCTGAGAAGCTTATCGAGCACAAAGTTCTTGAGCCCGCGGTATATGTGCGGCGTATTGGTGGTCGTATCATTTGATTGTGCTCGAGGTACCACCTCGGCCGCATCAACATCTTGAGATCGTAACGTTAGTACTGCTATCTATAGTTGTCATCTCGTCCATTTGTTACCTTGGATGTACGTCGATGAAACTGCATCTTTTCTATTAAAATCTGATACGAATCTCTCCATAGATTTATCTATTAAAATCAAATGCCGAATCGAGGAGACCAGAATAAATGGCAACTTGACAATTCTGCTGGTGTGAGCATGCTAGCGCGAGGCGAGAGTGAGGGGAAAGTCGGCTGGGCGGACCAACGCAGAATGCTTTAATACTTTGACTTATCACTCAAGGAGGCCTGGGGCGACGAATGAGGTGCAAAGGAGATGAATGGGGTGCAATGGGGTGCAGCTTTCATGGGGCGCAGCAAGGCATATTGAGTGATGTGTCCTACTGGTGGATGCTGACAACTTGTGAGATCTGTTGATACAAGTCTGCCTTGTGAATAGTCAACAATATGCTCGCTAAATCACCCCATGCCAAACAACAACAGATGGGAGACCAACGGTGCCAAGACATTTGAGGGCCCAACTCTCTTCCCGCACTGTTCTGCGGTCTACGACCAACAACGATGCAGCAGGGGCATCTTAGAATAAGCCCTGCAGAGAAAATACACTTACCTAGACAATTTACCCTAGAGTCCAGTTTATAATGCGGCCTTTTTTTTTCGTAGCCACGTATGATCCCCCAAGTTTCAACACCCACCTATGATCCGACAACAGACGATAGGCTAGTGCACACAATGGCGGCGTTCCCGCGTCTACCACAAGAGCTCATTGTCGAGATTCTATCTCATCTGCCCTATGGCGATCTTGAGAATGTTGCATGGACTCTGATGCATCCCCTCACCGAGATTTCAATTTCTCTCCTCGAACCAGTCTTCAAATCCAGGCGCGACACTAAGCGACTGATTGGGAGGTTTGGCCCCCTTGACACCCATTCACTTTCTTCCCTCGCCCTCCTCGGTCAAGATGGCATTGAACGTCCAGATTTTCTTGACCGCCTCGGACTCTCGCCGCAAACTGTTGTCAAACTCCCTCCCCGCAATCGTCTTGCCAACCTCGACTATATGCATCTATGTGGCGACTTCAAGTGGCTCAAACCCCTCACGGGAGAGCTTGCAGAAGAGGCGTCGGCATGGGACTTTGCTATTCCGTTTGCGCGCGGTTCAAGCTATGATGACCTGATCTCAAGCGCAGATCGCGTAGGCGTCACCCTGCCTTCCGCATTGCTCAAGTTTTTCCAGGATGAAGAGCTGCAGAAACGATTCCCTTCAGGCGGTGACATATTTTCTTTGAGATCAGGTGGGCTACGAAAGGTTCCGAAGTCACTGGATGGGGGTGTCGGGGGATATCAAATTGAGATTCTCCACGATCACCAATCGGGTCACCAGGTACACCTATACATCGAGCCCGGGAGTGATGGCGCTAGCTGCGTGTTAATGGAGTCCGGAGAGACGTATTCAGGCTGTGATTATTCTCATCAAGTCGAAGACGAATACTTCGACGGCTATGGGGAAAATACGCACTGCCCTAACATTACGGAGCAGGACAGAAAAGATGCCAAGAAGATGGGTTTAGAGATTATCCGCAGTCCATGTTCTGAATTCACCTTGATTGGGCTTGATTTTGAAGCTTGGCTGGCAGAAAAGTGGTATGGTCAGGTTTTATTTCATCTAAGGTCTAATGCAAGGACTGTGCCCGGGCTGAAAGAATACGTGAAGCAAGAGTTGGTATTATAGGCCCCCCGTCTATCACTCTCATCGCATCAGGCAGTACATAGAAGCCCGAATTTAAGAGATTCATTTCCAGCTGATGATTGGTTTCACGACCTGTAATAGATTCTAGTTAGATATGGACTGTCAGATCGGTTCAATACATATACTGACCTTTCCAGAGCGCATGTCACCCAAAGCTGTCTCAAAATCCTTAACTGAGTACACTTTGCACAGTCTGTCGACAGGGAAATGGCCTTGGCGATGAAGCTCCATGAGCTGGGGAATAAACTAAAAGACAATTAGTATCTTCAGGTGAGATGAATGACTTTGACACTAACTTTCTGAGGGTTAGAGCCACCCTCAACAACACCAATATAACTTTTGTTTTCCAGTAGAAAAGTCTGTGGCTCAATTCTAACCACACTGTTAGGAGGGGGAACCCCAACCGTCGTTGCGGTGCCCCTGGGAGCTAAGCATCCAAAGAGTGATTCAATGACCGGGATACGTCCCGTACAATCAATGGCGTAGTCAGCTCCTCCGTCAGTGAGCCTTTTGATGATTGCTTCCACGGTCTCCTGACCGTTCTTTTGTGGGTTTACGGTATCCGTCGCCCCAAACTCTTTCGCAAGTGCCAGCTTCTCGTCGACCACGTCAACTGCTATAAGCTGCTTGACTCCAAGATAGGCAGCTCCCATCAAAGCGGCAATCCCCACGCTTCCAACACCAAAAATAACCACCGTCTTGCTCTTGTCGGGCTTCAAAACGTTCAGTAACGTCCCCGCCCCTGTCTGAAAGCCACAGCCCAGAGGGGCAAAGTAAGAGAGCGACTCGGGATATGGACACTTCACAACGCACCTTTCAGCAACTACTGATAGGTGTGAAAATGACGACTGGCCAAAGCATTGACTGCTCACAGCGGTCCCGTCCTCGAGACGCGCTGGTGTGGAGCCATCTGAGATCCGCACGCAGCCTGCATTGACTGGTGAATGGACATGACAACAGGCCGGATTGTCTGCTAAACATTGCTTGCACTTGCCGCAAACGTTAAACGATAACAAGACATGGTCCCCTACTTTCAGGGACTTGTCCTTGACGCCACTGCCCAATGCCCGGATCACCCCTGCGCCCTCATGGCCAAAGATGGCTGGGAAGGATGGGCCCGGAAGCAGACCAGTCTGGAAGAGTACATCCTAGTTTTTCATCAGAAACACAATTGACATAAGTGTTCTATAGCTTATGTGAGTGACCAACCGTGTGACATATACCGGAGTATTGCATTTCGACTAGGACCTCATCCGACCGGACTTCATCCAGAATCACAGGCTTCATGACAAACTGGCCGCCCGGCTCTTGCACAACCAAGGCTTCCGTGCGTATGTTGGTAGAATTAGTCATGGTGGACGTGTGCTTCATAGCGTACTTTCCTAAGTGTCAAGATTGTGAAATGGAGTTTAAGTGTGCTGATAATTTGGTTGCGGGTTTCTCTTACCTTTGTAATAATCCAACTAGAACAATATACATACATATTTACTTGAGATCCAACTCGGTCTTTTCCGAGATTTCCGAGCTACACCACCATTTAGTAGGATGCACTTTAACTTTCCCAATCACACTTCACGTGAGGGGTAGGTGCCATTGGTTTCCGAGATAAGAAAGTCAAGGTAACATCATTGAATCATCCAATTAGCAACCCCTTTATTTCAATTTCATCATTCATATTAAATCATCACAAAACTTCAATAGGTGAGGGAACTACCCGAGCCTGCCAAGCACATTTCCGAGCTGAGCCAAGAGCTGAGCCAACGCGCTAACAGCTCAATTTGAGGAACCGAATTATAGAAGCTTGCATCATCAAGGGGCCACTCCAACACCAAGACCTCTCACTAAGGGCTTGGCCTGCCGCTATATCCAGGTGCTTTGACAGGCCTAGAACATAGGTGGCGCAGCAGGAACAACCTCATCCCAGCCAAAGGGGGTGATAAGGGCACGGATGTACGGAGTAACGAACGCACCCGAACACATCCGGTGTTTGACGACGTGGGGAAGCTGGGGTAAAGTGGGAAGCACCACATGGTAATCTGGGGTAACCAGCGAACTGCGCTTGATATCTGCTACCTAGTCGATAGGAGACGTGATTGCAGCTCGGAATGTCGGAAATCTGCAGGCATTTGCCTCTCAACCAAGATTCGCGTCGTTTTGGTGATCGGATGTAACCCTGCCGGGAGGGATAGGCCCTCGCCTGGTTATAAGGAGCGAACACCACCCCCTGAAACATGGTTTTCCTTCTCCCCGCTCAACTTCACGATTGGCAATTCGGGATTCTCAATCCAAGTCTGGCCACATCAACAAACCCCCTGGCGCTGATCATTCCTGATCGTCATCTGTAATCATGGCGAACACAACTGGACGCGATGTAAGTTACGTCTCCAGTTTAAACAATATGTCAAAATAATGAACCGCTAACTTCAGGTAGGAGATCACGGAGATCCAAAATGAGCTTCATCTGGAAATTCTTCCGGGGACGGAGATCATGGCAGATGTTGGAGAGCACCACTTTGTCAAGAGCAAAGGCAAAAGTCATCGAGTTCTCGTACCGCAGCCCAGCCACAGCCCCAACGATCCGTTGAACTGGTCCACAAAATGGAAGCTATCTGCAATCCTTGCAGCATCTACTCTAACCTTCACCCAGGGTTTTGCACCTCTGGCTTTAGCCCCCATGTTTGGCCATCTGATGGGAGACTTTAATAGCTCTCTGTCCGACGTTATCCAATTCACAGGCATTACCATCTTAGTCCTCGGCTTCAGTAACTTCATTTGGTGTGTGATGAATTCGATATACTCTAGTAATATGAGGACTACTAACAGAGTGACATATAGGGTCCCGATCTCGACTTCCTTTGGCAGACGGCCCGTCTTAATTGTCTCACAAGCCATCTGCTTGGCGTCTCACATCTGGCGAGCAAAAGCCACTGATTACAATGGCTTCATGGGTGCATCAATGTAAGAAACCCTTTGTTGTTGGGGAGAGCAAGGCGCTCTAACACACAGCTACAGCCTCAACGGAATCGGAGCAGGACCCGCCGAAACCATTCAACCGACAATCATCGCCGATATCTTCTTCCTCCACGATCGCGGAAAATGGAATACGATGTTTTGGGTTACATACACTGGCGCTTTGATGGTACGCATAACCCTTTTAATTATAATCATAACCTGTGTAACTGACATCCAAAGATTGCCCCTATTATTTCAGGCTCCATGGCCGATCATTCTGGATGGCCCTCTTTCTTTTGGCTCAATACCGCCATGACCGGCTTTTCCCTGATCTTCATAATCATAGGATTTCCCGAGACGTCATATAGCCGTGCCCAAGCTCTTGAGGGACATCATCAGACAGCCCCTATATCATCTTCCAAAGTCCTCGATTCCGAACACCGTGAACATACTTCGGAGAAAAAGGGCAATGAACACAGATTGGAGGAGAGTAATCCTGAGATTGCTCCCGCTGAAGAGGAGCCTTGGTTGGGGCGAGGAAACCCAAATCGAAAGCAGTGGATGCCTTTTCAGCCAAACGCTTCTCCATTTAGGTCAATTCTTCTTGATCTGTGGATTCCGTGGAAGCTGTTCAGCTTTCCTATCGTTGTTTTTGCCTCGTTTGTTGTCAGCTGGAGCTGCAGTGCCATGCTGATTCTAAATCTAACCCAATCTCAAGTCTTTGCAGAACCACCTTACAACATGAGTTCTCAATCAATCGGTATAATTTAGTTATTTTATTCTTACCCCTGAGAGTATTGAAAAGCATTCTAATTCATTTCAGGCTTTACGAATTTTTCGATCTTTGTTGGTGCACTGATCGGGCTTGCGACTGCAGGGCCTCTCAGCGACTGGGTAGCAGCCCGCGCAACAGCACATAATAACGGCATTAGAGAACCCGAGATGCGTCTTCCAGCGATGATCCCATATGTAGTAATATCAGCCGTCGGACATATCATAACTGGTATCGGGTACCAGAAACAGTGGCCGTGGGAGGCTATCGTCATCGTTGGCTATGCAAGCGCAGGAATCCAGATTGCCGCACTTCCTAGTATCAGCAGCACTTATGCGGTCGACAGCTACAAGCCAGTCTCTGGAGCGATCTTTGTTATCATCACGGTAAACAAGAACCTTTGGGGTTATGGCATGGGAAAGTTCATCACCCCTTGGACTATGGAAAATGGGTAAGCTGCTCTTGTTCGTTTCCTCCACGACGCTTTCTCACCAGTTCTCGCTAGATTCATTCCTGCATTCATGGTCAACATGGGACTTCTTGTCCTTTGGAGCCTGTTCGGGATAGTGTTTTATTACTACGGGAAGACTTTCAGAAGGTGGACCAAGGACAGTAGTGTTCACAAGATGAATCTCTAATCCACGAATCAGAGTTTTGCATTCAATTTCTACATTTAGTGAGCTAGGGAGAATGCAGATGAACCTCCTAATTGATTCATTTAATCAAAAACCTTGATCATTAAGGTCTTCCAACCTCACAGTCATAGGCTCTAAAGACAAAACAGCCTGGAACATTTCAGCCGATATGCCTAGATCCTCAGCATCAAGATGACCAAACTGCAACTGATCAAGCCCTACAAAATCGGACTCATAAGTGAAGGGCAACTGGCTTGAATCATTCGAAGATAGGAATGCGTGAGATTGCAGCGGATAACTTGTGCCGTTCACAGGCTGTGGTTCAACGGGCATCACCATTTCAACTCCAAGGTCGTTGATTGCCTCAATCACTAGCTTCAGCGCGCTTCGGATTACTATACACGATAGATTAGCTATATTTCACGACCAAGAGCGGGCCCAGCTCCTTGACTTGCTTACTCGGATTGATCCTGCTAGCGCTTGCCAGTGCGTGGGCGCAGAACTCCAGCCGACGTGCGGCTTGATGATCACTTGGCGTAGCTTGTACTTGGAGAAGGAAGATGGATGAAGCTATATACACGCAGTATGCGACGGAAATCGTACAGTGAGATTCGCCAAATGTTCGATAATAGACGTCGAAAATGGCGATTATAGCTGTTGCAGAGCTGACGCATTCACGGAGATGGTTTGGATTTGGCTCTAGAGGGCCAGATTCCGGGGACGAGCGGCGTGATAGCATTGGCCGATAGAGGAGGATTCGAAAGCAGTGATACAGAAGACTTGAGATTGTTAGCATTGTAACAGGATAACAGAACTTGAAACATACTTCAGTATTACGATATGTGAAGGTGGAGCATATCGAGGAAGATCTGATACATCCATCTTGAGAAAGGGAGGCAATTCCGCCCACCATGAGTTCAATGATGCCTCCTCTTTGATAAGACAACTGTGCATCTCTGTATCTGAGTTGTGGTAGGTCGGATCGTACATGTGGATCAGAATTTCATTGAATATGACCGTAAGCCGGCATATCTGAATAAATGAGGATGTCGAATGGGAGGGAGTAGGAGGGTATTGTTCTCCATCAGCATAAGTGAGACCGTGTGGCGTCCACAACTCGTCCTCGGCCGAATCATCAACTTGGGCAACAGTTAGCTAATTCTCCTACAGCCATACATATATTGGATCCAACTTACGGATGCGCTGTGGAGGGGAGGCGGGAGATTGCTGCAAAGAGGGCGACCTTCCCAGATAGAGACTCATCAGTTTGTCCCAAAAGTAACAGCTCCAAAACAAGCGACGGCGTATTTCCGTGTCTTCGTCAGATAAAGCGACAGACCCCATGTATCGTTGGCTATCGAAGCAGATCCCAAGATGGTCAATTAGTCGAAAGGCGATGCCAGTACAAACCCATGCCTGTGTGCTATTGCCACGACTGCATTCCTGTGCGCTCAGAAGAAGGAGCGCTTGCACTGTTGGAATGGTGCACACCCCTTCTCTAAGCTCATTAAAGATGCCATCCCAAGCTTGCCTAGCAAACACTTTTCCATCATCGTAAGCACTCAGAGCTTGTCGGGTTTGTTCGTCCCCTATCCCCCACCGTACCGAGTGGGCAAGCAGAGCATTCATCAATGTGTGAGAGTAGTAGGGTCCCAGCGTAGCCATATCGCCTATCCTAGTATTAGCCATATTCGGGATGAGGTCGCAACCATCAATATGCCATACGTGTGAAGGCTGGTCTGTATACGAAGTTAAATAATGGTTGAATCCAGCACCAGTGAAGATTCAACAAGTATCGGAAAGGCTCCTGAGTAAATTGTCAGTGCACTTACCACAGGCACAGATTATTAAGTGAAGACCCAACGTACAGGTATTTGAGACAAACTCTCTTGAGCACGCTGTTCCCATGCATTCAATACAAGCCTCTCCCTGCTCTCAGCTCCAAGAGGGTCAGATATCTGTGTAGCCACTCCGGAAGTGCTTTCATCTTGGATAGAACTATCCAGCCGGTGGAAAAAGCTTGTTGAACCATGATAGGTCGGGACACCCTTGTCATCGAGATTCAGACCCTTGAGGACCCTGGGTCTAGATGATTCCATGGCATTGATAAGCGTATTTTCTTTTTCAACAGAGGATTCAGCTTCCGGGATGCCCTTGTCTGCTGCTCCAGCTCGAAGAGCCTGAATCTCCGCTTCCAACTCCTCGACACGTTTCTCTAGTGAGTGTGTGTAAGCCAACGTGGGTGACCTGAATTTTTGTGTCAGTAAAGAACTACTACTTTTACCATAGAAATCATCTCACTGTTTGTATTCGCATTCTTCTCCCCGAGCCTCACACCGATTACACCTTGGCTCCCGCCCGTTACATTTGACCTAATGAGCTCAAAGTTAGCTCTATGAGTCGAGACAGACAGAGATGTTCAACGGCGTAGTACGAACCTTCCGTTTACGGCATTGCTCGCACGTAAATTGCAGCTTTTTTGTCTCCCTGGCTGTTGACATGATGTGTCTTTCGACGTCATAATGTGAATATGAGCAGGGACCGCTTTTCATCATGGAGAAACTAACTCGTTGATAATACCCACTTCACATTCTCAGCATCTGTTCTCACGTGACCAGGCTCGTCTTAGACGCAAGTTCATCATGAATCGTTGTAAAACGGCCCTGATCTAAGAGTAGCCATGAATTTGTGCGAATCAACCTCAAGCTATGCCGATGGCAATTCAGAGTCTGTCCGTCCAAATGTACGACACTGATGAACTGACAGTTACCGAGTGTCATGGCTTATCACATACGCAATACCTGGCTGTGAAGTATCTATTTTCTAATCAGCGAAAATCAAGTTGCCCTGCTCTATCAACTATGCATCCCATGTTGAACAGTACTTTCTTCATAGTCCTCATCTAACGATACTAGAAAATACGATCAATGGTCAAGTCTATAGCTTAATAAGATAATAATAATAAGCGCAATCAATCTCTGATATCCCATAAATCCCTTGCATTATCTCGAAAGACTCTCTCCACGAGAGATCTATCATCGTTACACCACTCAAGCACCTTTTGTACCCAAGGCGAGATATCAAGGCCTTCGTACCGAGAATGTGGCCAATCAGTTGCAAATACCACATGGCTTCTTCCTGCAACCCTCAACACTTCTTTGGCAATAGGTGCTACATCCTCATAGTCGGTGGCTTGGCTGAAGCGGTACGCTGCAGAAAGTTTCACATATGTCTGTCCGCCCTGCAGGAGGCGAATCAATGATGCGAAGCCGTCGAGATCATATGGATTCCGAGTCTGAGCATATTGGAGCCCAGATTCATTCAATGGTGGATGACCTATGTGGTCAATACAGAATCGGATTCCGAGTTCTGGTATGATCTTCTCTAGTGTCTTGACCGTTGGCAGTGGGACATAAATTTGGAGAACCCAGTTGAGGGGCCGAATGAGATCTGCGTATGCGCGAAGGACAGAGGTAAGCTCGGCCTCCGTAGGACTCCATTCGATGGACCGGAGATTCACGCGTACACCACGAATCCCAAGGCCATGCCATTCCCGAAGGGTTTCTGGAGACGTCGTCGCAGGGTCAAAGCCCACAACACCTCGGGCATTTCGTGGCCCAAGTTGGCGGAGTGCATCGAGGAGGCATGAGTTGTCGTTGCCGTACCCTGAAGGTTGGACTATGACAACGCCATCGAGGCCCATGGAAGCCTCAAAGGTGATAGCATCAGCAACCGTATATGGTTTAGGAGCATACAGCGCTTTTGCTAGGAGAGGATATCTCTCCACATCAAACACATGCATGTGAGAGTCCCATGACCCAGGCGGTATTTGAGAATGCTGTAGCATCGCGCTTTTGTGTTTCTTACGGTTCGCAGAGTAGCGAGAGAATGTCCGGCTGGGGTGGTGCGTAAACTGGGGCTTTATTGGATGTAATGGCGCCCGACATTTCATATGTACCGGACATGCCTGAGCGAAGAGCAGGCGGAAATGCGGCAACAAGGTAAGGCGAGGCATTATTCTCATTTTCTCTGAGTATCTTGAACGGTCTGTGGATTATCGAGGAGCTTAGTGTGCAATATCTTATGATCCACCCTCCACTCTGCGGAGAGGAGAGACAAGGCTGGCATGTCGGTTGGTGAGTCCCGCCACCAAGAGGTTTTGACACTAAAACGATTGCACTCGGTGAACTCCCGAGGAAATAAAGCTCTCCACAGCCATCTCTTCTAACAAGGATGACCCAGAGTTAGTCACTGACTCAGCGAGTTGAACTGATCTCCTGGCTCGGGAGTTCGCCGAGGGCCTGGCATCGATGGGGAAATGATCTCCACCAATACTCTGGTGCAAACTTAGGCTTGTCACCCGGCAATAAGATGGAGAAAGCCTGGGGCTCCAGCTCTCTAGCCGATTCTCCGATTGATCATTGAAGACGTGGAATCTCTTTGCTGCGTCGACTCGTGGACCCCACGGGGACCCCCTACAATCCCCAGGCCTTGACAACCGACGTACAAAAGCCTCTCTCCTTCCCCTCAGTGGCAGCAAGGGGGAGTCAAGCACTTTGTTACCTCTCGCACGCGGTTCTACAACTGCCTTGGGCCTCGCCACAAGATCAAGATGGCCGTCAACTGGTACTTCGTCCTTTCCATCATCATCGTGTCTTGCGGATCCATTCCCAAAGGTCAGTGCCCTTGATGGATAACCAACCAACCTTGAACCTTCCCGTTGACTGATTGAGTATGCAGGCTACGATGAGGGTGGATACAGTGCATCAGTCGGTCTGAAGTCCTTCGAGACGGACTTCAATCTGCTGGCAGCCAACTGGAAAAATGATGCCAACGGCCTGGCGACTCTCGAAGGCAACATCAAGTCCTTCAGTGTTCTTGGGGCCGCGTGTGGCACTTTGATTGCTCTTCTCATCAACGATCGCATCGGTCGGCTTCGCTCATTCCAGCTAGCCATATGTCTCTGGATGTCAGGCCTCTTTATGCAGATATTTGCTTCGGGAATCATCGGATTGCTTCTCTTTGCGCGCATCTGGGCTGGTCTCGGTGCCGGTATCTTGACCGTTGTCTCACCACTATACCTCTCCGAGATTGCACCAACAAAATCCCGAGGAATGGTCGTCACCGTGTACATGGTGTTCTTGCTTTCTTTCTTGATGTTTGGTGAGACACTAGCCGCGAAGATCGTGTGAAAGCTTCGGGACATATTCACTAACATTTGCACTAGGTTTCTTCATCAACTTCGGCGCCAACAAAGGACTCCCTTCAGGTCGCATGCAGTACCGCCTCGTACAGGCAATTCCCCTCATTCCAGTCGGTCTCGCTCTTGTTGGCTCCTTTTTCTTGTCAGACACCCCGCGCTGGTTAGCTTCCAAGGGACGTATTGTGGAAGCCACAGCCGCGCTCGAACGCCTTCGGAAATCGAGTCAAGATGATGAAGCCCTAGCTATAGAACGCGCTGACATCCAGGACCAAGCCCATCACCAAACTGAGAATTTATCTCAGGCATCGATATGGACAATCTTCAAGGAGATTGCAACTGATGGCAACTACCGGGAGAGATTTCTACTGGGCGCCACGGTACAAACGATTGCTCAATGGACTGGAGGGAACGGCATCACTTTTTACATCCCTCAGATTTTCAAACTGGCCGGCGTGACCAGTTCTGATCAGTCTCTGATAACTTCTGGGGCATACGGTGCCGTAAAGCTCGTGTTCACCATGTTATTTGCCTGGTGCCTCGTCGATATCTGGGGACGTAGGAAAACCATGTTCACCGGCCTATGGCTGCAAGCCGTGGCACACGCTTGGATGGCTATTTACATGTCGTTGTTCTCAGACGGATCAAACAAGCATGCGAGCAACGCGGCCATTGCCTCTGTCTTCATCTACGCTGTTGGATGGTCAATCGGCCTTTGCAACACCCAGGCATTGTACGGGACAGAGATCTACCCAACCCGGATTCGATCAGTTTGCTATGCGTTTAACATGATGCTGCACTGGTTCTTCCAGTTCGCTGTCGTGCGCGTAACGCCGAACATGTTTGTCGGGCTCGGGGTGTCTGGAGCATATATTTTTTGGACCTGTGTCTGTGCTGTCGGAATACTGCTCTTGGGCGTATGGGCCCCAGAGACTAAAGGTGTCCCCATGGAGAGAATGGATGAGCTGTTCTCAGGGCCGTGGTATATGGGGTGGAGAGCAAAGATTAACCCTTCAGCAGATCCGCTTGCGGGAACTGATACGGGAAAGGATGTCAAAGAGGTCACTATTGAGAGGGTAGCTTAGCTTATCGCTTCTATTTTGGCCAAACGGAGAAACTGAAACTAATGCAAAGAATTTTTCAGAACTTTCTGCCGAATTAGTTCTACCTAAACTCTCTTCTATAAAGTTCATTTGATACTCACTGTTGCTGTTGACGTTGCGCTAGCTTCCAACTGATGAATCTTAGAAACATTCATGTCTGCCGATCATAATTCAACTTCCCATTTTCCTCCGAGAGCAGTTGTGTGCCAGATAGCAGCTTTTGAGTTCACAATTAGTAGCCCGAAGGAGTCGAACTAGGTATGCTTAGGCTATTAACAGCGGAATGGATAGACAGCCATGTTGTTGGAGCACCATTCATTACATCGACAGGGACGAATGTGCCACTACGTGAAAGATAGATCCTTTTAATTCTCCTTCACCTTATTCTGCACTTTCCAAGTCACCAACGACTTTACCAATACCAACGTAGCTATCGACCAACGAACTAGACATTCAATGTTTTCCCTTGTACACTTTGGCTTTCCCCGCCTTTCCAGCTCTAATATATAATTTATATAAATGGTAACAGTTGTTATATTTAAAACTTATATACTAATGGCATTATGAGTTCATTTCATCCAAGGCATGACTTTGATTAACAATTCGATATTCTTGAACCCGGCGGAAAACGAGCTATTGTATGGACTTGTTCCTTATACACCAGAAGTGATTTATAAATAGTCAGTCACAAAGGTCACTCATATATCACATACAGATAAAACAACATTTGCAATCTATCTTACAAAGGCACCATGATCTCCAACATTTCATCCGGTCTAAGTTCAGTAAATCAACGACACTCCCAATTTAATCCCTTGAGTCGGCCAAGGATTTGGCGCTTCTGTCGTGATTCAATGCCAATGACTTGGTTTAAACAGAGACACAACTTGTCAATGCCAACCATTCAGGTTCAGTGAATCAACCACAAACCCAGTTTCGTTGTTGTTGAATCAGTAGATGATTCGACCGTAATTTCGCGTTAAGCGAGCTAGAATTCAAGATGGATATAAAGCCACAGGTATATTCTACTTCTTTGCCATGATATAGCACATCTACTGTCTTTCTTGCGAGAATACCGCAAACATGGCATCGAAAAGTTCAAACACCGTCCGTATGGGGGAAACTGAATTTTTCGAACTTCAAAAGGGAGTAACCTACACTTCGCCTCATTTTAACGGTTGTCTCGGCTCAGTAATTGTAGGAAAGCTGAATAACAAATGGTCTCTTATCATGGGCCATTATGCTTGCCATGAAGCGAGTATTGCGGACACAATGGACACGTCACTTCTCGCTGGCCATCTCGACAAGTGTCCAATAGGCAACAAGGGAGCGGCGGTCAACAAGATCCCACAGTTGTGGGAACCAAAACAGCACTTCTTTTCAACAGATCGCCAAGCGTTTGTCTACCGCCCAGAGAAAACCGGCCATGAAGACATGGTCGACAAGTTGAGTGAGATCATCAAGGACACCACTGGCCTGAGCCCGAAAGAGAAAGACTACACTGAAAAGACGGCCCAGGATGGCAATGCCGCAATTTCAGTCAAAGTTAATATGCTCAATCATATCAAGATCAAGTTTGCTAAATGATTTCGCAGTCAAGGGCATCTAAATGGCTAACGGGCTCTGTGAGGCTCAGGAAACAGTCATGACGGTCGAAGTGAGAAGTTGACATGCCTTCGAAGAGATGGGCCATTGGAGGTGAAACGATACAAGGAGTGGCGGCGAATTGTATAACATTCTTCCTCGTTCGGATTTTCTTTGTATCAGCCCTAGTTCCTACAGTAGTCAATAGACTAAGTATCGTTATGGTCTAAGAATCACAACAACTACACGAAAACAAAATGCGGTGAATCTGGATGAATTCAACTCCATTTAAACTTCTAACACATAAGGCAATGAAACAAGGAGCAGAGATAGGGGTTCCCATTGTGCAGTAATAGCATAGAGAAAATGATCCGTCAGTTGTCATTCAATACGATCTTCGTCTTACCATAATCTCGGGCTCAAAGCTAGCGAGCCACAAATAATTTGGATGCAGAACGAAACAGCAAGCAGCCAATATAAATAAAACGAGTCTCATGGCAACATGTGTTATTAGCAAAAGCTTAATCAACTACATACGTCTAATCTCTCCTAATCTACGAAAATCTCCTCCTGAGACTCGACTTGATGCAGCATATCTCAAAATTGAGTTATGCATAGCATTTACCCTGTTCGGGCAATTCTACCTCGTCGTTGGAAAAGGCGCAATGTCCAGAATCTACTGATCCTTCTGGTGAACGTACTACTCCCCACTTCACCGGTAGTAAACTTGAAGTTCCCCCAGGCGCATGGCACGCTGCGGATATAGCTAAGCTGCAGCTTCTGGCAAGCGGCATCCCATCCCTCAACCGACGTGTTCCGAGAATGGACACGCTTCCAAACAATATAACAAGAATAACGCAGGTGAGAACCATAGCAATCGGAGAGTAGGCACCCGTTGTGGTGACCTGCATCTTATCCAACACCTCTTGGTCAAGCCTATCATTATCGTCAAAGTCCCACAGGTACCTCTCAGATATCTGTGCGATAAAGAATCCCTGAGAAATGAGCCAATGCATCAGTATCGAGAGAACTAGCATGGGGATGCTGTATTGATATGGAAGCTCCAGAAAGAATGCAGACTTCTGTGCCCCTCTGGGGAAGGAGACTCGGAGGGGCTGGTGTGGACCGTGAGCAAAACTGGCCCATTCTGCGGCGGCAACCATCGACGTGAGAAGGGAATTCAGAATCAAGTATATAAAAGATAAGATGAGCTGCGGCAAGTTTGTGAGGAGGACGGTACCAGCAACGGCTAGGTCGCCGTCGGTAGGGATCTTCCAATTTCTGATGAGCGTGTAAGGGTTGATAGTCCCTATACCAAAAGACCATAAAGAACTAAAATCGCTGCGAGAAAAGCGACTTCCCAACATCTTTAGCGCATAACCTAGCAGCCCAAGAATCACACCGACTGCAGTAAGAGTCCTGTCTCATCATATTAGTTAGCAACTCCTTATTGTGGGGGGGAGTAGTATGTATTACAGGAGCGAGGCGATTGTCCAGCGGAAGCGGCTACCAGCAGAGAACCAGCGTTTTCTTTGAGGGTGATAAATCGTTTGGGATATTTCTTCAAATAATTTGTTATTCCTGATATCACGTGCAGATGTGAGACAGACCCCTTTCGTTCTCGGATCAGGAGACTCAATGAAAGAAGCAGCTGCGTCGCCGACAGTTACCAAAGGCTCGTCGTTAATCCAATGACTTGTCGCGATGAGGATGACGATAATCAGTTTGACCGCATTGAAGGCTATAACCACATAAATGAGATTGAGGGAAACTCTCAGTTGGCATTGGCTGTTGAGCTTTTCGCTAAGACAGTAGTTGACCTTGATGCCATGGACTTTCCATGGGTCTGCTCCCAGCTGATCTTTCCAGGCTCCATCGCTGCACAACTTGTCAGGTGGAGACCTTGGATCATTCTCAGTCTCAGTCCTATAGACTGACTCTTGGGAGCATATCCAGTAGTACCAATTGGTGATGTAAGGATCGGTCTCGGGACTGAAATTATTGTTGTAGTTGTCAACTGCGTACAGAGATGTGGCCGATGTGTTTCCACAATCCGCTAGAGAAGATTGTCCGGGTTCGCTCAACCTCATATCAAAAGGATCGTTGAAGATGCTGCAGTTTTCGGGTCTGTCCATGACTAAAATCACGTTCCCTCTGTCCTCAATCAAGGTTTTTGCGTAGGCGTTGATGCATTCGTCATTAGTGAGATTTTGATATCGATCGCCGTGCATAAGTTGATTTTGCACTTTGTCGGCGTTGACATTTCCAAGGGCTATAGTTTGTGTGAAAAAAGTCTCGTTGAAAGGTGCACCTCGCGCGAAGGAGTCGTCGGCATACCAGATCCGGTACAGATTGTTGTTAGCGGATACAAAGAAGATAGAATTGTACCTAAGGGGAGTTAGAAGTGCCCAGAAGAGTGCGAAGAATACGCTTACACAAGATGAAGTGGAATAGAAGTAACTCCAAGGCAGAACCAGACAAAAGCTCGCCGCTTCCTAATGAACCGCAGATTTCGGAGGCTGGGTATGCCGATATCTACCCACGAGCCCTTTGCATGCGCTCTATCAACGTCATCGCGTGACGGAGCACTTATAGTCTGCATGCAGTAGTTGCTTGCTCCCAACAGAAGAGTGCTAACGATATTGACAACAAGATGGATCCCAATGCCAAGCTTCTTGATGTAGCCGCAGTTGCCAACGCTAATAGGTGCGACATTTGAGGTATATCCTTGAGCTCGTACCCTTGAGGTAAAGACACCCGCAATTGTAACATTGCCTATCAAGACAGCAAGCGTTACTGCGGCTGCAAGTAATGCACCAAACCTCCAACCTGTGACTATATTTCGAGATGTTGGCTTGTCATCAGTCTTGTGTCGCATACGAAGAAACTTGTCACTAGAACTTTTGCCGCCAAGTTCCTGGACGTATTCGTCTAAGTACGGGTTCGTCAGTAGGCAAAAAATCGCATCCGACTGGTTGGCATTAAAGCGTACCTTGATAGCTACTATTCCGGAGATTCATCGTTTCCAAGGCTATCTCCGAACTGAGGAGAGGAGTGCCACTTTCCTGAACTGTACCGTGATGCATTTTTCAACGGGCGCCTATTTGCTACAGCCAGTAACACAATGAGCAATTTTCATGGTTGCTGCGGAGGTGAGATCACACGACGAAAAGAATAAAGAGTTCCCGAGTTCAGAATATGTACCTAGCATGAGATACCTATATATAGAGTTGATATGCTGACAAGAGTTTGTGTCATTGTACTAACAAAACGCGTAGTCCTGAAACGACTAGATAGACGTCAGATCAAGGATGGCTAAGCCACTTTCGCTGACCAACGCCCATCTAGTTCACAATGCATTGTGATAAAAGTCCAATCAGAGTAATCGATTATTTTCTTTCAGCCTACTTTAACTGAGTGGAACATTATTTCCATTGTGGGGAGCTAACGGGGCGTTGAATCTCGCTGTGAGTGATGTCGTTAATTGCTCACAACATAATTGGGAAAAAAAGATGAATATCGGTTTAAAGTATGTATCTTATGCATCAGAGACTATCACCATGACAATATCCTTCTTTGAATTGATTAAGCATCACAATATCATCACCAGAAATCCAGTAGTAGCTGATGTCAGCAGGGGAGTTTCACACCATGTGGTGGTCAGGCCGGTATTCGCCACAGCCGTAAGCGTCGGACTTTGGCTACTATACCCTCTTCTCTGCCTTTTTAATGTAAATCATCTAATCTAGAAGTCATAAATTCTGACAACATAATTTGATTTATAGGTAGAGAACGGCCTATCTTTATTCAAGACGCATGTGAGAGCAGGAATCTTCAGGTTGAAGCTTACCCTATACCACGGAGCGGGTAATTATTAATCCGCCGTAAAGGATTACTCCGTTTGCCAACTTGAACTTGAAAGGCGCACAATTTTTTGATGTTTGTTCAACGTTTAAGCCTGGAGAATCTTGGTCGATTCTCAAACCTTAACTCACATGAGAAATCATGATATCACGAAATCATTTATATCTTAGGTATATATCCTGAAAAGATCCATGGTGAAATTCGTCGCTGTTACTTGGCGACTGTCCTCGCAGTTGGAATGTCTAGGGTAGTCTGTTGTACGAGTACTCGATGTGGCTGAGGATTGTCTCTGAGTGGCTGGTTTGCAGTCTGAAACGGGGCGCAGTATGGAAGCTAGCATTTTTTATTAGTGGGGCCGGGATAGCAGTTGGCCAAATAAAGGTTTAGGCTCGTAAGGTAGGTAGTGATGGTGCTTTTGGCATCACGGTCCTCTTTGATTCATATTGCTACAATGAGCTTGCACAAGTGTGTCGAGGACTTCCTGGCGTATTGCCCTCAGACAATGAACATTGCCCAAAGCTTCTCTCGAAGATCATTGACAATTTCGTGCCACTGAGTTTTACCCCTCTTTTCTGCGGGAACAACTCATTGCACATCACACCTAGCAAGCTTACCTAATCTCTTATCGATATCAAATGGCGGTGGGGCTGGTTACTTTTTTTTTTTCTCAATATTTACGACCAACCTGTGTTCTTAGCATCTTTCTGTTAGGACGAGGATAACTTCGGCGACGCAAATATGAGGTCAGTTGCGGCGTAGCCCTATCTTCATGGAGGGCATATACTAACTAGACCTGCAGAATCGAGAGCTGTTACTTTTGCGGCGCTCCGGCGTACCCTTCGAAGGGGATTACCTTCATGAGAAATGATGGTGCGTATCTCGTGCCACGCTTCACTTTGCCTGGAAATCGACACTGACAGTTGCCGCTTCTAGGCAAATCCTTCCGATTCTGCAAATCCAAGTGCCACAAGAACTTCAAGCTTCGAAGAAACCCCCGCTCCCTTCGCTGGACAAAGGCGTCGCGCCGCAGGGCCGGCAAGGAGATGACGGTCGACAACTCGCTCCTCTTCGAGGCCCGCCGCAACGTCCCCGTGCGATACAACCCCGAGCTCATGGCCAAGACGATCCAGGCCATGAAACGCGTGAGCGAGATCCGCGCCCGCAGGGAGCGCGTGTTCTACAAGAAGCGCATGGCCGGGAACAAGGCCCGCGAGCTCGCCCGTGCGGCCAAGCTCGTCGCCGAACACGAGCACCTCCTGCCCCGTATCCGTGGCAGCGAGTTGCGACGCCGCAGAGAGGCAGCAGGCGAGGATGCCATGGATATCGAGGATGGTATCGTTGATGAGGATGCTCGCGTCGTCAAGCAGAAGAGCCAGGTATTTGGTGGCGAGAAGAAACGCCTGAAGGTCCGCGTTGAGGAGATGGCCGAGGAATGAACATCAGCCTCGGTTAATGACATGGAAAAGGGTGGCGCCGGCGTTTTCTAGTTTTTCTGAGCAATGAGTCGATCAAATAGGCTTTGATATTCGTGGGTAAATGGGACTACGCAAATTGGTTTTCATCTAAGCTTCGCATCTACGCATTGCTGAAGATCTCTACCCACTGTTTCATGAGAATCCTTTTCGTGGAAGATCTTGGTTTAAGTGATGTTGAGCAATCAAATATGACCGATTTGGTGCCTAAAGCTGTCCTGTTCTCAGGGAATGCTCAGAAAACCGCGGTTCTACCCTTTTGGATTACGACGAGCCCGAGTCCACCGATGAGTTTGGCATTGTCAACTCTTGAGCTACATTACCTGGAGGCTATCGTTCCCTAGGTTAAATGACATGCTTGAGATACGCAAATCTTTTGCAGTACACACTAGCCAGGCTACTGATTTCTACGACTGTTGTCTCGGCGAGGGGGATTGAAGTATGCAATAGAATAGATAGCTTAATGTCAAGAGATCTCTTTATACTATCTTAAATAGCCTGATAGTCCAATATTCCATTTGTTTTGAACTCTTCAAATGCTCTTAAATACAGAAAGACTTGAGAGAGCCTTGCCAGGCCACTCGAACAGCGTGTTCGAAGGGCAGGACGAGCCCAAGGCTTGGTTATTCATCCAAGCGGGTTCCCAGTAATAAAGACCTGTAGCACCCACATCATTGGCAACTTGGGCTACCTTTTGAATGAAGGTAGTTTGCCCGGCGGCAGAGAATGGGATGCTGGTGAGGTCGGAGGGGAACGCGTATGCTGGGGAAGGGCATGAGGTTGGCCAATCAGTCTCGACAATCATGAGCTCTTTGCCCCATGTGCTCTTCATGTTCTGTAGGCTTGATTTGAGGGCTGAGAGGGTGGCTCCGTTGCCATAAAACGGATAGTAGGAAACTCCCATAACATCAAAGTCGCTGGCCTTCAGAGGACCTGCAGCGAGGACGCCCTTGTACCACCACGACTGTGTATCCCACTTCCAGCCATTGTCGAGATGAATCATGATCTTAGGCTTTGGGCTGAGGCTGGAATCCTTGATCCCATAAGCGGCAGAGTTCAGAAGACGCGCCACGTTGTAGAAATTGGATGTTGACCCTGTGGGGAACAGGAGGCCAGAAGTGATTTCATTGCCGATGGAGATGATGGCTGGTGCAACGCCTGCGCTGCTAAAGGCATTCGAGACATCCCTGGTGTAGTTGTACAACTTCCACGAGAGGTCATCGATGCCAGTGGGCCAGCCTGACGGAATGCCTTGCTTGCCTGGATCGGCCCAGGTGTCACTGAAATGCAATGTGAGGTAGACACTCAACCCTTGGGCTTTGGCTCGCTTAGCCAGTTTTAGGTTGTAGTCTAGGTTGTACTCGCCATTGGATGGGTTCACCCAGACACGCTGTCGCACAGAGTTGACGCCGTTGTTCTTGAGGATCTGCTCGAGAGGGAGCGTGGAGCCGCCATCTGTGTATGAGATGCCTTTTCCTTCTTCCACCGCTACCGAGGACCAATCGACGCCTTTGTAGGTGAGTGCCGACACTGATGTTGTCGACAAAGCAGACAACGCTGCCGTAATGATAGAGAAACGCATCTTTGCGAACTTCAAGATAATCTCTTATGTGTATTTTAACTTCGAGATTTGTCCTTTTTTCCTGAGGAACAGAAAATCTTCCGAGGACAGAGTCGTGTTTCCCTGGAAAAAGGGATGTAGTGAAGTTATAAGTCCACAAACTCCTGGCCACGGTGAAACATGATTCCCACTCTTGGACCTTGGCCTTCGTTTCAAGGAGCGTTTCCGTTGTTTACCCAATTTGGGGATGGTTGGCGTCTCCGTCTAGAGCTGAAACGGTGCTCCGGAGGGTGACACTCCGTTCACTGGCTCCGGGACGACACCCTGGAACATCCGATTCTGCTACCCCAGAATACGAGAGCATTGAGCCTGAAAATAATTTCTCTAGCGAACCAATCATGGTATTCTAGCGGCAATCATGAGAACGGAATCCTCGCTATATTGCGCGGCCGAAGGGACGAGGACAGCTTTGAGTGACATCCCATCCGGCGCGGAGGCTCGTCGCTTGGTTGCTCTATCATATCCGCCAAAGGGCTAGAGATATTTGACGGCAGTCAATGGCGATTTGATTAAAATGATGAAACATGATCGGAAGTGATCAAGGAATTGAAATTATCGGGTATCGTTGAACGCTGTCATGCTGAATGAACGTATTCCAACTGAGCGGAGTCTTGGGCTGTTGTGATCTGCATTTGCGCTAGGCTGGTGCGGTAGAGAAGGCCGTCAAGATATCATAAAGCGCTAGTATTCGGGCCGTGAGTTACGTCTCTAACCCTAGCTCGCAGGATTATTTTCTTGAGGAGTATGTTGTATTGTGTCCCTCCTACATGAAGTCGGGCTGAGGTAGGCTCATGGCTAGTCTAGACGGCATAGTCGTCGGCGTAATCCATCATAGCGAACTACTAATGTCCATACCTCTCATTTTCACTTATATCTATAGGGAGCAAATGTTTCCTAGTGGCTACCACTTAGCATGTCACCGTTACGCACTGTGACATCGGGGCACATTACTGGTATTTTGCACGAATCATCTTTCTGCCGCTACTCCTGCGCGAATGTATGCTGAGAACCATATATGCTAAGGCCACCTCGAGATTAAGTATCGACTAGTAGCTTGTCATAATGGGTCTTTCGGCGAAAAATTGCTAATAAGAAGCGATTCTGCTGCTCTGGCTGAATTAAAACTAAATACGACACCTTACCTGCGCTTGTGTAGATGATGTGAACTAAAGCCCCGTTGCTGTATGAACGTACAGTGTTATGAGATCGTCAGCTCATCATAAATACATAAAATGTGACACTCTGGAAAGATGAAGTGGAATACCACCTTGATTAGTTTGAGATATGTAATAGTGAAAACGTCCGTCCGATAAGTGTCAGAAGACCGCCCCGAAGGACCTTGGCTGGTGAACAGGAATCGCTAACTCCTTGGAAAGAGAGCTATTATTAACATTTAGATTAGAAGGCACATACCCTGGTTGACATATTGTTATTTCCTTACGGTACTTGGCCTGCGAGCACTGTTTGACCTGGGCTGGATGTCTCTGAGACTCAGACTAGGGAGAGATATTTAGGCTAGAAGGGAGATGAACGGTGCGTTGCCTTGCTAGGGTCGGCTGAGTTTAAATAATAGGATATATGGATGCTGATTTTTGGCACAAGACTCTCAACTCTGATCGTCAGCCTTAGGTTCTCTTGAAACTCGCCATAACGCCCTGCCATCCCAACAATGGGCAATCAGCCAGACTTTGAAGTTAATATCGATGAGTTGGCTCTTTACATTGGCTCTCCTAATTACGATGGTGAACGCCTTTGGGTCGTGCAACGACCTAACAGGAATGACATTATCCGGCGATGCTTGGACCTGAAAAAGTTGATTCCCAAGGAGAATCTCGAAACATTCGTTACAATATTCTCGTTCGTGGTCCTATTCTGGGCTGTAAAAGGAAGTACGAGATCATCGGTCTTCATGTGGTTGTTAGTTGGCGTATTCGCCGTCTATCTTGTCCGCGCAGCCCACTTCTACCTGCATGTTGAAAAGCAGTTTGATTTTACAACGGGGCAGCCGGACGATGTGGAAGCTCTTGGATATCTTATCGCGGAACACAGTCTGATATTATGCACCCATGGTGGTGCCAAGCTTTTTCCCGATGATAACCCTCAAGGTACCCAAGCATCTGAATCTCTTTATATCACGATCATACGTGCGTGCGACGAAGCTGTGAGATCATCTAGAGCGAGAGGAATGGCTGCTCTTGAAATAAGACCGCTTCAAGACGTTGAACGGGGCAGAAATTTCCGACTTGCTGTTCTTCCTTGCACAGGACACGGGTACAGCTTCAGTCTCTGTAATGTCCATGGTCTCGCTTGGAGTATCTCAACGACCCTCCTCCCCTCCTATAAATCGAATGGTATGTATATTACAATTGCTAGCATTTTGGGCTGCATCTTGCAGCTTCCCGGGGTGAATTCCTCAAGATGGAGTATCGGTGTTGTCTGCTTTTTGATGGAGTTGTCTGTTGATTATATCGCCCTCAGACACTGGAATATCTTGGGGAACAATTCTGCCCGTGTTAGAGACGTATTCTCCATCTTGAATACTTCTGTTATTTTACACGACTGGGTTGGGCTACAATAGTGTATATGCATAGTCAACCTTAAAATCAAGTTCAAGCTATTTACTATTAGGGACCACCCTTTCCACCTGTCTACCCGTGAAGTGATAACATGTAATAATTATACACTAGATATTTGCTATTACGCTTTAATAGCTGACGTCACTCAAAGAACATGAAGCCAGCATCGGGTCCGAGCGAAAAGTGGATCCGGAGTTCCGTGGAGTTCATCTGCGGAGTTTTGTTTCTGGACACCGAAGTTGCCATTCGTCAGTCCCACCGACATTTCTTCCTTTCCTCTTCAACGGGGTGGCAGACGTTGGGCCTCGTACCGAACTATTGGATATTTCCCGAGAGAGAAGCCCGCTGCATTCTATCTGTGCCGAAGCCCCGGTCTGCTGCTACTTGGCTGCACGCTTGTCTACGCAGAATGGATCCCCTGCCCTCTGGCCGTCGTAAAGGTACGTCCATGACATCGCACTTGTGATGTCTAGCATAACGAGTGGTCGATAGCACCACTCAGTACACTAACAGTCACCGTCAATAGCATGCGACTTGTGTACGATCAAGCGAATTCGCTGTGATGGGCTGAAACCCCTGTGCACAAATTGCAGTCTTTATGGGACAGAGTGCAAGATGACACCCCTGAACAAGACACAATCCACCTCGCGAGCGTCTGATTCGAACAACAAAAAGAAGAGAAAGCAATCTAATGACAAGTATGTGTATTGAGTGTGAAGAATAACGCTGTTGTCTGATTGATGGACTAGAGAGGGACACCTGGAGCAGCTGGAAGCTCGCTTGGCACGGATTGAATCTCTCACACGAAACCTCAGTGGAGACTCATCATCTGGACAACCCCAACGGAGTCATATCAATCCATCCATTGGTGATGGAAATTACATGACACCGGGGAGCAACGGTTCAATTAACGGCACTGGTGCAGCAGTTGAGACCGATTCCTCGCCGCACAATTCGTCACACACGTGTTGCAATAATGGTTCAAAGTCCCAATTGCAGCTACCGCCCTTAGAAACTATGATGCCTACGTTGGAGCTGTACTTCAGGCATTACAATTCTGTTATTCCCCTATTTGAAGAAAAGGATTTCATGCGGATGGTTCACGGATGGAGCTATCTACGATCGCCTGCTGAGTGGGCTGCCATCAATGTCGTCCTCGCCCTTGGCTACCGCGTGATCGAGAGCCGGTCGATGGAATGTCCAGAAGTGGCCTTATGCATCGCAAATATTAGGTCCATACTTCTGGAGATGATGATGCGAACGGAGGACTTCCTAGGGCTACAAGTTCTGCTGGGCACGGTACTCCTTTATCAAGGAACCTCTCGGTCCCTACAACACAAGGACACCCCTATGCTGATGGGTGCCGCGGCAAGGTTGGTTGAAATTCTGCGATTGAATTCAAGGTCGGAAACGAAAGGCGCTCCTCACGCAGTCGCATTGCACCGTAGTAGGCTGTTCTGGATAGCCTACATCCTTGACAAGGTAGGAGGGTAACCGTTTTCTCTTCACCTGATTTAAGTACTCACTGGTTATAAATCATAGGATTGTGCGGCTCATTTCGGCGTTTCGCCAATACTCCTTGATTCTGGAACAGATCATGTTCCGCCATCTGCAAGTCCAAGCGATGGAGTTGGCAACATCAGTACCTTAGATGGCACTACGTCGTTGAACTTTCTCCATCGTCGTGTGCAGCTCGCGCACATTCAGGCGCGAGCATACGATTGGTTGTTAAGTTCAAGGTCGAGTAATACGAGCGACAAAGACAGAACAAACAAAACCAACACGTTGCGATCCATGCTTTGCCATTGGTTCGGGGCGATACCAAGTAATATGATGTCAGGTTTAGCCCAAGGAGCCCTATGTGTGCACTCTACTCAGCATCTAAAGTCACTGTTGAACGTGCACCAATGGTGTGTTCTTCTCATTTTTAGGCTACATAAGGAGAACAGCTCTATGATTGCACGACTGAGAGGCATAATCCCACATTTCCCCCAAATGAGTACCGAACATTTGAACTCCCTTTCTGACCATAGAAATTCCCTCCCTTCAGGATGGGATGAGTGTGTGGAGTATAGTCGGAATGCACTCCACCTGTCTACAGTCATCGGGCAGTCTGACTACTATCTCTGGTACGTCTGTTATTGTCGCCCACTCTACACCCATTACCTATTCATCACCTCCAGTCAGCTAACTATTCTCAAGGCATGATTCGTGCTCCCTGTTTGCTGCAGGCCTGATTCTGCTTGTCAATGCTGCAGAATATCCAGACAATGAAGCTGCTGATAATGACCAGTGGCTGGTGGATAAAAGCCTAGATTTTTACGAAAGGTTGATCAACTTTGGGCCTTGGGAGAAGGACACTCTTCACGCCGATTTTCACAACTTAAAGGCACGCGCTAAACAGGCCGTGACTAAGTCACATGAGGAAAGGATGACAGTTGCGATGGAGAGCTTCCTAGATGATTCCATACCAGCTGATCGATTATGGACCATGGGCGAAACGGAATGGGGAATTGAGAATCAAGAATCCACTGTATGTCTATTTGGCCTGACTGGCCCTATCGCGAAAGCTTATGGAAGCTGACTCCCTTGCTAGATACCTACAAGGATAGGCCATGAGCCAGACATTGATCCCGTCATGTTCCCTAACCTCATAACAGATGGCTGGAGGTAGCGCCCTTTAAGAATCTTCTCCGATGTCCATAAAATTTCAAGCATCAGTCTTCTTCTGGAGGCTGCCATAGAATTCCTTGACATCGCTGGCGTATAGAGCCGTCTGGCTGAGGGCAGGGAAATGGCCTCCATACTCGTATCTTTTGAAGAAGACGACTGTTGCCATTCTCTCGCACCACTCTCGTGGCTATTGATTTTCTGTATTAGCAAACCCGTGGGATGTTACATCTCATTGAAGGGGCGGAAACTTACGGCCAGAGGGTACTTGGCAAGCTCGGGGAAGGGTCCATTGATGTTTCCCCACTGGGTAACGCCTGTGGGAACATCTGTCTTGGAGAATGCCCAGTTCTCAGGCTATACGCGGTAACTTATTGTCAGTCTCTTGTTCTAGATGTACTAAAATAGCAAAGAAATGCATACCTTGAAGACCTCCAGATAGGCTCGGATGGAGGTATATGGTTCCTGAATCCACAGCAAGAACGAGTCCGTGATGATGTCGTCGAGTGAATAGGCATAGCCGTCACTAGCAACGTGCTTGAGGTCCCATATCCACCCTGCGAAGCCAACCGGGCTGTCCGCGAAGGAGTGAGACAGCGCCAGCGGCTTCTGGGCATGGATTGTCGAGTACGCGAAGTGGTTGTTGCTCCATTCGTTCATCACAGCGAGGTATTCGTTCTCCTCCGTCGTCGTCTCATTCTTGGCAAAGCGCTCCAGGTCCGCAGGTGTGGGGTTTGAGAGGAGGAAATCGCAGAAATGGCCGATGATGCTGGTCTGGACATCGGTGACCATCCATTCTCCGACCATAGCTCCCAAGTCGTTTGTCACCAAGCCATACTTTTCGTAACCAAGCTGCTTCATCATTGCGTCGAAGGCGATACCCATCTCACGAGGCCCCAGGCCTGGCTTGGTTGGCGCTGGGCTAAATCCGTAACCAGGTAGATCAGGTGCGATGATGTGGAACGAATCAGTAAGAGGCTCGATGAGTTCCACCCATTCAAGATGCGTGGAAGTCCACCCATGGAGAAACAGAAGAGGAACGGCGCTCTCGTTGGCAGACTTGTGATGAATGAAATGAAGAGGGATTGGGTCGGTGTAGTCTCTGTTGCCAGGGACAGTCGTTGCGAAGTGGTTGTACTTGCTGTTGATTCGCTCCTCCACAGCTGACCAGTCATAGGAATCCGCCCAGTGCTTGGCAAGACTGGCCATCGACTCAGCAGGAGCCCCTTCATTTGACCATTCGGAATAGAGCCCATGAGAAACACGGTAGGTAGCCGCCCTGTCCTTTGCCAGCTGGACGAGATCACTATCGACTTTAATCTCGAAAGGCACAGGGGAGGTGCTATTTGGGAAATTGAATCGAAGATTGGTTGCGGCCATGGCTGAAATGATGAGGTTCTTTCCGAGCATGACACAAAATATGGCCGTTGAAAGGATGCTTGATTTTGCTGGAGAGGTCGGAATGATGAGAGATGTTTGAATTAATAGTTTTCGAGAGTGAACTAAAGATATTTATATTATTACTTAACGGCTTTTACGGATTTTTGAGAGTTTAATTATCTCTTTCATTCCGTTCAAGAGGCGTCACCGCTCACCACGGAACACCACGGAACTCCGGCAGAGATGACTCCATGACTGCTTAAGCTATGCTCACCCAGCTTCATGCGGACTCCGAACTGAAACTCCGCGGGAGTCAAAACTCCTTCGCCGGAGTGCATGGGTTGAATTGATTACTGAAAATACGTTGATACTTTCTAACAATGTAAGATCTTACTTACGGCGGTCAAGCAGCTACAACTTCTCACAACCAAATACTAGAGGTATCTCGTACTGAAATATGAAGATAATCGGCTCCATTCAGTTCTGATTAAACTTGAATATACTGAGATATTATCCAACAATTCAAGCCTTGTCCGCAGGATATACAGTCCCTCCCTGTCGCCTGATCTCGTCCATAATCTCCAAGACCCGGATGGTCTCGCTCCAAGGCATAATAGCGCTCTCCTTTCTTCCTGCTGCCAGGTCCAGGGCAGTGTTGTCAGCTTCATAAATGAAGCCCTGCTGTGGCCGCACAAAGTCATACTTCTTGCCCTCCGGCTTCTCATCTCCAGTCCATTTGGGATACACAGTAAATGAGTGGGGATGAGAAGGCGCCGAACCCTCGACCTCGATAAAGCCATTTGTGCCGTCAATTGTAGCGACGATTTTCTTTGATCCGCTTCTCTTCTCAAGAGTAGAGGTTACAATACCTTGACGACCGCTCTCGGGATAATGCAGAATGACACTTGTGGTGACCTCAACGCCCTCAACAAATGATTGAGCAGCCAAGATCTTGGGTTTAGGACGAGAAGCAGGGGCATCTGGCTCCAGAGTCAGGATGTTCCATGTGAGGGGGTAAATACCAATATCTAGCAATGACCCAGCTCCAAGGTCGAGGTTTCTGAGGCGTGAGGTTGACGGGAGGTTCGCCACGTCGGCATACATCTGAAAGTCGGAAGTTGTTCGGAAAACCTCGCCGATCGTCTTATCCTCGTATAGGATCTTCTTCAGTTCAGCCACCATAGGTCGATGTCGAAGCCACATGGCCTCGGCGACGTAAACACCCTTCTTCTGGGCTGCATCGAAGACCTCCCTCGCCTCTGCGGCATTGATCGTGAAAGCCTTTTCACACAGCACATTCTTGCCTGCCGCAATAGCCTCCAGACAGTCGCGCTTGTGAAAACCGTGCGGGCTGCCGATATAAATGCAGTCAACGTTGGGATCATTGTACACCTCGGCGTAACTCCCGTAGACGGCGGGCTTCTGGGTTGGTGCATCCTTGAGGTATTTGGCAACGAAGTCATTGCCTTTCTCGACAGATGATGAGCCGATGGCTTGGATAATGTGGTTGGCCTTCGCGTCCGAGCGAGGCATGGCCAGGTCTGCCACAAACCATGACGAGATGAGGCCGGTGGCTGAAATAAATCGTGAGCCTCTAAGTGAGTGAACAGTGAGAAAACATTGGACTTACTTATGATGCCCCAGCGGCATGTTGGGATCGAGTTAGTAGCCATATTGCGTGGACTTGGAGAGAAATCAACCGGACTGCGGGGTTAAGCGTAAGTTTTTAGAAGTGAAGTCATTAAGAAAGGACCGAAATTGGCCTGGTGTGAGGGGTGATTGATGAAGTCGACGGCTCCACTGTTTCTGTCTGCGATTACGGACCGAAACTCCAGTATCACAATGACGAACAGGCGGAGACACTCCGCAGCTCGACGTGGAAACGGTGGGGTACGTTTTTGCCAGCTATTGAGTGTAGCTAGGTCTCACTAAGGAGCCTCTTGAATTCTTAAGAACAATCAAGTGATGAATGTGCTGGTGAGCTGACCTGGATAAACCTGTTTCAATACACCGGGTTTTGTTGTGTTTTGATGAAGATGCCCAGAAGTATTGAGGCTCTTTGAGATATTCTCACACAAATATCCCTTGGCAAAGACGTGACGCTGAAGCTGAAACTGAAGTGATTTGACTGCAGCGCGGCAGAGTGTGAGAATATAGCACTAGAACATGGCCAGTGCCGCGGGATTTATGCTAGCGAGACCAGATAGTTGTAGCCCAACATAACATATGGTTGTAGTCCTTTCTTTGGTCGTGCTGATGAATCCAAGTGATGATCTTTTTATTGCCGATCAAGGTCGGCTTGAGGCTATCATTACTAATAGATTCGAGTTTCTCCGTGTGCTGAAAACACCGAAATGTCTCGGAACCAAAACCTAATCACTAGAGAGCGGATCAATAAGCACCTTACATTTTGACTTGGCCTCGGAAGCATTTTTGTCATCAAATTGCTTTCAGGTAAGCAGAATATAGATCAATCAATCAATAACGGCGGCTACCATAGCGTCGAAACGCCTGTACAATGATTCTAAATAGCGTCAACTAACTCGCCCTCATCATCATCCATTAGTTTCTAAAATGCTGCCATGGCATCTCATTCTATGTGTACAAATCACATCCCGAACTATGGCCTTTCTAAAAGGCTCATGTCAGGAGGGTGACAACATCAACCAATACTATCACCGCACCATCGGCGGGGTGCAGGTCATTGATACCCCCCTCGTCAGTGCTGCTCGATAGCTCGCTTTAGATCATAGTACGCATTGGGCTTACAGGCTCATAATACGGTCTTGGCTGTTTGGTGCGCTTGTTATTGACAAAAATGCCACTCTGCGCGAATCGGTTGACCTTGAGGTCCACGCCGTAGCCGCAATGATGCATGACATTGGCTGGGACCCCCAACCCAACTCGCCTTTTGTCAACAGCGACAAACGGTTTGAGGTAGATGGCGCAATGGCGGCGCGAGAACTTATTCGCTGAAGCAATAACAGCGCTCGTTGGGACGATCGCCGTGTTCATCTCGTTTGGGATGCAATTGCCCTCCACGCCACACCCAGCATCCAGGCTTATAAAGAACTTGGAGTGGCCGTTACTGCAACTGGGATGAGTGCTGACGCCACCGGGCCAATTCTCGGAATTACGAGAGATCATTATGATACCGTTGTGAATGAGTTTCCTAACTTCGACTTGGTAGACGGTGCCAACAAGACCATGATTTGGCTCTGCCAGACAAAGCCTCGGACAACGATTGGTATGTTCCTATTGATAAAAATATACCATTCTTAAATTGACCAACTAACTCGTGCTTCTCTGAGCATCTAGATATCTGGGTCCAGCCGTGGGGTGAATACATCGTGCCTAATTACACTACAAAAGGGTTTAGAACTATCGATCAAGCCCTAGGATGCAATGTCCCCAATAGGCTAGCCATGCCTGTTTTCTAAGCTATTTGGTTTAAAGCCATAAAATGATACAGGGGAGGTGATATTAGAAATCTCAACTCCGGTTGCCAAACTACGATATGTTTTCCTGACTTCTTATTAATCAAAGAATATGTCGCGGGTAAGTTTATTGGACTGTTCTCCTGGAGAAGTGTTAACTTAGGACTCCACTAACTTATTTGTTAGACAATTTGGTTGAGAGAATCTAGATCAACATAATTGTTGCTGGGAAAATAACAACTGCTGGTCTTACCGGTAAAGATAAAGCTTGTACAGGTTCTTAAGCATCTCAGGTGATAACCATGAAAAGTTGCACTAGTTAACCGACTAAATGCAAAATCCTTTTTTCTCAGGCTTTATATATTTGAAAACCAGTCCTGTAGATATTGAGATCAATTTGGATACTTACAATAGGTCAATGAAGATGATCCAAAATACTTAAACTCTAGGGTAGCTAAAATCAGCCCAAATTTTACGGCAGCCAAGACAAGAACTTACCTTGCTTACGTATGCGCGTAGGTTTAGGCTGACACATATTCGAAACTTCGGCCGTGGGAGAGCGACTCTGAAACTTTGCATATTTTGCGATGTAAATTCGTTTTTAGCATCCACAACAGATAGACATCAACGAATTGTTCGATTAGTTTGATTTGCCTTCATGTTCTGGAAGGTCGTCAACTCGACACAACGGCAATGACTAATGAACCTTGGCTTGATTAGCCTTATTGATACAAATTGATAGAGGGGGTTGCCCAGCCCGGCTTGCCCCGGCGCCTTGCGAGTCTTGCTTTCTTGCCTCATACCTACATTCGCAGCCAGCCCTGGATATCCCGTCGCAATGCCGGGCGTTGCTAAGTCCGCAGCCTGTGCCAACTGCAAGAAAAGACGAATAAAGGTAAGTCGCGGTAGGAAAGTGACCCGATCAATAGGGCGGCAGATAGCTACCCAGTGGGCTGACTCACGACAAAGTGCGACCAAAAATGGCCAACATGTGCTCCGTGTCGCCGAAGCTCTACGGTGTGTCCTGGCCCATCGTCGACGCTCAAGTTTATTCAACATTTGGCTCCCCCCGCCGATGGCACGTCTGTTGGGAAACGAAAAGCGCCTGTGAGCTCCAAGGCCGCGCACCCATTCGCGGTGATGGTGGATCGCGGCCACTTGAGCCCATATAACAACGGCGATGCTCTCCACGGCAGTTTCCGCCTCCAGGTTCCTCGCTTCAAGTCGACCACAACGGCAGATCGGGTTTCAGCTCAGCTTGTCCATCTTTTGGAAATCAAGGAACGCACCGGGCTCGAGCTTCCACCGTACTTGAAATTCGTACCGGAAAGGCTATCTCACAGCAATTGTCTGGCTGACTCTATTGCGCTACTTTACTTGACCTGGCATCAAGCGAGCCGCGGCGAGTCACAAGCCAAAGTGCTCGAGTCTAGAACCTATGGAAAGGCTTTGAAAAGTTTACAGCGCGCCGTGAACAGTCAGGCGGTGTACACGGTTGAAACCCTGGCTGCCATGGTGATCTTGCTAGGCCTCACTGTCCATTACAAACCATTCACACTCATCGACTACAGACCGCACACGGTTGCGATTCGACATGTCATGAGGGAGATGGGTGCACCGGAGATGCAGAGCAGCCTACATATTGGCTTGATACAGAGTACTGAAGGCCTTATTGTGAGTTCTATATGAAATCCATTTGTGATTTCTCTCTCTTGAATCATTGGTCTCAACGTTTTTTCTGGTTGGTTTTGTGCTGATGACCAATGAAAACAGGGCGGCCATTTCGAGTCACCATGGAGAGAAACAAACGAGATATTACAATCACGGTCCGGGAACAACGAGCGCCGACAAGGCGAGAAAGAAGTCGAGGCATTTGCAAGGACCTTGCTGGAGGACATTATGACCATATTTCGACCATACCTGTGCAATACCCTTCCCACAGTACTTAAAATCAGGAAGGATCCCATCGCAATGAGAGACTCACATGAGTCTGTAGTCCAGGACATCAGGACTGTAAGGGGACTGATTGAAGCCGCCCGAAAGGACTTGTGGAAAGTGTGTTCATCTCCTGGATTCATGGCTGAACTTCCCGAGCCGAGCTTCTTCCTCGGCCACAAGGTTGTGTTTTCTTCAACCACGATAGCAAATTATGTGCTATCCATTACGATGATGAATGTCAATGTGCTCGCAGTTCTTTACGAGATACAAAAACTATGCGGAACTGTGAACGAGCCCGCTCGTGCTGAATATCAAAGCCTCTGTCTCAAAATTTGGAAATGTTTGCCATATCTCGAGACCCTGGACACTGCTACTTCTACACGTCTTCTCAAATCCGTCGCATCAGTTTTTGAGCATGCGACTGATGAAGAGATTGATAGCATACTCAACACTAACCTGGAATGGTCTAATCTTGGGGCGAAGAGTAAAAGTGACAAGGAAGGTTTTAGAGCAGAGGTGACAAGGATAGCTAATCTATGGTATTCCCGAGGCTCTGGACAACAGGAGGTCCAATATTCCATGCAAACTGCCCAGACATCTCAAGGCTCCTAAGGCAACCTCACCAAATTCGTTTTTTGTACATCTCTCGCTCGCAGGAGGGGACTGGGTGGCTATAAACCTTATGTCTTTGGATCAGCCAAAATTCATCGATCAAAGAGATAGCAACTGTTCAAAGATCGACAAAACTGTTAAAGCGAGGGTTGGAGGCGGGGTTTCAATTTTTTTTTTACCCAGTGCAGGTATGTGGAATTATCGAGACGAATCCGTCGATTTAACAAGGTTATTAACTTCTCCAGCCATCTCAGAGCGTCAAAGTTGCAAAGGAAAGAATAGATCAAGCGTGTTTGGAAACATGATATGAAGTAGAATTCGGTAGTTGCTTTTAGTAGGACAATTAACTGGCATCACTTGATGGCTTAAGCTATGCCTGTCATGTGTCAGCAGGAAGGATGAGGGGTTGAGGCTCTTTTCCGCCAGGCACCCCCGAAAGGTTTTCAAGCTCTTACAACGCCGCCATTTGATTCTTAGACCAGTTGACCTAAGTGACTATGGCCGACCTAGACTGCCCGAACAGGTTGTGGGACGAACATTTAGGCGTCGCCATCGACGTACAAGAGTTCAAAGACTGCAGCCGCACGAACAAATGCGTCTATTGTGGCATGCTCTTGGATATCATCACACACACTAAGCCGTCATGGCTGGCCGACGAGTCCAGCACCCGCGATCTCTCTATTGCAATCAAACTCCGCGAGCGTTGGGTATTCAATACAAACTTGTTTTTGCCAAACTCCAAGGGATCGGGATCAATCCGACTCCTCGAAGATGGACAGCAAATTGATTCTGTGCAGCTGTTCAAACCAATCACGGGTAAGCCCGTATCGCATCTCAATCACTCGCAGACATGTCAATAATTTATTGTGAAATTTGATAGATGTTCAGAAGCTGTCTCTCATAAGCTGGGATAGGTATGAGAAGCTTTTGTTCGGTGAGAGTCTTGACATCGCACCCTCGTCCGATTCGGACATTGCCTTTGAGCGTGCTTCGCATTGGCTCAAGAACTGCGTTGAGAATCATTCCTGTTATGACGATGCTCAACGCAGTTTCCTACCTAGCAGGATGCTGCAAATTGAGGAACCCGAAGCCGCCTCCTGCGTGCAACTCGTTGAGCGTTCAGCTGTTTCAGCCTCGCCATACGCCGCACTGAGCTATTGTTGGGGAAAAGACACAAGCGGTGTTCTTATCACTACAAAAGCTAATTATTCCTCCCATCTCAAAGGAATCCCTGTGGCTTCTCTACCAAAAACTGTGCAAGATGCCATCACGGTCTGCCGTCGGCTGGGGATTTATCTGATCTGGGTGGACGCGTTGTGCATTGTCCAGGACGACGGCGAGGACTGGCGCCGTGAAGCAGAGAAGATGATCGATGTCTACTTCAATTCATTCCTTACTATATCAGCCAACGAGCCCAACTCGTGCAAGCTGGGGTTTCTCGGCCCGCAAAGATTTGGCTCCTCAGAATGGCAGCGAAGTGTCCCAATCCAAGTCCCACCAGGATTAGGCGGACCTGCTAGCCATCTTCTATTCCGAGACAGCAAGATGGAGCGCCCCAAGCTTTTCTCTCTAGATTCTAGAGGATGGTGTCTTCAGGAGAGCGTCATGCCACGCCGCAGACTGGTATTTGATGGCTGCGAGTTATCTTGGAATTGCATGGAAAAAATGTTTTGCGAGTGTGGCCACCTCGACGAAGAAGCTTGCGGTATATATCCCCTTCTTAGAACGGGTAAACACGCAGATGAGGAAGATGACGATGAAGAGCTGAGCACTTATGCTAAGCTACACTTGGAATGGATGGATTTCGTCGAGCAGTACTCCCAGAGAGCTTTGACAAAGTCAAGTGACAAGTTGATTGCCATTTCAGGTGTCGTTCGGCTCTTTCAGACAAGATTTGCCAACTCCAAGGGCAATGAAACGGAAACAGACAAGGAAATCTTAGGGTTGCTCCGAAACCTGGTCGTCAAAAAATCATACATGCCTCCTGAAATTGGTGATGGTTACTTCAGTGGCTTGTGGAGAGATTGTTTCATTCCGAACCTTACCTGGACGGTTGATCATACTCTGCTAGAAAAGAGCGGCCGGATGGAGCATAAAAAGGTTGAAGAATGCTTAGCTCCGTCATGGTCTTGGGCCTCTATTGATGGTCCTGTGACGTTCCGGCACATGGAGATATCGATAGGAGTCTGGAGGGAACACATGAATCCCGAGCTTACGTTTGACGCCGTAGTCCACGAGGTAGGCTGCAAGCCTATCGTGACTGGCAAGATAAACGGCAACGCGATTGAATCATCCTTTCTCCGAGTATCTGGACCACTCGTCCCAGTAGAACTGGCAGTTCTTCACCCAGGAGACGCTGTCCATGCACATCAGTACTTCTGGTATAGGAGGATGGCCGGGCAAGGGGATGGGCCAATTGCATGCAGACGACAATGCTTCGCCCGCACCCCGAGATTACAATCTTGGAGGGTATTTCTGGATGTCGAGAGGCTGCCCACCATTGAAAAAGGAAGCCCCCTCGTGGATTGTTGGAGCCATACACGCCATACTTCAGTTGGTTGCGGGTGCTCCTTTAACTTTGAGACGGAATACGCTTGCCTTCGACTCATGACCTATAAGTCAAACGATGGTTATAGGTCTAACAATGTTCCCACTATTGTGATGTTTTTAGTTTTGGAACGCGTTTCTGGCTCTACGCAGACTTATCGGAGAATCGGTCTTGGCCTTTGGAACAAGGATGAAGGTATGCAAGAGGCGCCAATGAACGGGGGTGACTATGGAATGTTTGTCGAAGCAAGCTACGAGGAAGTGATCATTGTCTAGTCCAGAGGGCTTGGACCATGTGTAAAAGAGATAGGAAGATTCAACATCTGCTTTGAATGTCTTTGCGCTTCAAAAATATCAGCTACTCGTTGGGAACTATTTGGGCAAGGTTGACCATCAGGTTGGTCGTCTTCGCAATTTTGGGGATATCCTTGGATATGGGACGTTATGTTCGAAATTGTGTATTGCATGATATACACACCCTCCAATGTTGAACTACTTACGGCCCGTACCGATTTTATAGCAAGCAAACGCGGCAACAGCCAACAACACGCCGCTCAGATACAGATCCCCATCAGCCCCAAGTACCTTCGCAACTATGTCTTGATTTTTCCTCGTGTCACGCGGTATTAGGTCGAATGTTGTTGCGATTGCGGACCATCCTGCCGCTGCTGGGGCAGTCAACGTATCAGCCATCCCAAAACAATGCTCAAACGGAAGGCCCGTGGCCAATGACAGAGCAAATGTGAGGCTGAGAGAGTAGAACTCCATGAGTCGATGGCGACGTCCGGACCCGAAGATCGGGAGTGTCAAGAGGATGAATCGGTATATGGCGTGCGCGAATATCCAAGACTTGCTGACGGCCGTGAAGACGAATAGATTGTCGTGGAGACGGACGGTCTTGAAGCCAACTCGATACCCTTGTTGGACGACCCAGATAGAGAGGGCGAGGCATGCCACCTTACTGCACAGTCCTCGAAGGGTGCCGCCAGGGGGAGTTCCCACCATCATGATGATATTCCCATACACGGCGAAGTTAATGTAGGCCGTAAAGGTAGAAAGGTGCCTGATCTTGAAAGATCGACTCATGATCTGATATGCAAGCACAGACCCTAGACCAAGAGGAAGCTCGGCGACGACTTTAATCATCTGCACAGCAGTTGAGGTCTTGTCGAAGAGTGCTATAGTCGCGCTGGCTGCGAGAACGACGAGCAGTAGGAGCCTCGGGCTTCGGATAGCGCACACATAGGCAAAAGCGAGAATCAGAGTGAGCCATGAGTTGAATGGGATATCAATGAAAGGCTCAATGGCAGTGGAAAAATCAGCAATGGAGGGCATTGCGTGTTCTAGGCTCCGTAGCTTTGTTCCGAGTCTGATTGGGCTGTGATGCGGTGAGCGTAAAGTCGAATATTTGAAATGCGGTCGCGTTCAAATAAAAATGCCACGCTAACTGGAAAAGAATGATTACTCAGCTTACTGTTTATGCCGTGAGCGAGGCTCACATAACATATAGGGAGAGTGAGATTATTTTGGATATAATTCATTTTGCCTTTTGCTTTTTTATTTTTGTATTCAATTCTTCAATCTCATCTCAAGGCCGTATTCATTGCGTTGAGATGTAGGATCTGGCATCTCCTATTGTTGTTAACTCTTATACTCGAACTCTCTTCCGTACTCTCACGCCTTATTTTATAGCTGTCTACGCCTTTATCTTATAGAATTCAAGTATTGTTTCTATTGTACGTACTTATTACTTACCTATATATATATTATTGCTATTTTTATGTGCTTAATAATACTTGAATCGGTGACCTTGAGCATGGTGAGCGGAATATACTCAATCAATAACAGCTAGAATATTTCCTGGCGGCTTTCACACTGACCACAAAATATTTACTTTTTGTTGCTGATACGCAGGGCCGCAAACTCAACTACAGTCAGATAATTGAAGCATAGCATCCGATATAGGCTACGCATGTAAGCGATTCTTCTCTAGGGGAGCGTAATCCAGTGACTTGTTCGGGACGAGGCATTGACTTTAGTTCCTTGATTCCAGTGGGTAACGACTATAGCAGTGCTTGGTACTGAAAGATGAATGATCAGAAGAATTGGTATTAACTACCTTACTCAAATCATCACATATTCCACCACACGTTTCAAACCCAACAAACGACAGCAAATACAAAAATACCCCACCCTCGCATTTTAGGACGAGGCGCGGTACTGGCGTGAGTATCAACATTTTAGTTAGGAATGGCGTCGACCTGAGGAGGCGTATAATGACTGAGATCATTCTGCCACTGACGCAGGATTTCGTCCGTGGCCTTGTGGTTCGTGGTCTCATTGTTCGGGTCAAAGACAATAAGGCCGCCACCGGTAATGTCATAGATGACCTGGAAATCGCCCCAGTACTTTTTATCCCACGAGGCTTTCATCTTGTCAAACGAGGCGCGCAGGTGCTGGAACTGGGTCTTGTTGGGGTGGAAGGCATCTAGAACTTTTGCCTTTAGCCAGTTTTTCAGATCACCGGCGTTCTTGCTCATCTCCAGGTAGCGACCGGCAGGGTTTTGAGAGGTGCGCAAATCGAAATACTCCTCCGGGAAGCCGCACACCTTACCGACGTCACCACTGTCGTAGTTGTCGAGCTCAAAATTGATCAAGACGTCGGCCTCTGCAGTAGAGGCACTGAAGGGCTGAGGTACGGAGACACCGTCATGGGCTAGGCGATTGAGGATGGAAATCTCGTCTTTGATGTCCTTCGCCCCTGTGGACGACTTGGGGTTGTGCTGCATGCCGAGAACCCAAGTGGTGGGCTGGGTGTTCTGGGAGACGCGGAACACCATCTTGTTCGTCCCGGCGCCCAGGTATGAGAAGGAGAGGCCAGCACTGACTTTAGGGTCGGTGCCCGCGGGGAAGGTTAGTGACCATTTCTTTGTGCCGGCGATGGGCTCCAGATTCATGGGGTGCTTAACCCCTTCGAGAGCTTGCTTAATGACGGAGTACTGCATTTTGGGGGATAGGTTTTGAAGAAACAAATGGATGATTCTCAAGTAGTTGTAGCGTTGTGCGTGTAGTGATTGTGCCAACATATATTATCAAGGAAAGCCTTCGTCCCTTTATGTTCATTTTAGTGTGGGCCGACAACTTGCAAAGGCGCAATCGAATACACCATTCCAATATCAGCTGAGAATCCCTCGACGAATTGAATGTGAGAGTGACTCGTAGAAGTGGTATCTTGCGTCATAGACTTTAGAAACATGCCATTGAATAGTCGGTGGGCTCCAACTGGTGTTGCCAGGGTGTACAGTGTGAATGTATGCGAAGTTGGTCATTGTCTCATATTTGCTTCGACCTATCACATTTCAAAGAGCTTGCGAGATGTGAAAGGCTAATTGGCCGACCCTGTGTTCGAAAGGATTCATGTTGTCATTCAGAGCAGCTACATGTAAGATGACGACGAACGACCGGTGAGGCGGACGATAGGCGAAACTGGTGTCGGCCAGGTATGCTCTCCCGCCAGAAGTACTTGACCCTTTTGCAAAGTCGGGTACTTTTTTGACGAAGCATATGATGCTTCTTACGGTATATGACGCATGTGTGATGTTCAAAAATTGGCATTCGCATATACGAGATGCTAGAACATAGCTGATTGGCTTCACATAATTTCCCGTTAAACTATAGCTGCAACTCTCAGCTCCTATGCGGTGATGATCATCTACCGACTTGGTCGTTTGATGACCAGCGTGTGGCCACTCCATTAAGACAATCAGGACAGGAAGCCAATAGGAATATGTCCGATGTCTTGTAGCTATAATCCCCACCCTAGGGAGTTACAAAGTATGGCATGCAGGATCACATATGGGAATCCTACGTACTACTGCATTTCCGCAAAACAAAATGTTGAACTTAGACTAGGCACATAGCAGGCTCCCAGGAACAGCCACGCGTCCCATGACACATATCCAACCTCGTCTCTGAAACTTACTATCAGTAGGTGAGATATTACATAAATAAAAGCCCAACCAGACCAGACGGTCCCATGGGGCCAAAAGTTCATGCTTCGTCCGGTAGATGCTTCCGAATACCCGAGCCTGAGACAAGCAGCATATGCAGGTGTCACTCGGGAAGGCCCGTAAGCTCTCGTGAAACACAGTGGTAGTCTTATTGATTGGGTAGTTGCAGAGTAGCTATAAGTCGGTATATTTCAGTAACCCTACAACGGGAAGGCCGTGCATGAGACAAGCACCATGTGCAAATGTGACCCAAGAAGGCCCGTAAACTCTCATGCAGTGCAACTTTAGTTTAGCCACCGTATTACTACAACGTAACCAGAAGGGATCTCCATAGTTACCTTACGTAGATGAAGGAGCTGGATGAGGGGAGCTATCCTAATTCAGAAGCCCTATTGAGCCACAGTAAGACATTTAGTCTACTAGGATAGGTTTATTGATATGCGGTAAGAATTATCCACAATTCAGCTACGCCACTGTATGCATCCTATGTCACATCTGGCAGCTTGTGTGCCCCATTGTCTCCCTTCTGTATTACGGGCTGCGCGCCAGCTAGACAAGTGCCAATTCTTGGCATGTGCGTCCTATCCGCATTGAGTTGAGTTGTCGGGCCCTGGCGACTGTCATTGTTGTTGAACTTTATTCTCGTTCACCTACGTACCGGCATTCATTCCCTACAGCATTTGTGTATACGGGCTTCGATATCTCTAGTCTCTAACTTGATTAGATCGTGGAGGCCGAAATTCACCAAAGACCCTCAGTAGCCACGTGCCTGTGCTTGAGGAGATATCCGATTCTTTTCCCACGGACGTTTGGGTAGCTCATTGATATCGGCATATATGAACCTAAGCGACATGATTTCCGTCGCTAGAAGTCTGGCATTCTTACATGAGACTTCTATCTTGTTTTTTCTTTCACTAGTTACCTAGATAGTCTGAAATCTAGGTTTCGCCTCTTGCATCTACTCGGCTAATCGCCTATTATAGAGTTGTTATTGTTCAACGCCGCGCCTCAGCGCCACATGTCTCACCAGCCATATCGTCAAGCACCTATTGGTTGTCACTAGTAGACACGAAATTAAAATTAACCATAGAAGCTATCCCATTCAACTCCACCAATGTGATTTTGATGGAGAGGTGGAGCGATTCCGCACCCCGCTCGATCTCCCGGAATCCCTCCTCTTATTCCGAAACTCCATGTCCTTAACGTCCCTCCACCCCACACCTCACTCGCCTTTTTAGATTCTCCTCATCATTTATCTCTTGACGTAAACCATTCATTATCGACCTTGGGAAAGACGTTCTATTTCGCCATGTCGATCATCGGACATTGCAATTGTGAGGCCGTGAGCGTGGAGTTGAAGGCTGGGGAGCAAAAATTTTCATCGATGATATGTTATTGGTAGGTCTGAAAAAGTACATCAACGACGGATGATCAATTTTCATTAACGACTATAGCAACAACTGCGCTCGAGCTGGCGCAGGTGAGTGATACCTCTTCCGTCACCATCATTGACTTGATAATTGACCTGCTTTGCATGGCACAGGATACTCGATCAATTATATGGTTGATCAAGCTGATGTGACAATCAAAGACCCAAAAGGAGCGCTTCAGACCTATGTGGATACCAGAACAACGAGTGGAAAGCCGATGGATGTAGGATTTCCAAACCCTCACTGTCCTAGAGCACCCAACACTAATATGGAGACCAGCGTCGCTTCTGTGGTAAATGTGGAAGGTATATATACATTCCGCTGCCACGCAATTATTTCCAATATTGATGACTAGCCTAGCCCTGTTTTAAGCCAAACCACGGATGGCAAGACTACTGGGAAGGTGTTTCTCAAAGCCACGCTCTTTGACGAACAAGCTGCCCCTTTCTTGGAACTATGCACAGCTTCTCGAAGTAGCTGGCAGCCTGCCATCGCTGGAACGATTCAGAAGTAGTCAGAGTGTCAAAACACTTTGAAAATATGTATGAATGTATGGGATAGTGGTTGAGGCGCCGAGAACCTTTGAATGAGGTGTAAGGTGGTGACCGATGCCTAAATGAGTATTGTTTTGGCCCATAGAAGCTTTCGTGTCACGTTATTCTCTTGGGCTGTTAAGCATTCTGGACATGATATATGTTTTACTCGCCTTATTTATTGAAGAAAAAAGTTCTACTTCCAAAGTGTATATCGAACCTATGAAAATGTGATGTGCCACCAGGCGTGATGGCGTGAAGGTTAGATAAGGTAAGGGGCCGTCCCAATAACCCGGAGGGGGAATTAGTCGGACATCTCCCTGTGACGCACCGCGTGGAGAACAATGAAATACACATTGAATTGACTTTGGATAGCTCAGCATGATGCGGTAACCATTGGCCCTGACGATCATGTTTTTAAGAATTCGACAAAACGCTAATATAGGTCCTTCCTATGGAAATCGCGATGTAGGCTATTTGAGCCTTCACTGTGGCCCTCGACGGGCTCATGGGATAAAAATCATTCCTAACACCGGTTTATTTGATGCTCCAATCCATATCAAGCCCCAAACCCAAACCTACCATAGGTAGAAATAGATCATATTCCTCCAATACGGACTTCGGGGTTTCATACAGAAGGCGACATTATAGGATGAAGATTGCTGGTGGCATTCGGACCTTGTGAGTCAGGCCGTGCCTTGGCCTCCGACTCCATAGCGGCACCCTCCTCATCGGTGGCATCCTGCCCTGGGTTCGCAGTGTCGTACTCCAGTCTCTTCATAAGCGTATAGACGCCAAACGAAAGTATGGCACCCATCGCCGGTCCAAGCCAATAGATCCAATGGTAACCTGGGAAACCAGTAATAACCGCAGGTCCAAATGATCGAGCAGGATTGACCGACGTGCCTGTGAATCTCGTTCCGGCAAGATGTGCGATGAAGACCGAGATGCCGATGCCGACCGGGGCAAGGAAGGTAGCTCGGTGCTTCTCGACGGCCAGGAAGTATACCGTCAACACCAACTGCGCAGTGAGGAACATTTCCAAGAACAATCCCTGGACCACGCTCATATCGTGTCCTAGGCTGTTAGTTACTTGGAGGGGTCCAGGGAGGAGACCGTCCACGACTGCGGCTGCCGCGATTCCGGCGACGATTTGAGTAGGTATGATGCATGCTGCACTGGTTGGGGACACCGCGCGAACGAGGAGAAGTCCGAGTGTCACCTGTGACGAGTGAGTAGATGACAATCAGAGTGTTTGTGCCTGGACTGAGACGCGTTACTCACAGCTGGATTGAACATGCCTCCGGTGACCCGATAGAAAACCCAAACATTCACAGCGAGAGAGCTGCCAAAGGAAGCTGCAATGTAGAGCAGAGTGGCAGGCTCAAGGGGAGCGCTAGGATTAACGGCATTATTGGTCTCAAGAGCTGCCTGAGCACCGATAAAAGCCAGCATAAGAAACATGAAGGTCCCGCAGAACTCGCCGATGATCACCACGAGGAGATTGCGGAGACGGTCTGGGGTCCTGTGTTCTCGTTTGGGAACATCGGGGCGGCTAGTGTGCGAGTGCAGAGAGGAACGCGGGTTTGATGGTGTTGCCATGGGGGCAATGTTATCCAGGAGACCGCTGGCCTCCTAAACTGGATGGGGATATAAATAGATTCTCCGTGAAGACTTGAGGAAAAGAGCCGCAAGATCGAGCGAAAGGGTTGTATGGGCAAGGGTTAGATGGGCAAGGGACCTGTTTCTACGATGGCCTCGAAGCTAAGGATATATCCTGGGGCCGAGCGAGAATGATGACGATGCCTCGCAGTGAGAGGGGGCATTGTTGTTCCACAGGAACGCGACACACGTTGATCATAACATAGACTTGCAGAAAAGGACGCATGCATGACTGGCCGGCACCTACCACAAGACTCTGTTGCCATCATTGTGCTGCAATCGGAAAGCACATGGCGTGATGGGTAACGTCGCCGGCTCTGAGGAGATGGTGGGCGATCGTGCCGTTGCCTCATAGATCGACGGATGAGGGTCAGACAGGCCAACCCATGCCACCACCAACGGGAAGACTAGTGATGGGATGAACTCAGGATGGTGAATCATTTCCCTTCACATCCTAGCCGGAGTCCTTAGTCTTTTGTTCAGGCCGCTTGGGTTCGTGACTAGCGCACAGATGCGCATCTCGTGACGTCAAGTAGTCCAGTAGCTGCAGCGGGATCTACTCGGATCCCCAGACTCTCGATGAATACTGGTCCATTATACGTCGTAAATTGCGTGGCTTGCTGTTTTCCCTCTCTTTTGTCGTCATGTGACGGCTTTGGCACTGAACATGGCGGCCCTACGACTCACGAGGGTGTGCTCATCAGTACGAAAAGCTGCTAGCATGTCTTAGCAGCTAGAATTAGCCTGCCCCTATTTGTTGAATCGCGTCTTTCGCGCCTGGAAGAGGCGGTGTCAGTTAGAGGAAAACGGCGCGGACTGTGATTAGTTTCTCATCGCTGAGGCACAAAGAGAGGGGGGGGAATATTGATATCATCGTGCGTCTAGCCGATACGAGGCCAGGAACCACATTCATTTCAGGTACAAGGCTAGACGTGTAGGAATATGTATCTATTGCGACTGATCCTACTTGTCTACTCACTACATTCTTGAAGTCCCATCACCAAATATCGCAGACCAAAGCGGCCATCTCCACCAGCGGCTGGATCACGACTGTAGCGTCTGTCCTACTTGGAGGCCGACGAGACAAATGCAATCACCAAAATATCTTGGGAGCGCGCATGAACAATTGGATGGCTTTAATCGAGAATTAACAAACGACTACGTTTAGGCCGAGAAGGAGATTATGTGAGGATATATGGGAAGAGTTAGCATATTCAAGATTCAACCTTATGCTAAACAAGGTGTCAGGGTCATGCCTTGTTAGACGAACTATTTGGCCCAAGGACAGGTATGATACTCCTGGTGTATATGTAGCGTGTGAATAAAATTGAGTCTCGCAGGTCAACTAATTAAGAGGAGAACACTCAATTCCTAAAGGAGAACTCTCATCACATGCTTAAATTGAGACAGGGCGTATTTGACCCGTGTGTATGGCATTCCAAAAACCACCAAATCAGACTGCCTGGCCACGATATAAATGTCCAACCCTCTTCGCCTTCATTTCATTGATTCGGTCAAAATAAGACGTACCACCCTCGATATTGTATCCGCTGAGCCTACGAACCGGACTTTCCGAGATTCATCTCTCCGCGATCAACCTTTTTTTTTTCAGCAGCAGATAAACTGCATAGTTCTCTCACTTACTATTTAGTGGTCTCTGCATCCTTCACCAGTTCCCAGAATGTCGACATATCTGACATGATAGAGCGAGTATATCAAACGGGAGACGTAAGTTATTATTGTTACTTGTCAGTTACAACCGTGTACCGACATTGATAAATGTCGAACATTCCAGAACTACGCCCCAACTCTATCTCAACAGGGCCACCCAACTACTCAACGTCCTCCATGCTCCGAGGCGGGCCAGGGGTCCTACCCGACTAGGTAAGTAGAATGAGACCCAAGAGATATCCCCGAACTAGCGTGTGTGCGATGAGTTTTGGTGGAGTCTCAATAGGCTAAACCCGCATTCTTGGAAACTCGGGATGGTATTCGTATATAAAGGAACAAGACCTGGAGGGTAAAAAATCACGCTCTCTCATTTTCCCGATATTATTTGATCCTGTTTGCTTCAAATTACTCCTCTCCGTCGCAAATATGTCTGCCTTCACGCGCATCCATAGCGACAAGCTCGCCAAGTTCAGCTTTAGCCATGGGGCTGTCATCCACCCCAACGCCCAAACCATCGTCCTGGCCGGCAAGGTAGGCTCGATTGATCTCAAGGGTACAATGGCTGCGACCTTCGAGGAGCAAGTCGCTGCAACGTTCAAGAATATCGAGACTGCCCTGGCTGAGGTCGGCGCCACCCCCAAGGACATTGTTCACATGAGATACTACGTCACAGACGTTCGTAAGTGGCTCACCCTTCCTTCTACTGATAAAGCAAAAGGGACTCCGATATATTCTGACACCAAGATTCAGAGACTCGAGACATGGTAGCCTTTCGAAACATCAGGAAGGACTTTCTGGGTCGGTTCCCAGGCGCTGCTCCCGCTGGGACTGTCCTCAGCGTGCTTGCGGCAGACCCCGACATCTTATTCGAGGTGGATGTCATTGCCGCAATCCCTACGCAGTCCAAATTGTGAATGAAATGCCCTCTTTCGGGCTTGGGTGTGACTCTTATGTCTTGTTATTTTTAATACACGGATGCGAGCCATCGGCTGTAGATACGGACGAAACAAGCTTCCCGGGGTCAACAGTTAATTAACATGAATTCATGTCTGGATGGAATCAAACTCGCCTTACTTGCCCTTGTTGGTCAGTATCTACAGTGAAAGTTGACTCAAATCGTAGCCCAACTCAACGGGCTAGTCCTCTTCCTCCAACCATCTTCGGCAAGTTCTTGACGCTGTTTCTGCTAACGATATGACACAAGACTCTGAGCGTTAAATGCTTGGATATACGGCCTTGCGCATGCACATGCAGAGCTACACTCTAGCCTTTTATACTTTGTCCTAAGCCCCCTCGCGATCGATATGTGCGAGATTTTCACTCAGCGTATGCGAAGCATATGTTCCCTGAACTAGGTAGGGGTTGATCTAAAGCTGGAAGAGAGTCGATGATCCTGCATTCAATCTTCTAGTTCTACCCTTTAGACCTAACAGAGTGTTTGGATACCACAGTTAGTGTATAATGAACCACACATATTGTAGTATGACTCAATTTTGCTGACTGTAGCATAGTTTCTTTTAGTCAAGTTAATTGCATGATGCTCCGCATTCGGATATCATGGCACCATAAGTATTCTCCCCACATCGCCTTTTGTCCGTTCACATTAACGTTAACCTCGCCTCAATCTAGATAACATCTTCCTATTACCCTCAACAACAACCATGGCGAACATGAAAAAATGGCTTCCTGGTGTATCTCTGCCCCTGATTCTCAATGCTCCTATGCACGGTGCAGCCAATGGCCCCCTCGCGGCCGAGGTGACAAAAGCAGGAGGACTGGGTGTGCTTGCTGCTCCGCAACCTTTGAACCGGCAAGTAGAAACTATGCTGATGCTATAGAATACTAGGCTTCATCCCGGGCGGAATCATTCTCTCTAAAGACTCCGACGATCTGAAAGATCTTGAACTCCAGCTCACAACGGCACGTCGTCTCCTAGCTCTCGATGAGTCATTGGAGAAGCCCATACCGGTAGGCGTCGGCTTCGTCACATTCCACCCTTCCGTGGCTCAGTTCGAAGAGTCGGCTTTGCCTATAATCCGCAAGCACAAGCCTGTTGTCATATGGCTGTTTGCTCCGGAGCCGAACTCAACCACGCACAAGCACTTGATCAGTCTTCTGCACGGTGCAGGCAGCTCCTGGAACCTCAAGGTCTTGGTCCAAGTCGGGTCGGTTGCAGCTGCCCGGGATGCGATCGAGAGTGGCGCCGACGGCGTCGTTGCGCAGGGCGTAGGTATGTTGTTTTCCTTCCGTTGCTTTAAATAACCATTCACCAATATCACATGTAGACGCGGGAGGCCACCAATGGGCGCAGGGTGCCAGTATCGTCTCACTGGTGCCTGAAGTCCGTAATCTTATTAGAGAAGAGTTCCCGGGTAAAGACGTGGCTTTGATTGCGGCGGGTGGCATTGCGGATGGTAGCGGTGTGTCAGCTGCCCTGTCTCTTGGAGCTGAAGCAGCTGTTATGGGCACTAGAGTAAGTCCGGACCCCTTACACTCTACGAACGTATGCTAACTGTCTAGTTCTTGGTTGCCAATGAAGCTGGAACTTCTAAGGAAATGAGACAAGTTGTCCTAAGTGCCACCGACGGCGGGTCCAGTACTGTCAAGTAAGTTATACTCAGGTTTGGGTTGAAGATTCCATTGGTTAATTCTAATATTCATAAAAAAGATCTTACTTGCACGATGATGTTCGAGAAAACAGCATTTGGCCTAAGCTTTATGACGGACGAGCGGTATTGGGGCCGTCGATTATTGACGAAAGAGCTGGAGTTTCGCTATCCCAAAATATCGCTAAGCTTAAAGAGGCACAAGCATCAGGGGATAAGTCTAGAAATGTGTTCTGGTCGTAAGTTTGGTTGTTCGTCTGTCTTATTCGAACCTCATGCTAAAAATTACTGTGTAGTGGAACTGGAGTTGGCTTGGTGGACAAGATCCAACCTGCTGGAGATATTGTCCGAGAGACTCGACTCCAGGCAATTGAAAGAATTAAAGAGCTAAGTGTCGTCTACGAAGAAGCTCTGACACGCTGATCACCTTCATAACCTTGGGACTTGACGATTTGCTAGTCTGACTTAAACTTCTAGAGTAGGCTTTAGTTAACATACTAGGCATTTTCAATGAGCTGTATGGAATCAGTATCAAAATCAAGAGCTTACTTAGCATTCCCCCTTTCCTCAATCAATGTGATCCTCCAGATCGGTGCAACAAGGATGAATAGCTACGGCTAGGGACATTGCTATTATTCGACAGATCGGGGATAACACGGATGGGGAGACTGATCGCCCAACCTGGTTATTGAATCGTTTTGGCTTCGACTTTTGCCTGAACTTGCGGGCGACGTCATCCGAGGATGGAGAGACAAAAACCCACCAGACCCCTCACTTCGCTTAACTATTTAGATTTAAGAGACGAGTCCTGGGCTATCTTAAATCCTTAGACTCTCTCAATCCTACCTGCTTACATAGAATCACGGAACGAATGGCTGCTGCAACAAAGCTACGCCGGATCATCGAGGATCCCAACTCGTTCCTGCTTTGCCCGGGAGTATATGATGGATTCTCAGCCCGTGTCGCTTTGAATGTCGGATTTGATAGTATCTACATGGTATGAAAATCATCTTGCATTCTCTACTCTCCTTCTATGACTGACCAGCTTTTGGCTGTGTGTAGACAGGAGCAGGAAGCAGTGCCTCGGTTCTAGGCCACGCCGACCTCGGAATGATGACCCAGACGCACATGCGCAACCACGCCGAGATGATTGCCGATTTGGGAGCTCTCCCGCAGTACGCAGAAGCAGACGGCCCTGTCCCTCTTATTGCCGACGCAGACACCGGATACGGCGGTCCCATTATGGTATCCCGAACCGTGGAGCAGTACGCACGATCTGGCGTGGCCGGGTTGCATATTGAGGACCAGGTACAGACAAAACGATGTGGCCATCTGGGAGGGAAGGAGGTTGTGAGCAGGGACGTCTACTTCAGTCGTATTCGCGCCGCCGTGAATGCCAGGAGGAAGATTGGGAGCGACATCGTCATCATCGCCAGGACAGATGCTCTTCAAACTCATGGGTACGACGAGGCGATTGAACGACTCAAGGGCGCCTACGAAGCTGGTGCCGATGTGGCTTTCTTTGAGGGGTTGACGTCAAAAGAGCAGGCTGCGCAGATGATCAAAGCTGTAGTCCCGATGCCGGCGCTCCTCAACATGGTAGAGTCCGGGGCCACCCCCTCGTTTACTGCCGCAGAGGCCAAAGAAACAGGCTTCAAGATTATGATTGTTCCATTCGCTGCTATTGTCCCAGCTTATGATGCCATGAAGGCTGGGTTGGAGCATCTCAAAGCTACGGGATCAATGCCGGACAAGGCGAAGGAGATGACACCCCAACAGCTTTTTAGGGTATGTGGATTGGATGCTAGTATGCAGATAGACAAGGAGTCTGGAGGTGAAAATTTCAAGTCTGGCGTTGACTAGAAGACTGGATGCCTTTAGAATTTATCTATACATTGCCGGGCAGGATATGTTCCTCTACCATAGCGAAATTAGTGCCCATATCGGTGAAGGTCCCAGTTGGCAAACACAACAAGGTGGGAGAGGAGATGAATTGATTCGTATATAGCCAAGTACAATACAATTTTGAGTGGATAATGACTATCTTCTTCTCATGATCTTAATCTTCAGCCCAAGAGGTTTCCTCAAGAAGCCCTCCCGCGTCTCCATGATTTCCTGCCTCAGCTCAACATTATATCTCTTCACCCAAGTGGCAGCGATTAGTTTCATCTGCACTTCGGCCAGATTCCGCCCAACACAAGACCTCGGCCCGTGACTGAAGGGGATAAACGCTTTCTTTTGGTCTGTGGTTAGGTTTTCAAATCTGTCTGGATTGAAAGCATCGGCATCGGGACCCCAGATTTCCTTGGAGTGGTGGATAGTGTACGCCGGGACGCTCAACACCGTGCCTGGACCAAAATAATGGCCCTGGATATGGACGCCGGGCGACTGAGGAGGGACCTGGCGAGGCAATCCAATGCCGGACGTTGAGTGGTGCCGTAAAGTCTCGTTGATTACCTGTTCCAGGTATGGGAGACTCTTGACCTGATCATATGATGGAACTTCAACATCATCCGATACAACTTGGTCAATTTCTTGTTGAAGCTTCTGGAGCACGCCAGGCGTCCTGACAACATGGTACAGCAATGCGCATGAAGAGTTGGACGTGGTGTCACTTCCGGCAATGAGCTGGGTCAGAGCTTCAGCGGTCAGCTCTTCACGACCAAGAGGTTCGCCATTGTCATCCTTTCCCTTGATCAACCGCGCTAAAAGGTCTTGTCGATCAATGTCAGGCGGGTTTTGGAGGCGATCAGAGACACGGGCAACGGCTATACCCGCAAGTCGTTCGACGGCCTCTAGACCCTTGTAGAAGAAGGGATCCGGTAGCCAGCGAGCGTAGGGTTTGAGCCAAGGCAGGCAGCCCAATGTGGCGGACACTTCACCTCTGCGGTTGATGATCTCAACAGCAGGTGCATAGATCGATGGGCCAGTGGGAGATGTGCGTACTTCAGCGATATCTGCTCCGCTAGATAGCATTCCTAGAGACGGCAACATTTGTTAGAATCACACACGCTGCTATGAGAGGGAGTTACTTACCAAATGGCTTCCCAAAAGCCAGGTCAGCAATGGTATCAAAGGCCAGATAATTGACTAGATGCATGAACAAAACTATTAGCATCTCAGGCTTATATTTTGAAGGCACTTCTACTTACACCATGACAGACAGTCAAGATGCGCCGAGCCATCTCGCTGTGAAGTGTTCTTTATCCGGGCGTCCCATTGCCGGGTGAATTCCTCCAGATTCTGGCGCACATACGGCTCGAACTCAACGACAGACTTGGGAGCAAAGATGTGCGACACGAGCTTGCGCTTCCTGGTGTGTTCAGCGCGGTCTCTCGTGTTGAAGAGGCCTCGGCGGATAGAGACAAAGGCGTCGTAGAAATCTCTGATTGAAATGTTATCATCTAGACGTATCCGATTGAATATACAGCGCACATCAGGTATTCACTCACGATTTGAGAAAGCCATTACCATGGCCATAGATGGTATTCACAGCATCCGCATCGGCCACACTGACGTGGTTCGGTGCAATGCGGACAATCGGACCAAGCTTCTTGTGAGTCTCGTGGACAATGGCATACCGCTTGCCCCGGCGACAAGTCCACAGCAGCCACAGATTCGAAAAAGGAGCAATTGAAGGGCCTGGGATGCCTCGAAGGGCCGCGTTGGTGGTGAAGTACGGCAGGATAAAGAAATACCCGAGCAGCGAGACCAGGCCTGCGACGGCGAGCCACGGCGAGGTGAGGAGGTTCAGGAGTGCCATTGCTGTAATCTGGCTTTGTCCCTGGGGAAAATTTCAGATACAGCTCGTCTATATATGCGAGGGCATACGTCAGCACCTGCTGGTTCAGACGTTGATATCTGAGACGCGCGGATGAAATTTTCTCCACAGATCTGATACTGTGGATCGGGCATGGAATTGAAATTATCGCGGATGTGGCCTGGTATTTATATATCCGTGTCCATGCGTCAATTGCATTATGCTGCTCCTCCCTGCCAGCTCAGTTCCAGATGCGCAAGTCGTGTGCAGCCAGAAGAAAGTCCAGTGCAACCACACGATACGACCCCCAAAACTGAATCGCTATTTGTTGTTGGTAGATGCCATGACATATTCGTCCATCATCACTGGCCCTCAAAACAATCCCAGTTAGTCTAGTCCTAATTTGAGCTGTGAGATAGCCGGATCTCCTTCGGAATCGGCAGGAAACGTGCATAATACATCGGGAGCGAGGAGGAGTAAGCACCTGCTAAAGAAAGATCGCCATTAGACCATCAGATTTACCTTCGGAAGTGAGGAGCGTATGCCTATAGAAAAGAAATTGTCAGCTTTACTTAAGCATCATTCTGTTCGGAGTATCATACCCGTTTCCTAAACTTTTCCTGAAGTACCTTACACACTAATAAGCCATCCGCAATGGAGCGTTCTCGGCTTCGAATCCGAGGAGAAGCACACCCGATGTCTCAGCTCGTATTCATGCTGAGATTGATGCATTTTAATGGGTGCAACAATCTCATGAGGGAAATATAGCGGGCTCTTAGAGCTGTAGTCCCATGCAGTGCAGACTTTTATTTCCCTTGCGTCAAGTCACTTAGGCTTGTAGAGACAAATGAAAACGAAGGGCATTCGAGGGGTTCAATGGTGCTTAATCTACGGGAAAGAGAAATGCCAGAGAGGAATCACATTTGGTATATCCAGAGGATGTGCAGAAACGTTGTATTCAAATGAGCGTATCTTCACTATCGTTGTGCACACTATGAAGACTTATTGTCGAGTTACAAAGGCAGGCAACGTATCAATTGCAGCCAAGATCCCTTCCAAGGAGCGGGGAGAAGAAGTGAAAGGATGGGGTAAGGCTCCCACGAGGAAGTCTCATCACTCTTAGGACAAGTTAGCGATAGCGACAGGACTGTAGTAAGCTACAGGATTAATTCAAGTTCGCAATCATCTGAAGCAACGATTGGCGCTATCCAAAGAGGAAGCGTTGTCGGAATCATTGCCCTGGCGATTGTTCAGTTCAAGGATGGCTTGCCTTAGATGGTAGACCAGCGGAGAAGAACAGCGGCAGCAATGACAGGCAAGACGCTGACCAACTCTCCAAGTCCCGCAAATTCTGGTGGGATCCTCGCATTGACAAAAGCCCCGGCAGCCAGAAGGACGGCGAAGGTGTTGTACACAAAGCTCCATCCGAAATTGAACTTGATGCGGTTGACGGACTTCCGGCTGGCGTTGATCATGACGAGGATGCCAGAAAGGGCGGGTCGCATGAGGACTACGTCTGCCGCAGATTGCGCAATGTCTGTGCCCTCATTCATGTGAACACCAATTGTAGCCTGTGCTAAAGCAACAGCGTCGTTTGTGCCATCGCCACAGAACACTACGATGGGCTTCTTCCCACCCACATTGGCTTCAAGAAGCTCCTGGATGTAGTCTCTCTTGTCGGCAGGCGAGCTGCGGGAGCGAACATTATGGGCAGGAATTCCGAGCTTGGTCGCTAAATTCTGGACAGCGCCATCATCATCACCAGAAACTAAATGCACTGCTATACCACCCTTGTCGAGGGCCTCGAGTGTTTCCGCAGCATCAGACCGCAGTTCATCTTCCAGACCATAGGCTGCGACCAACACGCCGTCAATGGCAAAGCAGAAAACAGTATACCCACGAGCAAGCATCGATCCAACATGCTCATCATCGGAAAATTTGAGCCAATGAGAATTTCCTGCCTGAAGTTTTTGGCCCTGAAGAGTGCTCTCGACACCCTTGCCTGTAACGCTCTTGGGGTCGGCGATAGGCTCGGCGATGATTCCTGCGTCGCTTAGATGAGTAGTTACAGCAACCGAGACTGGATGTCGGCTATTTTCGATGAGACCCAGAAGGAGTGGGAGTTTGTCCTGGCTGTCACAATGAGTTTCAACAACAGAGAGCTTTCCTCGGGTCAAAGTCCCCGTCTTGTCAAACACAACATGCGACGTCTTGTGGGCGACTTCAATAGCATCTGCAGACTTGAACACGACGCCCCTCTCCGCCGCGACACCACTTGCAATAACAATGACCATGGGAACAGCCAGTCCAATAGCGCAAGGACATGACACGATGAGGACAGTAATCGCGTAAGTTATTGCCTCAATCGTTGCCTCAGAGCCATTATACCCGCGAATTGTCATGCCCACCGCAACCCAGATGACGAAAGTAATGATATTCAAAGCCACGACCACTGGGACGAAGTAGGATGCTACCTTGTCTGCAAGATCTTGCAGCTTGGGCTTGGATAGTTTAGCCTCGTCGACCATTGCAGCAATCGTGTTGATAGTGTTGTCGCTAGGCAAGTGGCCCAGCCGAACAATCAGAACTCCAGATCCATTGATAGAACCTGCGATAACTCCTGATTTCGGAAACTTCTCGACTGGCCTCGATTCGCCTGTGAGCATCGACTCGTCAACCTCGGATGAACCCCTGATGACGGTGCCGTCAGTGGGGATCCTGGTGTCCGGCAGAACCTTGAAAATGTCGCCATACTGAAGAAGCCGGGCGTCAATTTCAAGTTCAGTGCCGTTTTCTTCGTCCACGAGAATGGCTTTCGATGGCTGAAGTGATCGGACAGAAATAGACTCGACAGCTCTTTGGCGAGCCAGAGCAGCGACCCATCGGCCAACCATGATCAGCGTGACTAGTAGAGTGCTCGTTTCAAAGAACTGGCCTGTTGAGAGAGGGCTTCCGGCAATCAGATATCCGAAGGAGACCACGGAGAAGATGTAGGCAGCGCTGGTACTAAGGACTATCAGGAGGTCCATCTCTATAACCTTGGAGAAGATCAGAGCCTTAAGAGCCTTGGGGTAAAAAGGTCCCGCGATGAAGAATTGAACAATAGTCGCCAGTGCCATCGAAGCTGAGGAATATGCGACTTCGTTTTCGGGGAGAGGGGCCCACGCCATAACCAACACGGGAATGGTCAACACGGCAGAGAGAAGTGTCATGTACCCAACATGTCGGACATGCTTGCTCCCAGCTTCTAGCGACGGGTCGGCACGTAGAGGAGCCAACGGAGTTGGCAACTGCCAAATCTTCTCGCCAAGATCACGAGCTCCAACTATCTTCGGGTCAAATGTGACACGTGCAGCCTCTTTACCAACAAGCGCAATGTCGATCACACCATCCGGCCACTTTTCGTTGCTAATCGATTGAAATTGATCATTCGAAATAATGAAATCAAGACTGGATCCCTGGCTCTGAATCCTTTCGCACTTGAATTCTGTCGTTCGTTCCAGATGTTTCATGACTTCTTCAACAGATCCAAGTCGAAGGTCAAGGTGGAACTCAGCTCGAGAGAGAACCAGGCTGGTTTTCAGGTTCTTTACGGCGGGAACGGTAGCGAGGGTTCGGTTCAGTTTTGTCTCGCATCCGGTGCAAGTCATGCCCGAAATGCTCAAAACCACACGCTCGTTTCCAGCGCCTTGATTCTCAATGTCGCTTACAGCCTCAATTGGGCCCTTTTCAATACCTAGACGGGCATCAGGGATAGAAGAAGAGCAGCAAGCATCGGCGCAAGACCCTGGGCGGCGGGCCGATGGTTTACCAGCGCAGCAAGAGTCAACGGATGGGCGCTTGGTGTCATTTACTTCGATCCCCTTGTCTCCGGGGCAGCAAGAGCCGGAGCAGCCAATTTTAAGAGATGATTTTCCAACAGACGTTGTGTCCGAGCAGCAGCCCGGGCGTTCAGAAGGGGAAACCGCTTGCTTAATCGGCTCTGTGGAAGCACAGCAAGAGTCAACACAGTTAGTCTTAACAGGAGAAATAGTCTCAGAGCAACTTCCCCGGCCTTCAGACTGGGAAACAGCCTGCTTATCAGGCATTGCAACGGAGCAGCAAGAGCGGGAACAGGCAGTCTCGCCGTCCTTCGGGCCTACATTGGCAGCCTGTTTGTCCGTGCAACAGAGCCCTCCAGATGCGGCTTGGGCCCCCGAATGTAAGATATCAGGCTTTGCACAGCAGCTATCTCCATCGCTACTATCTAGTGGAGATCCTCTGCCCTTGCCCTCAGAGCAGCAGGCCATCGGACCTTTGCTCCCAAGCGAAGGGGCACGGGTAGGCTTCTCCTTCGAGCAACAGGAGCCACCACAGGCATCCTCTGCGGGGGACTCCTTGGCGGGCTGAACGCTTTCTTTGAAGCCTTTTCGGAAGCGAAGGCGATTTTCTGCAGCTTGATTCTTCGTAACGGAGCCACTAGTGTGGCCAGAATCCAACGAAGTGCGAATGGAGCCGGCAGACGATTTCTTGGTGAGCTGGTTGCCGTCGAGTGAGTGTCGCTCGCGTATTTCGCAGCAGGTTTCCTGTCCAAGAGCAATCAGGGTCCGGCAGAGGCACCCCAGAGCCCGCAGCGTCGCGCCATAGCGGTCCAATGCTGAGAGAGTGTGCTCGCTGCAAGCCTCGCCCTCAGCAGTGTTACAACAGGCTATATCGCATTAGCAACCAACGCATCGCGCCAGAGAACCTCACTTTCCATCTAACCGGTGGAATCAGAGCTTGTCGCAGCACTCATACCGCACTCGCGCAGAGCCAGCCGGTCGAGGCAAGACGTGTCGCAGCATGGGTTGGATTTGCCGCGGCAGCACTCAGGCGCGTCGGGATCTTCCTCGGCCACGTCATCGGCACATTTTCCGGCGCTGCAGCAATCAGCCTCAATCTTCTCTTCGTCGGGTTCTTTCTGGATTGGCGGCTCGGCGTCGCGAGTCTCAACACTCTGCCCTCCGCAGCAGCCACCCTGACAGGCGCCCGCCTTCTCGGTTGCGGCTGGCGCAGGAGGAGGCTCGAGAGCCGGGGCCGGTGTGCCACAACAGTCAGAATCCATTGCTGGAGTAATCGTTTCTTGCATACCAAATATTGCGAGTTCAAATTTGCGACGAGGTAAGTTGATGGGGGAGATTGGTTGGGTGGCTTTCATGACCAGGGAACATTCAATGTCACGTGGCTCCCACCCTTCATCTCCTTTAGGCAAATCCCCAACAACTGACTTACGCTCAACCATGTTCCCTAGGATATATCTACTGTATGCACGTTTATGTCATAGCTAGAAACACTGTCTTAGATGCTTATCAGTAAATACGTAAGAGAAAGAGAAAAAAGGTCAACAGCAATGGAAGCTGCCAGAGTCGGACACCTCAACACAATGAATTGTCAGTAGATAAAAGTCGCTACCGCTTGATTAAAATGCCCGCACATTAGCAGTGACTCGCACAGCGCCAAGATAATCTGATTTGACTGCCCTCTCTAGAAGTTAGAACCATTCATTACACACCGCCTCCCCTCTATCACATGTTGAATTTGGGATTGGGCGTTGCAAGGTCTTGGCTAGCAATAAAGCCGCCTACCCTAAAGTCCTCAATCTGCACCCTCACCAATCAATCAAATCATTTTCCTACTTAGCGGCGTGTAGCTAATAGGGGGTAAACTAATTATACCTTTAAACACAGTCACTGCCCGGGAAAAGTTCACTCGCCTCCATAATAGCCTGCTTGTGGGGATTAGAGCATGCACATATTGTTTGACAAGACGTGTTCCGCACCGCCACACGTCGCGGCGATATCAAATTATTTTTCAAATCAATAAGATTGGGAAATATATAAATTGGAATCAATGAAAGGTATTGTGTAAATGTATTTATGTCTATAGTATTAGAAGTTGAGAAGTTTTAAAATCGAGGCATATTACGGGGATCGCAAATGATCTTTGTGACTTCCCTTAAATCTAAGCACCCTCGGCAAGCTCAGTTTGAACCCCTGTACGGATCTGCCTGCGAAGCTCCGTCTCCGCAGAGAGGCTCTCACCCTCGAACATTTCAGTAATCTCCTCGAGCGATTTCCGGGCAGTCTCAAGAATGACAAAGTAGGCAAAGGTAGCGGCGGCAATGCAGAAGCAGCCGAAAAATAGATAGGTGCCCCAACCGAGTTGGATAAGCATCTCGGGGACGATGACGCCGATGACAAAGTTGGCGAGCCAGTTGACGGCAACAGCACAGCCGACACCTTTGGCACGGTTGTAGCTGGGGAAGACTTCGGCAGGAAGAGTCCAGCCGAGAGGGCCGTAGGACATGGCGAAGAAGAGGACGTAAATGTCTAGTGAGGAAAAGAAGGATTAGCCCGTCAAGGTTTCTTATAATTGCTGTAGGATAGACTTAGACTCTTACAGATGAGGGCGACGCCGAACCAACCCATGTTGCTGTTGCTGGTCCAGTTGCCGTCATACTTGCTCACGATACCAGACATGATCAGATGAGGGATGGCCATGGCGATGCCACCGAAAATGGCGAGCCTTCTACGACCAATTTTGTCGAGGAACATGAAGACGGGAATCACACCGATGAGCTGTATGATGTTAACCATACCGGCAAGGATCAGAGACATTTCATTATCCTGGCCTAGGGCGCGGAAAAAGGTAGGAGCGTAGTAGACGAAGGCGTTAATACCCGAGAACTGCTGGAAAAAGGAGACGGCGAGGGCGATTGCGGTACGGCGGATCATCTTGGGCTTGAAAAGATCAACCCACTGTAGGGCCTCGAGGGCGACGCCCTTGCGGCCGGGGTGCTGCTTCTCAAGGACGGCCTGCTCGAACTTGACCTCGCAGACGATGCTCCTCCACTCGGCTTGGATACGGCCATCATCTAACGGGACACGGCGGAGCTTGGTCAAGGACTGGAGGCAGTCTTGGTTGCGACCACGCATAGCGAGCCAGCGGGGTGAAAACGGAAAGGCGAGAATCCCAAGACCGACGATGAGAGCGGGGATCATCTGGAGGCCAAAGGGGAGACGAAAGGCAATATCACCGGCGAGGCTGCGTGTGCCATAGGTGACCCAGTATGCGACGATGGCGCCGAATACAATGCTGAACTGCTCAAGCACGAGCAGAGAGCCACGCATGTTAGGGGGGGCGACTTCAGAGATGTAAAGGGGGGCGCCCATGGCAAGCTGACCGACACCGATGCCACCGATAGTTCGACCGGCAACGAGCGTTCCGTAGTTATGAGACGCAGTCTGGTTTTGTCAAACGGTTAGAAACTGATTTTTCTTTCTGGGTCGTCTGAAACCAGTAAATGGTAGTCCTACCTGGATGACAGCTCCGACGGTGAAGAAAGCAGTAGCCATGGTGATGGCGTACTTGCGAGAAATCTTGTCGGCGACGTAGGGGAAGAAAAGGCAGCCGAGAAAGGCCCCGAGCTCAAGCATACCCGTCATGAAACCAGTGTTGAAGCCGTAACTGCTGTGGCCCGGGTCGATTTCGGGGAATGTGGCGCGGAACTGGTCCATGACTAAAATGATGCTGATGACACCCTGGTCTATTGTTGATGGTTAGTCTGTCGACCTTTGATGATTGGAACTGAGTAAGAGGAACAGTTTGCAAAACGCACCATAGCCAAAAGAGAAACCGCCTAGCGAGGCTAGGACGGCCGCTGAGGCGACATAAGGAGAGGCAAGAACGCCCTTTATGCCCTTTCCACCGTATGTGAGCTGCTCAAGTTCAGACGAGGACTCGTACAGAGGATCCTCGACATGGACCTGGTTCGGTTCCTCCTTGAAGGGGATCTTAGCATCCATGCTGGCGTCAAACGTGGTGGACGACGTGTAGGCGACGGGATAGAAGGGCGGGAACGAAACACGAGGTAAAATAAGTCAAGAGAGACGGGTCAAGACAATAGGGAGAGATGAAAGAGAGGTAGAGAGGGTATGCTCATATAAAGGCCTGGGAACTCGAGTGATGATCACGAATATTTGTCGATTGGAAGAAGTGGGAGACTGGCGTAATTATAGTATGCATCACCACCAGCCCACACGCTGGAACCAACCTTGTTCTCCAACTACGTGTGTGTGGTACTGACTCGCGGCATGGCGGCGCTGGAAAACCCCGTGGGGACCCATGGGGAACTTGACCGCGGGTACATTCGATGCGCTGGGATTGCTTGGGCCTTGCCCGTGGGGGGTGCGGTCGGTTCTTCCCACAAGGGAATACACATGGATCTTTTTTAGAGTGGTCAAAGGTGACGTCGAAAGCTGGAACCAGTGACATGCTCCGCCAGAGTCGTCACAGGGGGAAATGTGCGCCGCCTTTGGCTATGCAATGAAACAAGTTCGTGATGGGTCTTGAACCAACGCCTGATCTCGTCCTAGACCGGGAATCGGTCCCGCTCTTTGGCCGAGGTACCCTCTCGCTAAACCGTTCGTAACTAGTGTGCGGACAAGGGCTACCCTGATTACCGAGTACACAAGAGTGGAATGGCGGACAGGATTACTAAATCGGCCAGATTGGAATATGTTCCCGCAACTGCCTTATACAGACGCTACCTAGGAAATGAAGACCTAGGCCAGGACAGGGCTGAATATGGTTCTAGGTGCGGTCTCTGCGGGAGTTGGAGCGGGAGAGCCGGTGAATAGTTGGTGTTCTAGATGCCCAAGCTTCGAAGTCGCAGACCACAACATCTTGTTTGGAGGCGGTTGGATTTTGGATGTGATCATTGGGTAGAATGAGCCGTAGACGTCAAACGCGTCATTATAATAGGTAGGTTAAGAAATATAGATGACCTATGAATTAAAAATTTATGCAAATCTAAAAAGAAAAATTGAATAACTAAGATAATATATGGTAACTCCAAACCCTAAATTGTTTCTACACCCATCCATGGCTCGGGGGGTTTCAGATTAATCTGCGACTGATCTGAACATCGTTGCTCAATGCAAGTTATAAGCCATTTTGTAGCTGAATCGAACATCGATAACACAAGACGGGAGAGGCGAATGCATGGCTCGTGAGTACTAAATGTAAAGCTTTGCTGTCTGAGACTGAATATCTTTATTTTTGCTGCCTGTTCCTTTTCTATACACATTTCCAAAACAACTTCTAAGTTTTATACGGTGGTGGGGAGATGCCTTCGCTCAGCGCCTTGATCCTTAAACCCAACAGTCTGGAAGCATAACGAGTAAGCGGCAGGAAACCGACCATGATCCAAAGATTTGGGCAGCCGCTCTCCCTAAAGGCAGTCTTAGCCTCGCCCTCTTCGTCGATACCCCAGATAGGGGTAACCTGGTCGGCAATCTTATCACCCAGAGTTGCCCGGATCGAGTCAATGGTATTGGAGAAACCAGTAGCAAAGACAACAAGATCAAACTCCCGCTCGCGATCGTCATTGAGGATAACCTTATCCTCGGTAAACTTTTCAATATATCCTTGCTCAACCTAGAATATTGCTGTTAGTAGTCTCGTTGCAAGCGCCAGCGTCCACCGGGGGGAAGACCAACCTTGATATTGCCGTTGATGATCTCATCGCAAGCGCCTGCGTCAAAATAGAACCCACCATTACGGGTCTGGCCCAGAGTGCCGTTGCCTGTGCCACGTTGGCCGCGCCATGTACGAAGGCCCTGAGCATTGAGGGCTTCTAGGAGGGGCTTGTCAAGATCCTCGAGGACCTTTGCCAGGCGCCTGCCCATTTCCTCACCTGGACCGGTCGGCATGGAGAAGAAGAAGCGGTCCTGCTCCTCGAGGTTAGGACGCTCACCATTTGGGCCAGGAGCATAATTTCCCATCATTCGAGGTACAGAATGAGTTAGAGACATGACATAGGTTGGCGAGCGTTGAATCATGGTTACATCGATGCCTAAGCGAGCGCACTCGTAGGCGGTATCGAAGCCAGATGATGAGGTGCCGACGACGGCAACCTTTTTGCCGACAAAGCTGCGGGAACTATCGTGATTACTTGAATGCCGGATGACGCCCTTGAAATCGGTCATACCGGGGACGACCGGGGTCGAGGGGAGACCGCAAAGTGATGTAGCCATGACAACCTGCTTTGGGTACAGAGTACGCTCCTCCTTGCCAACACCCTTATTGATCACCACTGTCCACTTACCCTCGGCATCCTGCTGAGCACTCTTGACAGTTGAACTTGTCCACACGTTGAGTTCAAGAGCCGAGGCATACCACTCCATGTAGAGACCTTGCTTCTGCGCGGGGGTATAGGTAGGCCAATGCTCCGGATATCTAAAATAAGGTAGAGCATCGGGCCAATGGGGGAAATGCAACGAGAGATATTCGTAGCGCTTCTTCCAGACATCGCCAATCTCGGCACTCTGCTCAATGATGAGAGTCTGCATGCCGAGGACCTTGAGGCGGGCGGCTGTGGCAAGACCGCTTCAAAGTAGAGATTAGGTTAGTTTTTGTCTTTCTTCTTTTCGTCTTTCGCGTTGTAAAACGAGTAAAGGCACTGTAGCGGGTAAAGACTCACTTTTGACCGCCACCGATAATCAATACCTCAGGCTCAACACTATCGACGGCCTTGGCCCTCTGGCTCTCCCAGCTGGTGATGCCAGTCATGTGCCCATCGTAAGGGTCCTGCTCAGGGAACTGCTTGAGGCCCTCAGCGACAGTATGCATAGTATATATCTTCCAGCCCTCTGTGGTGAGGACAGCCCTGATAACTGCAGAAGCTTTAACAAGCTCGGTCTCAAAGGCGACGACGAATTGGAGGAAAGTCAGGTCATCGTAGGGCCGGGCGACCTCTGGGGCAGGCTTAAGGAATTCGTACTTGGATGCCTTGGTGGTGGGGAACAGGTCGGTGGCAGCCTTGAGAATGGCAGGCTTGAAGTTGAATGTACGAAAGTCCCAGGTGAACGACAGCTTGTCACGCCACACACCGTAGTCGAGGAAAAGGTTGGAGAAAGCTTCGGCATTTCCGGTAGAGGTAGCCTCGGAGAGCTGTGCAACGAGGCCCTCGGCAGCCTTTTGAGCATCGCAGTCCTTTGGGACCTCGACGCCCAAGACATCGATGGTGGGCAGAGCGTGGTTGTACTTGAAGTCGTACATGAAGTCATCGGCGACGGGCTTGGGGACGTTATCGTGGTCGAGAACGACTGTCTTGGACTTGGGGTTGGCCAAGGGGACAACATTGCCCGCCAGGGGATCAATTGCGTGGGGAGTCATGACGGCTGGATGAGTCGTCAGAGAACGAGAGGCTTAAAGAAAGGTGATGGAGAGAATGGCAGTCTCAAAACAGAGAGGCAGGCACGACAGCGTCGCTCATATATGATTAGTTGCAGCAAAACTTGTCGGCGAGAGGTCAAATAGGATGGGCCTCGATTTTCTCCATCGAATGACTTTTCTTTGAATGTCAAGCCGACCCAATGGCATGATTGTGGCACAGGGAGATCTGGAGCCAGGATCGGGCATCTCTCGGATTTGCCGTTCTGGAAGAATTGGGACGTTCAGGGCCATTGTACGGGCGCATGAGGAGGAGAAGTGGTTCACATTGCTGGTTGCGAAAGATCGAGAGGCACAAGAACCGACCACGAGCCGTAGCATGTGACACAAATTGACGTCAAGGAAGGTATGCGTCGCCGAAAATATTCCCTAACAGCCAATTTGTATCGTTTCCCCGTCCCAAGCCACGATTACAGCTCACGACCGCCCCGCGTTGGGGAAGAGGGGGGACGGGCTAGAATTGCTGTTTCTATCGACCTTGACCCACGGGGTGGTCAGCTTCCCCGCAATCTAAATTGTTGTGGAGGCATCATTTGTGTTCCGATCCTCGCAAGCAACCGAGTCCAGTCGTCTGTTGTAATGTCGGTATTATGCTGAATGACCATATGCGACTATGGGATTCAAAGAAGGTGATTAAAGGGCAAAAAGGGGTAAAGCAACAGAGGGTTAGGACAACATCAGGGGTCAAGACGGATGACAAGTAGAAAGACGTGTATGGTCAGCTTTGCGGAAGCTGTTCTTATCTACTAGTCAGAAGAAGTGATGATTTTGCTTTGGCGTACTAGGTGAGGCCATTTGTCAATGATTCAGTTATTACGGAGTCACGCAAGCTTGCGAACATCATCGACAGAAGCAAATTGAACCACCTACTGAGTATAATTCCATCTTATCGGAAGTAGAGTATCATACTGTTGGTAAGTCAGTTAGCAGAACTTTACGACGGCACTTGTTTGCGCGGACATGGATTCTCTAGGGAGCGGCTTGGCCATGCAAAATTGTTTATTCAGTGAGATTCTATGAGACAACTTCTATTCTCCTCATGACAAGGGCTATTAAGTTTTTCCTTCTTTCTGCTTTTCTCTCTCTTATTTTTCTTGGATTCGACATGAGAAAAGAACACTTTTATTCCAAAATGGGCATGCCCTCGTCATCAAAGTACACGGGGAGACCCGAGCGGAAAGACTGCTGCAGAGCAAGACAGATCTTGCCGGCTTCGAATGCATCCTCTGGCTCGCACGTCATACTCTTACCGTCGAGGACAGCATCGGCGAACTCGGCAAGATCAGCCAGGAAAGTGGCGTCAAAGAAGGTAAAGGCATCGGGAACGGACTGATAGCGGATACCGTACTGGTCACGGACCTCGACGTTGGACGTGCCGGTGATGATGGAGTGCGCCTTGGTGCCACACAGACGCGTGGTGTCCTCGAAGCCGTTGGTGAGGGTGCGGCCGAGGTAGGTCGTGAGGATCTTGCCGTTGGCAAACTCAACCATGCCCCAGCCGTTGTCGCAGTCCTTGAACTTTTTGAGGTCGCCGTAGACGGCTTGCTGACCCATGGCGATGACGCGGTTAACCTGCTTCTTGGGGTTTTGCAGCCCCGATTTGACGTCTAGGAGGTAGCGGCCGGCGTCGATGCAGTGGATGCCGACGTCGAGGAAGATGCCGCCAGACATTTCTGAAAAGGACACAAAGAAGGCGTTTGGGTCTTGCTGGTCGTGGCATGTGGTCTCAATGGCATGGATTTCGCCGAGGTCTCCCTTGTCGACAAGGGCCTTAGCAGTACGATAAGACTTGTCATCTGGGAGGTGAATGTCAGTTGCAAGCCCATGCTGGAGATTCTAGGGCGCGCATTCGGCGGACAGGAACTCATTATACTCACATCGGCGGGTAAAAGGGACGAGGAACTTGAGGTGAGGGTTGGCGGCGGCTTTCTCGACCACCTCCTTTGTGGCTATGAGATCAACTGAGATAGGCTTCTCGCAAATGACGTGCAGGCCAAAGTCGAAGGCCTGGATGATAAGAGGCGCGTGGGTGGCCGTCACCGTGCAGATGAGGACGGCCTGGGCGCCAGAGCTCTTCATGCATTCTGTAGGATCTGAGTAGTACTTGACATTGGAAGGGAGATTCTCCGCAGCCCATTTATCAGTACCGGGCTTGGTGTCGCAAACACCTACGAGCTCGATGCGAGGTTGTTGAAAAGCGAGGATCTTAGCGCGGATAGAGCCCAGGCGGCCAAGGCCGATAAGGGCAAACTTCAGACGGTTCCCGGCAGTCATTGTATGTATGTCGTATATGTACAATAGGAATCACCAAGTTGGGAGCGAAGGTGAGGATAGAGACTGATGAGCAGCGATGGCGGAGAGCTCAGCGAAAGGAAGATGAAGATGAAGATGAAGTAAGAACATTTAACTTCCTTGTCATTTCGGGCCTGGTCAACATGGTGGTTTTCTATTCAGCTTGAAGAAAAAATGTTGCCGAGTTTCGGACGTTGACTGTGCCAGGCGCCGATCCTGACTCTGATGTCGTCCCTTCAGAGATCTAGAGCTCTTCGCCATGGAATTACCGTATTTGCCCATTCGGGATCTGCCCAGAAATATTTCGAACGTGCGGGGAAAAGGGTAGTTTGGGGGGAATAGTCAAAGCGCAGAACTGGGGAATAAACCCCCACACGACCATCTTTGACTATGTAGATGTAGAGCAAGACTTGTTAGTAGTGGGTATCGGCTTCTTCTTTGACTTGTTCTGCAAATGTAGTTTTGACGCTTACGGCAATGGACGCCGCATGTTGAGGAAATGAGACATGCAGCAACATAGATTGGTTTATGGTTGAAAAGAAATGCAAAAGAGCCCACATGCTTCTTTACTGTGTAATCATCAAGTCGCACTTGCTCTGATACACACTTGCTCTGATACAATCGTATTTATCATCCTTGAATCCAGCTCTCCCAGTCTTGCAAGCCCTGATCTGTCACGCCTCACTCCGAGTAAGCATCCAAGGACTTGAACACTCCATCCCCGTCACTCTGCTACACCCTCACTTCCATCCCGATATAGCACATTGACCATCATTTTCTCTTGCCGAAATTTAACACGGCTTGTGTGTACTGCCTTGCTCTGTCCGTCGACTATGGCGGTCGTCCTTCCCGCGGGTCTTGCGACCGTCTTGCTCGCCCCTTATACAGTCGTTTTGGTTGGCCTTGCCTTCACATTCTTCTTCCTATGGCCTCTAATCGTCTACTTCCGGGACGCTAAAGGTAAGAGCAGGGAGGGAGAGCACTTGTTTGGCGAGCCTAAGAGGATGTCAAGACTGACAGCGACCTCGTCCAGGTTTACGCAAGTTCCCTAATATGACGACCTTTTCTGGCATGTACAACTTGCCCTTCATTATCCTGGCGCACACTGGCAGCCGCTCTCTTCACCTGGCCAAGCTTCACAAGGACTATCCTATTCTCCGCACCGGTCCCAACTCTCTCTCGTTCGGCAGGGTCAACGCCATCAAGGATATTTACGGTCATGGCACTCCCTGCACCAAGGATGAGCAATACCTCGTCGGTGCTGGGTCCCACTTCCACCTGGCCGATGTTGTCGACAAGTCCGAGCACGCGAGAAAGCGCAAGGTTTTATCGGCCGCCTACGCCCTCAAGAACCTCGAACGTTGGGAGTTCAAGGTCGCTGACAAGGTTCAGCGCATGATTGCCCAGATTGACAAGCTTTGCACCGCTCCACCGCGAAAAGGCGAGATCGAGCCCGCCCCCGAGGATGTCAAGGTTGATGTACGCACCTGGTTCAACTTCTTCTCTCTCGATGCCATCGTCGACATCGGCCTCTCTGCTCGCCTTGGCCTAATCGACCAGGGTCATGATATGACGACTGCACTGCGCAAAGACGGAACCACCTTCCAGACGAGTCTCCGCGACTGCCTCTATCCTACTGCCCGCAAGCAGTCATGGCTTATCTGGAGCTATGATTACTACAAAGTACTCGACAAGCTCTCCAATATAATCCCTTTCTATAACAAGATGCAAAAGGCTGCCGATGGCTGGGAGGCCATTGTATTGTACCAGTCTGCCCAGCGCCTGGAGCGTTATCGCAAGGGTGAGAAGCTCGACGACTTCTTCCAGGCTCTCATGGAGGATAAGAACGGCAAGCCCCAGAACCTCGACTGGGGCGAGATTGTCGCCGAGATCAATATCATGATGAATGCTGGAAGTGTCACTACTGCCATCGCCCTTGCCAACATCCTCTACCAACTTATTCTACACCCCGATATCATGGCCAAGCTCCGTGCTGAGCTTGATGATGCCTTGGATCCGGAAGAGGTCGTTGCCCCCTACGACAAGGTCAAACATCTGCCTTACCTTCGCGCCTGTCTCGATGAGTCCCTCCGTCTTTGGCCCCCTACTCCGCACGGTCTCCCTCGTAAGACGCCTGCCGAAGGGCTCTCCGTCATGGGCCACTATGTCCCCGGCAATACCACCGTTAGCATGTCCGCACTCGTCGCCCACAGAGACGAGACTGTCTACCCCAATGCTGACAAGTTCATCCCGGATCGCTTCCTCGGCGAGGATGGCAAGAACCTCCAGTCCTCCTTTATTACCTTCTCTGCTGGTGCACGCGGCTGCATCGGCCGTAATATCTCATATCTGGAGCAGGCTGTTCTGCTGGCCTCTATGGTGCACCGCTACGACTTCTCCATGCCCAAGAGCTTCGAGATTCAGAGGGAGGAGACAATGAACCATCTCCTAGGTCCCTTGCCTCTCAAGACATGGAGGCGGCATTTTAGCACTAAATAAAAGACTTCTTTTCAGTTTCTCTATGATACGAGGGTTTTCTAAAGAAAGCGATAGATGATTGTATCACGTTTACTAGGCATTCTTGGTCTAAATTGGATGTTCCTAGTAGTTCAGTTGATACGATAGGATAGCCACGTGCTATTTGATAAAAATGAGAATGTTCATCACAACTGGGTCTCTTAGTCGGTAGATTGATCCCCCTCTATGAAAACGCAATGTGACTTGTAGCGCGAAATGTTTCAACAGCCTCTTCGCATTCGACAATGGAGTATTAATAGACTTGCCTGATAGCAAAGCCAATAGTCTACATAATGGTTTTTAGGAGTCTTAGCAACGGAGAGGCTGGCCAACTCCAGTGTAACGAACAAATGCAAGAGGAATTTGCCGGCCCCCGGCCATTGCAAGACGATGTTGTTAATCTTGGCAGTGGGATGCGAGGGAAACCCCCCCGATGGACGAAGTAGGCATGTTTCTCCTCTACCTCGTGAATTGGCATCATTTTGCCCCAGCTTACAGAATTCTTCCCCACGTGGGGAAGTGGTCGTGTAATCAATGGCAGGGTTGGAGTATTATTGAAGTCGGAGGCAATCCTATATACGTACATGTGTCCTAGTCTTGTTACTCCGTGCTCCAACATGGGTTGTTCACTCCTTTGATTAGCGTAGTGCGGCCAATATTAACTTGATCGAGGCCGAGTGTTAGTGCCCCCGCATCCAAGGATCAACGGCTAAACCTTCCCCTTTCTCCGTGATAGGTAATTTCCGTCCGCCATCCTCGACTCATCTGATCCTGACGCGTTTGCCTAGCTAAGCTTAGAGGCGTAAATTGGGCTGCCCCCCATCTTCCCTCTCTTTCACGTGCCTCCCGACCATGGCCATTACCGACGATACTGGGATCAGTTTGATAGAGAGTGGCCGGCAAGTCTGCCCGTTCGTTAGTCGAGGAAAATCCTACATGGAATTGCCAAACAGAGTCATACAGGAGAGGTATACCTTGCCAGGACGAATCCCTACCAACGGCCTCAAGTAGAATAGCAAACAAATATTGATACATCTGCTCTTCCTTCCGTTGCCTGAGTGCACCAAGATAGTACCATCAACCTCTTATTGTCTTTCTTGGTTTCTTTCTTTCTTTTGTCTCTCCACCTGTCATGACGTCCCAAATTTTTAGTGAAGCTCTTCCGATGGGAGCTCCTTTAAACGAGATGCTTAAATCGGCTATCCCTAGGCATATCTTGGACGTCGTCTCCGCCGCGTCTCTCGGTGCGTTGGGTATTGCCTACCTGTTCCCAAGATATACATGGAACAAACCCGACCCGTATGAGTATATCTATTACGAAAAACCCCAAAGCGGCGAGCACGCAGGAGGCGCAAACAAGGTCACTCGCAATATTGCCAAGTATCTTGAAGAAACTGTACGTCAATCATATATCAGCCCTACCACCAAACCAAAATGTCTCTTGTGATGCTGAAAGAATTTCTTTTTATTATTACAGGAGAAAGACGTCGTCATCTTCTGGGGCTCTCAGTCAGGCACGGCAGAAGCCTTTTCTGGGAGACTAGCCCGTGAGTTGCAGAAGCTCTACGCACTCGGCTGCATCGCCGCCGACCTGTCAGATTTTGACCCCGAATCCATCGCCGACATCCCCCAGAACCGCGTCGCGATCTTCCTCCTCTCCACATACGGCGAGGGAGACCCCAGTGACAACGCCGCTCAGTTCTGGAACTGGTGCCTCAAGAACAACCAGGCGCCACTCTTGTCGCTGCGCTACGCCGCCTTTGGGCTGGGCAACAGCAACTACCGCTTTTACAATGAGGTTGTTAACCGAGTTGTGGCGGCTCTGCAGGTCTTCGGCGCCCAGCCCCTGATGGAGACGGGATACGCAGATGATGCCCACGGCAGCACCGAGGAGGATTTCACCGGGTGGAAGGACAAACTATTCAACTGCCTGCAGGAGAGACTTGGACTCACAAAGCGCGAGGTCGGCTATGAAGCCACCATTGCCGCCGTCTTTGATGAGTCGCTGGACATTGTCGACCTCCACGTAGGGGAGCCTCAGGAAAACACTCCCACCAGCAAGGGCCTTCTCTCCCCCACACGAGCTGTCCAGGTCAAGAGTTGTGAGCAGCTATTTCTTTCTGGCAGCCGAAACTGCCTGCACATGGACCTGGACCTCGTGGCTCATCCAGAGCTAGTCTACAAGACTGGCGATCACCTGGGCATCTCCCCCATTAACCCCGAGCAAGAGGTCCATGGCATGCTCCGTGCCCTGGGCAGGGAGGCACAGGCCAAGACGCCTCTAATCATCAACGCTCTCGAGAGCGGCACCAAGGTGGCCCTCCCCTCTCCCACCACCCTTCATGCCCTCCTCAAATACTACTTGGAGATCTGCTCCGCGGTTCCCCGCGAGACAGTGCGCGCTCTTATCGAGTTCGCCCCGACGCCAGAGGCCAAGAAGTTCCTTACCGAGCTCAGTGACGACCACGAAACCTTTGCCAAGTTCCAGGAGACGATCCACCTCACATTTTCCAAGTTGCTGGTCCTGGCTACCGGAGGCGGCAAGGCCACTTGGTCTAGCCTACCTTTGGAGTTTATTCTCGAGACCATTCCACGCTGTCGCGTCCGTTACTACTCCATCGCTTCGTCCAGCGTCCTGTCCCCCAGGACCGCCTCCATCACTGCCCTAGTTAACAACACCGTCCTATCGGAAACGGAATCTATCCCAGGTGTCACTACCAACTACCTCCTCGCCATTTCCCAGTCCGTGGGCAAGGACGCTCTCCAAGGCTCTCGCAGGGCCAACTTGGACTTTGACGTTTCTGGGCCCTCTGGCGCTCTCGAGGGTGCCAAGATTTTTGCCCATCTCCGTCGCTCGACTTTTAAACTGCCCATTTCGGTCCAGACACCCTTCATCATGGCCGCCGCCGGTACCGGCATCGCCCCATTCCGCGCTTTCATCAGTGAGCGCAGTCGCCTACAGTCAATGGGCCGGGACGTCGGCCACATGATGCTATTCTTTGGCTGCCGCAGTCCAGAGGAGGACTACATCTACCGCGAGGAGCTCGAGGAGATGGAGCGGTCGCTCAGGGGTAAGCTGCGCATCATTCCCGTGTACTCGCGCGCCCGAGATACACCCAGGGCCTACGTCCAGGACAAGATCCGGGAGCTGACGACTGACGTACTCGGCTTGCTCGAGCAGGATGCCGTGTTCTACATTTGTGGAAAGACGACCATGGCCAAGGACATTAGCAAGGTTGTCGCGGACTTGTTGGAGGAGGGACAAGGTGCCGGCAAGGGCGACGAGTTGATTAGGAAGATGAAGAAGACCAACAAATGGCAAGAAGATACATGGGGTTGAACAATTAGATTTTAATCCAAGAGTCGCTTTTGATTGACATATGATGGTTATTTCCAACAGCCTTTTAGATATTCTTGCCTGCTTCTGTTATCAGCGGGATTTTGTTCTTTTGTTTCTTATAACTGTATGAATAACGAAAATGGGAAAACAAAAACACCAAATTTAAAAGTAAACTTTCAGCAGAGGAAAACTTACACTGCTACTGTTGACCATCCATAGCGATCTTGGGTGGCTGCCAGAATTTCAACAAAGGACGCTCGCTCCCGAGCATCAATAAACTTATCACCAGCTAATGCGATGGCTATGGAAGCGCTTCTGTTGTGTTTAAGTGCCCGTCAGCCAGAGTTGATAGTCTCGGAGGAAGTCTATTAAAGAAAAAAGCTTACAAGTACAGCGGATTTACAGCGGATTGTGACACTGCAATTCCGCAGATGATGCGTACGTCACTACGCACTTGATCCTGTTTACATTCGAGTTAGACCTCGAAGTATGACAAAAAACACAATGCCCTCTGCGATTCAACACTCACGTCTCTGCATCTAGCAGCATCTCGTTTTGCCGGCCCCAACCGGGGCATCCGGGGGTTGTGCAAAATGAGCAGAATCCTCGCAATCAAGTAGTACTGCGACGCCACCGCGGCAAAGTGGTTGAGGAATAATGTCTCTGGAAAAGTCTGCCCATCCACGGCATGCTGAAAGAAGATGGGCTGGAACGTGGCGGGCCGCTGCTGCACCCACGACGCAAAGTCATCAACGAGTTTATCGTACGAGGCCGAGCTCTTGCCATCGCCGAAACAATGCTGCACTGCGCTAATCAGCTGGAGGAGCATCCGGTTCGTCCATTCTTCGTCTTCGTTAGTGCTGCGGAGGATAAGCAAGGACGCTTCGTCTATATCTAGACAAGCGTCTTCGTGATTCATCATAGTGATGAATACCTCTTGCCGGAGGCTGGCCCAGATCAACCGGTGGACGAAGACACCCTCCTCTTCAGGATACAGGGCCAAGTGTTCCGTGGCGTCTCGTATTGGCTTCATGCGGTCAAACGACGTTGACGCTGTAGCTAACCCTGTTCCCTGCGTTAATGGATGCCGTCAAGTGTGCACAACAAGTTTAGGGGGCTTAGGGGGACGAAGTGAGCCCTACCGCGTAGATTATCGAGAATACGGTAGAGAAACGCCGCGATGAGTTTGTCTGCTCCGTCGAAAAGATGGCCGTTCATGTCCGGGCTCACATGAAAGGGAATAGTTACACCCAGATCCCGTATCTCACCGAGCTGCATGACGGGGGACAAGAGCTGAGAGTTTATGAGTGCGCGTTCAACAATCTCGGTAGCCAGGGTTGCATATTGATCGCAAGGGTCAATGACAGGACCGACCAGTTCAAGAAAAGAGTCCAATTTCTGAAGGCTCACGACATCTGTATTTTCAAGCTCACCCAAGTCGTCTAGATAGCCGGGATGGGTTATAGGGGCGATGAAATCAGGGGATGGTCGACTGTCAGTGGTAGGAGGGGAAAGGCCAGAGAAGGAGGGGGACAATCGGAGACTGTTAAACGAGTCCACCTTCACATCGGGGTGGGCACTTGTATCTGATTCTGGGGGATTGGGAATGTCTGCGACCTTATTGATTACGGCATCTGGTACGATAATGTTGGCATAACTAGCTGCAAGGGATCTGTTGGCTAGAGAGGATCTCGTGGTCGTACCCGACTCGTGGGAAGGATATGATAGCCCGGGGCTCGGTGACTCTGCAACTTTGTCGTCCAACTGATCGCCATCATAGTAACTGCAAATCGTCTCCAGTGTCTGGTCGATAATGTCTAGATTTCTGCCCGAAGTTTTGAACCACGGCTGGTGTGCGGGAAACTCTGACTGTGATTGTCTGTTGGGGAGGGACACATTAGTCCTTTACCACCTGGAGTCAAGTGCGATCAGACATGATGATATGATGTGATACCTACCCAAGACCGGAGACCGGGCGGAAACGAGTTCGGGATACTCTGGTGCACTCCAAGCCTCGCTTCCTACAGCGTACGCAGGGTAGCTCACCTTCACCTATAGCAGCCAAATCAACAAAGGGGAACTGGTTCAGTGCGGCTAGTAGGAAGATTGGGGCGGTTGCTCACATTTGACATGCCTGAGGACACACGAGGTGACATTGTATGTCAGTTGTAAGCCCATGCCGCCGTCAAGGCAGACTAGATGAAGGGAAACCATACCTTGCCCTGCATCTCTGTGTCGACGACGTCAGCCCCTTTTCCAATAAAGGTTTTCAAGAAGATCAGGGTGACAATACTCACCTCGCACCCTTCCTTTTTTGGCTTGTTTGCGGACATGATTGGACGTTCTTGAACGGAACAGGTATTACAATCTTGAGCCTGAAGCATTGAATCCAGGCGGCCAGGGTGACCCACGGGCAGGTTTCAGATGCCTATGTTACCTCCCTCGGGCACGATGAGAAATATTTCCCGCATATCCAGGGAGTAGTAAATGTTTATAGGGAGAAACAAGGCCCAGAATTAGGGGGGTCTAGTAACTCTGGGGATTAGTCTGGGCCACCGGGGCACTGATGCGGGGACTGGTGCGGGGGGTTTGGCGGTTTCTGTATGAGGGAACAAACGCCCGACCCCTACCGAAGCCTCTCAATACCACGATCAAGATGGATGGGTACGTATATCGGTGCAATCCAGTTAGGTTTTAGCTCTTCCACCCTTTATACCCCTAATGGCTGAGTACTTTGGCTCGTAACCCGCACAGGTAACGCCTGAGACAGGCTGGCAGTCTCTGCCTTCTTGGCGTAGCCCTGTTGCCCACCTGGTTCCCGCCATCTTGTTTTCCTTTTCCTTGTCCATGTCCAGTGCTGAATACCAGCTCGTAGTTGCAATCAGAATGTCTTCGGTTCACTCCCTCTTCAGTAACCATCCGTCAAGGGACCGAGCAGTATCTTCCACTTCATCTCGCCCATCTGCCTATCGGAGCAGCCCTGGAGATGCATCCATAAATCAGGATGCTCTGGAGAAAAAGTGCTAATAAACATACCATATTGTTCAGACTTTATCTTCACATTTTCGCTGACCTGCCCGGCTCCATCTAGTCTCCTTCGTTCTAAAATACCACCACCAGTAGTCTCGTCCGACCATATCTGCTCCTTTCACAATCGCAGAGAAGTCATGTTCGTTCTGCACTTTGTGCAGAACCTGGCCCCATTGGCAAGCATGAATCATTAATCTCTTTAACTCTGAAACAAACAGTACCTAATGGCTTCTCTTCTTATAGATCGACATATGTGACCCGGCACGTCATTTCGGGACCGAGGTCCCCAAAAAGGCCATTCATAGCCCTCTTTTGTCCTTTTCTATACTCTCTTTTGCTTCCCGGGACTGGGCGCTCGTCAACGCAAGCGAGGATGAATGGAGCACCGAGTATTGCAGTCGTGCTCTGCAGCTCCTGATTCCCGCCCTCGACGGGCCTATTGAATCTCTCGACGAAAACGTATTTGCCGCGATTGTACTACTGCGCCTCTATGAGGAGATGAGCGGTAAGCCACTCTAGCCGTATACCAAGGAAAAGGTGCTGGTACCGAAACCCGTATCGGATGACCTAACAATTGAGCCCCCAAAGATGCAGATTCGGGCACCCATCTATTGGGAAGTACACGATTGCTCAACTCGGCATCAAGCTTCGCCTGCCGCGGAGGGCTCGGCGAAGCTGCAAGCTGGATTGTTCTAAGACAACACATTTACCTATCCATCACGAGGTATCAGCCTATCCGCATCGACCTCGACCACTACCTCCGCTCCTCCTCCTTCCACGACTCCAGCCCGGAATTTCTAACGAACCGCATGGTCCTTTTGTGCGGCCGGGCCTTGAGTCCTTCACACAACACCCAAGGGCGATTTGACACCGAGGGCTGGGAGAAACTGCGCAGTGAGGTCATGAAATGGTATGAGTCGGTTTCGTGGCCGCTCAAGCCCAATGTCGCGCCGTGCTTTGTGGGAGGTGATACGCAGAGTCTGAAAAGTTTCTGGGTTACGAAACCTGTTCATGGTACCCCCGGGCCCTTCTGGTTGAGTTCGAAAGACGAAGCTTTTTTAAACTAACGAGTGAGTACCCGTGGACACAGTCATTGCATATCAACACTTTTATTTCGCCATGTTGCTACTGGCCCTGTACGAACCGCGAAACTGGGTTCCCGGTACCGAGGCTCTTCTGCACAGACCTAGAGTTGAGGTATGTCGTCCCAGAGTTCTCAGTGTCAGCAGTTGACCCCTCTTCTCTTCTAGGAAGCGATTCAAAACAACTTGATGATGATTGTAAGCTTGGCAATCAGTAACCCCAAAGTGATTGTAGCCAGTCTCACAGCCCATCATATTCTTTTCATTTGTGAGTCCCTCGTTGCTCGTTATAAATCCCCGCTTTGTACATGGAGAGGCGTTAAATTCAAAATGGCGCAGATGGCCAATTTCTCCAGGAGGAGTGGCACAAACGCGCAGTACTAGAATTCTTGAGACCATTGTCCAGGAAATCTGGGTGGCCAACAGGCCAGTTGGTAATGAAACTACAGGAGTTGTGGCCCAGTCTATAGCTTAGGAGCTAAATTGCACATCCTATAATCACACTTGACACAACCTGCAATTATGTCTATTCTAGATGGCCAATCTAGCGGCTCGAATGATCAGATGGAGTCTCCTATTCTCGGTTTTGGGCCTTCTGGAATTATCTTTACTACTCCGCAGCCAAAGGTAGGTACAACAACCTCTCTCAGCAATTGGTAGCTCTATCATTAGCGTCCATATGGTTCGCCGAATGTGCTTGACTTCACAATCAGACATGTCAATTCCAATCGTAATTCGGGACATTTATGCCACGATTCTATCTAGCCGGGTTACGACACGGAATTGACCAAGGCAGCCATAAACGGCGACTTGGATCTTTCTGGAATGGCTTGATTGTTGTATGGAGCTTACAGCGCGGGCTTTGATTTCCTTATAGTCTGAAAATGGTAAGAAAGCCCGCTAGCTAGGGATCGCCGTCTACTCCAACTTTACAACCTCCGGTCGCGGCTAGTTTGCCGTCGAAGATGGTTTGGCATCTGCCGAAGGAAACTTTTCTGTTTTCTTTATATTTAATATATTCTTCCTCCTCCTCCAGTAGCCGTTGGTTGACCTTTTTCACTTTATCCACGTCTTTCGCTCCGTTGTATTATAACACTCACTCAGCACAATGGCTCCTCCTACCCACTTCACTCTCAACACTGGCGCCCAAATCCCCTCCGTCGGTCTTGGAACTTGGAAATCTGAGCCCGGTGAGGTTCGCAAGGCTGTCGCCTACGCCCTCAAGGATGGTTATCGCCACATTGATGCTGCCCTGTAAGTTTGCGTAGCCCTCGGGGGGAATACTTCGCCTGCCTTGCTGACACTTGCGTAGAATTTATGGTGAGCTACTGTAAACGGACCTCAACCCCGAAGAACTGAACCCTAAAGTCGAAATAGGCAATGAAAACGAGGTCGGTCAGGGTATCAAAGACAGCGGCGTGCCTCGGCAAGACATTTTCATCACCAGCAAGCTCTGGAATACCGACCACCCGAACGCAGCCGCTGGACTCCAGAAGACTCTCGACGCCCTTGGCACCGACTACCTCGACCTCTATGTATGTTACAAGATGATGAGCTTTTCAAAGATAAAGAGGACAGAAAAAGAATGGGAATTGACAGCCTCTCCTAGCTAATCCACTGGCCAGTTCGTCTCGTTCCTGTAAGTTATATCACAACCATTATCAAGGCCTCGATTGATATACTAGCTTAAACCATAGAACGATTCTCACCCTCTGCTCCCTGTCAACCCTGATGGCACCCGCGCTGTCGACCGCTCCTGGGATCAAAATAAGACATGGCACCAGATGGAAGAGCTCTACAAGTCAGGCAAGGTCAAGGCTATTGGTGTAGCCAACTGGTCGATCCCGTATCTTGAGGAACTCAAAAAGGCTTGGACCGTCGTACCTGCTGTTAACCAGGTTGAGCTTCACCCTCTGCTTCCTCAGCATGAGCTCCGCGAATGGTGCACCAAGCATGGAATTCTCCTAGAGGCCTACTCGCCCCTTGGCTCAACCGGCGCTCCTGTTATGTCTGACTCGGTGATCCAGCAGATTGCTCAAAAGAACGGCGTGTCTGCAGCCACCATCCTGATTAGCTATCATGTCAATAAGGGTACTGTTGTACTGCCTAAATCCGTGACTGAGAAGCGCATCACCAGCAATAGGGAGACAATTTCTCTTTCAGCCGAGGATTTAACTGTGTTAGATGATTTGGCTTCCAAGGAGGGCAAGGCAAAGCGGATCAACACTCCTCTCTGGGGTTGGGACCTTGGGTTTTCTGATTGGTATGCTTAGGTTAAGATACAAAAGATTATAATTATCAGTAGAATAAACACATAGAAGAAAAAAGAATATAAACAAGATCTTTGAATAAATGGTACTAATTATTTATTTATTCAATTTATGGTCAGACCAAGAGAAATAAAATAAAGACGAAGAAACCACCTATATAATCCCACAATTGCTTTATGCAGTAACCTGATTAATTATTCCAAGTCGATTAAACCTATATAAGCTCGAGCTAATCAAGCCTCTCCTATTGCAAACAGAGTTCATGTTTAATATTATCTAGTAGTACAGCACCTATGAACGTGTTGCGATGAGTTTTGATAGTAGAATCCTAGTTACAGCTTAGCTTGACTTAGTCATGGCTTAGAATTGCGGATTCATTTCAGGAACTGAAATGATTTCGGCGTATTGCTCTTTCATAATCTTGTTTTCCTGCCTCTAAATTCCGATATCGCTTGGCGTATTGGTAATATTACAAGCGCATTGGTAAGAGATGAAGTCATCCGGAACACGTCGACGGTGATTAATGGTGCGGCCTATCGCGAGGCAACTCGGAAGCCTCGCGAGGCAGAATGCTTGGCACGGCGAATCATCATCCCACGGTGCCGAATCATGTCACGTTGCGTCGATAACCCCTCAAAAATGGGATGGTCATCTTCCGTATCCTCGAATCATACCGAGTCTCGGAGGGCCTAGACGGCATCTAATTGAGACCTCCATTCACTTGGGAGGGCATATAAGGCAAACAAAGATTTCCAAATTGGCAGTGCAATTGGCCAATTGCAAGAGCACGGAAACACTCATCAGACCTCTACTTTATTTTCCCCATCACAATATTAACCCTTGTCGCCTGAGCCATGCAGTGGCAACCACAGTCTCAATCTGGCTGCGTCGTCGTGGTCGATGGTCTTCCAAGATATCTTCCTCAAGTCAAAACAGATATCCACACGACCATTTTTGACATCACGTCAAGGACGCATTTAATTCAACAATTTGTTAATCCTTCCTCAAAAGACCCAATCGATGAGATCAGTTACGTCTTTCCCCTCTATGACGGCGTCTCCGTGATCAGCTTCACTTGCACCGTAGCCGACCGCATCATCAAGGGCGTGGTCAAGGAGCGGCAGCAGGCTAGGCGAGACTATACCCAGGCGAAAGAGGATGGGAGAGTCGCTGGCCTTGTAGAACAATCCTTTCAAGCTTCAGATGTCTTTACTACAACGATCGGCAATGTACCCGCTGGTAGGAAAGTGGTTGTCGAAATTGTCTATATAGGCGAGCTGAAGCACGATGCACAGGCTGACCGAGTGCGCTTGACTATCCCGACTCGTGTGGCCCCACGATATGGATCTTCGGGGTTGAGCACTGGCGGAATACACCCGAAAGAAGAGGGCATATCGATGACAGTCGACGTCGAAATGCCTGAAGGGTCCTTCATCGAGTCGCTTGCGTCACCCTCTCATCCAGTTGTTGTCAGCATTGGCGCCCTGTCCACGGCCGAGGCTTCTTCGGAGCGCTCATTAAACAAGGCATCTGCCGTGCTGCACCAGACAAACTCTACTCTGGACCATGACTTCGTCATTGAAGTCTCGGCTAAGGGGCTAATGGAGCCGACCGCGTTTCTGGAAGTACACCCTACGATTCCCAATCAGCGGGCTCTCATGGCGACTCTGGTGCCAAAGTTCAATATGCCGGTATCAGATCTGCCGGAAATCGTATTCTTGTGCGATCGGAGTGGCAGCATGGAGACAAAAATCAGAAACCTTGTTGTTGCATTAACTACGTTTCTCAAATCCTTGCCAATCGGTATTAAATTCAACATCTACAGTTTTGGTAGTTCATACACCTCTCTATGGCCAAGGTCGAAAGAGTACGACCAAGAAACGCTTGAACAAGCTGTTGCTCACATCAACACCTTCAGGGCCGATTATGGTGGCACTGAGATTTATCCGGCGATGGATGGTGCATTCAAGAATGCCTACAAGGATCTCAATCTTGAAGTTTTCTTGTTGACAGATGGCCAAATATGGAATCAAGAAGCCCTGTTCAAGTTGATCAATGACCAAGCGGCTTCAACTCAAGGCAGGGTCCGAGTTTTCAGTCTCGGCATAGGGCATGGTGCCAGCTCAGCACTGGTCGAAGGTGTGGCGAGAGCAGGAAACGGGTTTGCGCAGATGGTTTCAGACAACGAAAGAATTGACGACAAGGTCGTCAGAATGCTAAGAGGAGCTCTTCTTCCGCATGTAAATGAGTACACACTCGAGATCAAGTATGGGTCATCGAGCAATTCTGTTGAAGACGAGGACGACTTCGAACTCATTGAACGAGTCGTGGATTCGCTTCATCTCGATACAAATTCGGGTAAGGAGACGGGACCAGCAAAGTCTAAGCAACAGCAAACTATCTCTCTTTACGACCCAACTGTGGATATAGGCATCGCCGAAGGTACCCGAGACGCAAAAAGGGCCAAGCATGACCATTTGTTGACCGTTGAGGCACCTCGTTACCTTCAGACTCCTACCCGGATTCCACAACTGTACCCATTCATTAGGACCACTGTCTACGTTCTACTTTCAAATACGACACCCGAGAAAACTCCAAAATCAGTCCTCCTCAAAGGCGCGTTCCAAGACACGATCTTAGAGCTGGAAATACCTATCAAGCAACTTCCAGAAAAGTCAACCACCATTCACCAGCTGGCGGCCCGGAACGAGACCAAGGACCTTGAGGAGGGTCGTGGATGGCTCTACAGCGCAGTTGATAATGATGGAACGTACTTGAGAGATAAATTCGAAAGCAGATTTTCCGAGATGGTTGAGCGTGAAGCAGTCAGGCTAGGGGCACAATTCCAGGTTGCAGGAAAACACTGCTCATTCGTCGCTGTCGAGGAGCTCACCTCCACGGTTTTAGGAACTTCCGATAATCAATTAGACAACACTCAACCCAACCTTTCGAGAGCGATATATCCACATCAAAACGTTGGCCAGGTTCCACAGGCGAACGCTACCTCAGTGGCTGATTACCATTCCCAACTAATGCTGCTCGAGCAACAAAATAAAAAGAGACTCATGATGGCACGGCAAGAGCACGACCTTGCTCCTGGCAATTTGTTTCTCCAGGCCGCTACGCAGTCCGTCCCTTCGTCGAATAATTTCGGAGGCATGGTCGCTCCTATGGCCAGCTTCCCCACTGACACTAGACCTCCCGTGTTTACGCCCTCAGCCTTGCACTCTGGCGATGTGTTGAACGACTTTGATTTTGATTCCTTCCTACATGACGGAAGTGGCAATAGTGAACCTTTTGATTTTAATGCAGGCTTCACCGCCACTGAAGAGACAGTGGGCGAGCTGCCCCAGAGCGTCGCTCAAGCTCCCGCATTCGTGAGCCCGGGCGTTGTGCAGGCTTCTCCGGACATTCAAGGCCTTGATTCTGGAGCTCTCGGTCGCCTCCATAGACTCATCTCGCTGCAGACATTTGCGGGTTCCTGGATTTTGGACAACAACTTGGAAGAAGTCTTAGGTATATCCAGCGATCATTTGCTACGCCTGCATCTACCTGATTCAGTCGTCAACCACGCGCAAAAGGACGAAATTATCGCGACCTCTTGCGTGATTTCTTTCTTGAGTAGGAAATTTAGCGCTGAGAGCGGGTCTTGGGAGATGTTGGTAGAGAAGGCTGACCGTTGGCTGAAGGAGCGCGTTGGGGAGGATGTAACAATCCTCAAAGCGGCTCTTGAATCTTCTCCTATGGTCAGCATGTTCACCTAATATAACCAAACATGTTTTACACTGAATATTAAGCCCCAAAAATGAGTCGACATCCTACTTTTCCAAACACGAGCATGCACGTACCATGATACTACCATCTGTCAAGCTGCGTACAGGCAAGGGGTGTTACGCTCGGTTTGGCTTCAACCAAATCAGCGCCGCAAGGGCTGTAACGGAGTCGGCAAAGGGTAGCCGGAAACAAAAAATTCGTATATGGAGACCTAACTTCAAGATACATGCATTTATATGAGAGGTGTTGTGTAAATACTTGATCCCTCTATCTACCGTCTGTCTCTAGCCTTTTTATAGATGAGTTAGGATAACTCTTGCTCAGTGCATCACAAGTAAGATGTTAACAATGTAAAGAGTGGTTGATAATCCTAGAAGTCCGCGTTGAAGAATCATTTCACATAAGTAACCAGTCTAATTCAACGCTTACCAGGTAACCAAGCCTCTTTGCCAGCGTAAGATAGACTCTGCATTAAATAGACCCCGTAGCAGGGATTCCCAATCTTCTGGTCCTCGTTCTGCATGCCTCAAAAGTGTGTCGATATTTGTCCATCAGCGCTTTGTGCTGGGGATTGTCTTCAAGCCAATGAGCGTCACCGGAAGATGAACTCCAGCTTCTCTCAAAAATGTACAACCCACAATAAGAGGTTTGGCCATAAACAATTACCTCAACTGAAGGCAAGCCTTCAGCCCCAAATACTGTCTCAATAAACTCCCGGAATTCAGGCCTCAGTGTTCCAGGAGTCAGCTTCCGCATGTGATATTTATCGTCAAAAGCGGCCCAGCAGTCTTGGTAATCATAATAGGAGCGACGAATGTGAATCACTTTCAAGGACGACATTTTTCTCAAAGAAGGGAGTAGCTTAAGCTGCAAAATTAAAATCAGTACAAGGTTGACCATAGTTCGAATTAACGTGGAAACTACTTACGAAGTATTTGGGTTCGCATGATAAACCGATGGATTCAAGATTGAGACCTGAGAATTGCTGATCTATCAACTCCTCACTAGGGAGAGATAAGCTTCCAAAATCTTCGCCCATGCCGTATAAACAGGATTTGGTGCTCTTTGGAGTAATTTGACGTTGGTGGTGGACAAAATGCCGCAGGTCTCCTTGATAACGAGCAATATTTTCCCACATCTTCAGTGTTCCAACTGGTGCTAGATGGTTTAGGAAGAGCGCTTCTAGTCTGCTGATGGAGGAAGTTATTTGATTGAGGATGCGCTCTATTGTAGTTGGTTCAATCCAGTCGTCTCGTATCTCAAGTGTCTTCAGTTTCTGATGGGTTTCGAGTTCGCCTAGGGAACGCAGCAGAAATTGATCCCAACCCGGACATGAGTGAAGCCCAAGGGATTGAAGTGACTGGAAATCGATTGCACTCGCCAGTTCTCTCGAAAGGGGCACGTCTGACAAAAACAGATCACGAAGCTCGGGAAACAGGTGTCTAGTGGGGTACTCTTTCAGGCTCGGCGCGTTGAATAATCGGTTAGCGAACTCAACCTCGATGGGTTCATCTTCGCTGACATTGGCGAGGAACTGGACCTCTCGTATTCTAGGTTCGAACCTTTTCCAATCCTCAAAGTGCAGGTGAAGCCTTCTCAAGTGCCCTACGTTTTGCTTGATAGCGATGGAGAGCGTAGCAATAAATACTGCATTTGGAGTCGTCCAATCTATTTGCTCAAGCATACGGAAGCCTGACAAATCTATCATCTGGTTAGGTTCTCTGTTGAAGAACGTTCCAACGTTTCGAAGATAGCAACACGATGCAGTTTCAAGTAACAACCGTCGCAGCGATCTTTGCTTGAGTGCAATAACCCCATGGGTTCCTAAGAGCGAACCAGGTACGCACGTTTTCATGTCCCATCTATATATTGCATCAGTGATAACGGGATCGGTAGCAAAATGAGAATATTTGATGGGATAAAAACCAACCTGAAAATATCGAGTTTGTCGTCGGCAACTGCACTCGCCATTTCTGTTATCCAGTCGTATGGGTATTTCCTCTCCAAGGTGTTATCATTGTCACCGCCACGAGCACCATTTTCTACGGCACTCGCCTCATTCCTAGAGGCGTCATTGCGGTTGTCACCATGTGAACACCTGTCAAATATAGACGATCTCTCAGGAAACACCTCCAGCCGCTTTACGTATTGGTACTTGCCCGGTAGTATTGGAGGCTTAGGAGCCATGACCTTATTGTTTTTTGGGGAAGTGAACTTGATCGCCTTGAAGACATTGCTGATAACGACATGATATAAATGTCTGGAACATTGAGCCAGACTCTTTCCATCGCATTACGCGCGTTAGCACTTCTACCAATATTGGACCCGGGAATTCCACATACCTGATTAAGGATACGAGTACAGATTTCTGCGGGTAGCTGGTCCAACTTGCTAGCCACCATCGCCATAGCAAATGCAATTAAGAAAGAGAGCGGTCAAGTTTAAATTGTTCTAGTCGTAAAGCCCCGTTTGCAGAAGTCGGGTGACCAAGTATTGGACGACACTTTCCAGATAAATTGGCTTGGTAAGACTTGTCTATGTAGAGTTTTGGAATGAATCATGACCTTTGAACAGAGGCTCGGCCTTTTAAAGGGAATGATACCATCTAAATATATATAATTAGAACTATAACGGGTTCATTTCGACTCAATTTTACTGAATCGAATACAAGAAATACTAGGTGAACTACATCTCCTCCGCTTGTCATGAACAAAGAAAGTATTTCGTGCTGGCTTGAAATTACCCTCTAGCCTTTGTCCTTTGCCAGTTGTGTTTACAATCTACTAAGTTCATGAGCTATTCTTAGCAGTCAAGGTGATACACAAGGAACTACACAAAGCAGATGAGTACAGAACAAGTGAAATCTCGGCACTGGTTGGTTCCACATTCTAAGAGATGTAAAGTTCTGGGGCAAACAATCAACGCGGCAACACACCCTGGGAAATTTCAAGACCGATCTAGGTCAGTTTGCTCTCTCGATGAGATTATTGCTATCTGAATTGCTTATATTAGTACAACAACTGGATAGTAAAGCTTTCCTGCCAAGTCCTAGCATTAAAAGAAAGGAATAACAAGTGGCATCTCGGTTCTTTAACCAGTTGACTTGACTCCCAAGCCTTGAAGTTAAAGCCAAGGCAAAATGTGTATAATCCTGCCTTGATATGGGATGACTTCGGGACAGTTGATTCATTAAATTATAGGGGCAGAAGAAAACATTACTACTACTTTTGCATTGCTTCTATATTGACTAGGCCATCCATGGCCTAAAAACACACCCTTACCCTCGAATGAGCCCTTTGATGAACTTGGTCAAGACTTTGTCTACGGTCTACATTCAGATCGCTAGATTGAATATGGTTTTTACATGCTTCATTTGCAAGCTTTTTCAAATTCCTTCAAAATCATCTATAATATGCATTAATACAAGAGAGAAGAGAGAGGGAAGAGCCCAAGTAGCATATGGTAACATACCTCGAAATCATCATCCGCCATTGAACCGAAAATGGCATGCTTGCTCAACTTCGACTTGGTTGCGCGCGGGCTGGAAATTCCAAAAGCCACTCTTGCAAGGAAAAGGGGATCGTCGCGTATTTTTGTGGCCGCCAATACAGCGCGAACTTGCGACTGATCCAGTGTCTTTAGTTTCGTAGTCGGCAGATGCATTGATGTACCAGTGAAACAAGGTGTACAGTGTCCGCAACTCGTCTTTCCGTCTGGCAAGCTCATGCCAAAGTGTTCAGCGATGAAACGCGCGAAACATGTTGGACTCGCAAGAAAGTCGAGGACACCCTGGACCCGGTCGAGAGCTTGCTTCTCACGCTTTTCGAGATCCTCGTAGACTTTTCCAACCAGTTTGTCGATTTCAGTCTCAGTGTGAGGAAGACGGCTCAAGACTTTGTACTTTTGTTCAACACCACCGACAGTAAGTTGAATGACCCCGGAATTGCTAAGGTCATTCAGAAGTCGCACAATGTCATTGCGTGAAGCACCTGTAGCATTGGTAGCTGCTTTTAGATCGATGCCGTAATACTTCTTAGCTTTCTTCGCAAACTGGAGAACTGCCTTCGCCTCCACCGACTTGTTTGCTTTGAGGGCTGACACATAACGCGGAGTTTCTTCAAACTTGTATGTGTTATATTCGGGAGTAATAGCGCGAATCAAATTGAACCTCAGCTCGAGGCTGGCGTAGATGTTTCCTAGAGTGCTCTGGCGAATATCAAATTCGGAACTTTGCGAAGCGTGGCTGACCTTGAACGTGTCTCCCGGCGCAGCGTCGCGTTTATCGTTAAAAATCTCTTCGAGGAGAGATTGGACGGAACGCCTAGACGGCATATCGCCCCGGATAAAGCTTTCCTTAATCTTACAGTCATTCGGGCAGAGATAAAGCATACAGTAACTCTGTTTACCGTCTCGACCGGCACGGCCAACTTGTTGGCAGTATTCTTCAACGGTGTTGGGTAAGTCCCAATGAATTACGTTTCGTAGGTCTAAGGCAGTTAGCGAAACTGCCATTGCTATGCTGAGATGTGAGATCTTTACCCGATTTATCAATGCCCATCCCGAAAGCAATGGTAGCAACGATCTTGAGCGCGTGAGTACAGGTAAAATAGAAGTTCAGGTACAGCCAACTCACTATTCGAACTTTGGAAGCCATGAACTTATCTTGAACGAGCTTCTTCTCGTCTGCTTTTCTCCCCGCATGGAAGTAGTCGGCACTTAGGTTCTTCTGCTGCAGAACTCGTGCCAGGTCCTCAGCTTGCTACAAGTATTGTCAACTCAATGTGGGAACATGCATGGATCAGGCAACAAACCTTTTGCTGTGTGACATAAACGAGAGAGGAACCGGGGTGAGTTTCCAAATATTCAAAGAGAAGCTTCTTCTTTTCGGCCCCTGATGCAAGTGGAGTAGCCTCAAGGCGCAGGCTATGTGGCTACGTAAGAATAACATCCAAGCACTTGATATTTGGTATTTATGGCGGCTAACTTACTTCGGGCGGTAAGGAGAGGTCCGAAATACGCCATCTGCAGAGATATTGAACGCTTTGCAAACATCGTCAGCAACCTTGGGTGTGGCAGTAGCTGTCAAACAGATCACGCGTTCCGCATTGATCTCTTGCACAAACCGGGCAACTAGAAGTTTTTGTTAGTCATCGTTCATCGATGAGTTCATCTCGGCAGCCTAACCTTTCAAATAGTCCGGGCGGAACGAATGTCCCCACTGGATAGAGAAATATCAGTAAGAAGAAAACCATTACAGGGCTGTCTTGCGAAGATAACATACCTCGGAGATGCAGTGAGCCTCATCCACGGCAACGAGACGAACACCCCCTTTGACTCTAGTCATACTCTCGACAAAGCCTTCATTGTTAAGCCTCTCAGGGGCACAATACAATATTCGAAGCGTCCCTTGACGAATTGAGTCATAGATCTGTTTTGTTTCTGACCAATCGTTGCTGGATACCAGTAACTCTGCAGCAATGCCTTTTTTCTTGAGCACGTCGACTTGGTCTTTCATCAAGGCGATCAATGGCGACACGACGATGGTGATCCCTGACTGGCCCGAGGCTCTCTGCTCATTTTGGCGGTCAATCTCCTCGAAGGCAATGGCTGGTATCTACATCTCGGTCAGCTCGTTTCCCACACGCATCTCGTATTTGGTCTATGCTTGCCTGATAGCACAGAGACTTGCCTGCCCCGGTGGGGAAGATAACCAGCGTGTTCTTTCCACACAGGATTCGATTGATAGCTGACTTTTGCTCGTGGCGAAAATCCTTGTATTGAAATTTCTCCACGAGCAGCTTCTGCGCAAGCTGAGCCTTGGCTTCGTCAAAGAGTGGGGGCTGCACTGCTGCATTGGAGCCTGGACGGGGCTTCTTGGTGGGATTTTCCAAGGCTTCCTCACCATTGCCCCTGGCACGCTTTTCGCCAGTCAATTGGAGGATATCATTCTCCGTGACTTGGTCGAAAAGATCGTCGTCGGAAAATTCATCACCAGCGTCCATTTTATCACTACGAGATGTCTCTCAGATGCTCATCGAAGAACAAAAATGATATTTGGTGTGCGGATGGATTTACGATGATGCACCGTGGCTTTGGTCGCTTAGTAGCGCGACATGCCACACGCCATCCACGCGAAATCACGTGCAGGGCTTCCAACACAGATCTCCAGCTCAGCCTAACCTAGAGCTGTCAAGAAGAGATTCAATCCAGCTCTGATCATCATCATCATCATGTAAATCAAGGCTTGGTGCTGAGTTCTATAGATGAGGCAAGAAATATCTTTATGCACAATTGATACTCATTTTTAAAGGGTTCAAATTCATTTTATCGGAACAATGGTCTTAATAATGATCTCACATGTAGTACACAAGGATGCTATCAACCCTTCTCACTGCTACTTACCTACTCATAATATGTATGACATCACCGAATGCAATACCAAAGATAAGCAAGACCAACCAATCAATATACTTCTATAACTGTGATGGAACCCAGTTGGGTTTTTCTTTCTTAGCAAACGCTTCTAAGCCGATTTTTAGATTTTTCCCTTCCAATAAAGCCTTCTTATACCGTTGCTCGATTAGTTGGCTTGACCTTTCAACACTTGCAGTCTCCCAAGAATCTCGAAGTGCTGCTCGAGTGACAATGACTGCATCGGGCGACTGGGAGGCAATTTCTTGAGCGGTTTGAATGGCCTCTTCCAATAGGGAATCCTGGCTGTTGGCCACCCTCAAGAACCCAAAGTGTCTCAACTCCTCGGCTGTCAGTGTCCTTCCCGTGAGTGCAAGGTCCGAGGCCAGCTGCATCCCTAACACCCTAACAAGTCGTGGAAGACCGCCAGCGGCCGCGTAGAGACCTCTCTTCACCTCCGTCAGACCAAAAGTAGCAGTTGGCGAGGCGATGACCAGATCACTAATGTTATAAGCGTCTAACGCAGTGATGCATAGCCGATCATAGTAAGTTCTCACCAATTAAGTGCAATTTCGAATCCACCACCGAGAGCAAATCCATTCACGGCCGCGATAACAGGCTTCTTGCCGACTCGCCGACTTATGCCAAAGAATCCACCCGGTGGCATATAGTGAGGCGAGAGGCTCTTGTCTGAAGTCCTAGATCGGACCTCCATCAAATCGGCCCCGGCTGAAAATGACTTGCGTCCTTTTCCGGTGAGAACGGCGACTGTGAGAGAAGGTTCAGCATCAAACCAGTCCCAAATTGCCTGCCCCTCCCAATGGCCTGCCGTTGGGATTGCATTCATGGCTCTCTCCCTGTTGATTGTGACGAGCATCACAGACGGCAGAGGGAAGCTGAGCTCTGCCATGGTCACGGTGGGGACGGCCGAGGTGAAGGTAGGCATGTCTGTCATGCTAAACGTTGCACGGAAAGAAACAAATTGGACCAGAGAACTTAGCGACGAATAAACGCTGTCTATCTAATAGGGACCTAACAGCTGACCTTGCTCAGGAGCGAGGAGTAGAAGAAGAAGCGGCGTTCAATAAGTCTATTCTTAGTGTGAAGTATCGCAATAAACGCCGCGGCTGCTACATAGACTCCCAAAGAGACGAAATCCATACAACTTAATATTGTGGTCTATGCCGAGGTAAATTCTTGGGAGGTCCGGGGTTTGTTGGGGGGATCTTGTAAGAGAGTCACCCATTGGCTCATCTATGAGGAGAAACCTGGTCGGGACTGATATTCCAAAAGCTTCCCCCGCAATGCAACGATTGGTGCTTGGTGATTGAGGTGCAATATACGCCCCTGTGAATGTCCACGGCACAATTGAAGTTGAGCTTTGTGTAAAATTGCTGAGAGAGGAGTTTATACAGCATGAATCATGCTTAATACTGGTATTTGTGGTCGAGTTTTCTGATTGGTTAGACCCGATCATTTCCACATTCCGCCCTAATGACATTCCGCGCGGAAAAAGCTTCGCGCGGAAAGATTGTCCTTCTTCCAACCGAGATGGAATGCTCGACTAAATTGTTGATTAATCATAGCACACATCCGCACGCACCCTTGAAGCACGACTACTATGCCGAGGCCAAAACCCCAAAGCTGCTGGACTTGCCGGCTACGCCACAAGAAGTGCGATGAAACACAGCCAGCTTGTGGGCAGTGTGCCGCCTTGGAAATCTCCTGCATCTACTCACAGGCTAAGCCAAGATGGATGGACAGCGGGCCGCTAAAAACCCAGATGATCCGGGAGATTAAGAATCAAGTTAAGACCAGGGCTCGTCGGCGTCGATTCCATGGTGCTATCCAAGAGATCGAGCAGAAACTCCAGGCTGACTCGGCTGGTAGCGAGATACTCTCCATCCGAATAGATCAATCTAATGAAGAAGAGCCAGTCGACGAAGATGGGATACAAGATGCCCCGCAAATCCTTTCGAACCATGTCCCACCATTCAATAAGGGGGACGATTCTTATCTCCAATACATCATGATATACATGGACCATATCTTCCCTATACTCTTCCCATTCCATCGACCAACTGTCCTGGAGGGTGGGCGCTCTTGGATGCTGTCCACGTTTCTCAACCAAGAGACGATGCGTTGCACCATCCGAGCCCTAACAGCACATTTCTTAGCCATCGTCCCTTGCCAACCATCGCCCGTACCACTAAACTGTGCCTCGGCGGCGCATGAGGACGGTCGAGAGCAAACGACATCAGCAATCAGGCAACTACAAGAAGACCTCGGTGTCCTGATCGAGAGGGGTCCAATGAATACGCCAAGTGATGTATTGCGAGAAATCAAGGTGTTGAACGGAGTTGTGCACATGCTAAATGCCGAGAAGATCTTGTCAGCAGAGACATGGCACCATCACTTAGACCCAGCTATTGTACAGTCAGGCAGCATCCTACAATCATCTCTTGCGCATGGAACGTCTTCCTGGGTGGAAGTCCTCAATACACTGCGTACGTGTGCGTCAGAGTCGATGTATCCAATCTGGAGCGCAGATCAGGCTGCGTTTCGCTTTTCCGTCGGCTCGCTCTTGGTAGATGACATATTAGCAAGTGTGTCTCTCGAAACTCCTCCGAAGCTGGAGCCATATTGGTCCGACATTCTTGGAGACAATCCCTCTGCCCAGAATCCGGTTCATCTCAATCTGGAGGATCTGATTGGCTGCCAGAACTGGGCAATGCAAGGAATAGGCAAGGTATCAACACTGGCTGCCTGGAAGAAAGATATGGTCCGGGACGGGATGCTACAGAGGTCCGAGATTAAGCTCCGAGGATCCATCATCGAAAATTGGATACGGGAGAGACTGGTGGTTTTCATGGAGACCACATCAGGGAACGAACCTGATGCCTCAGACTTCTCTATTGACACGTTTACAAACCGGGAAATCCGCAAGTGTTCTCCCACAATCACACTAATCTGGGCACATACGGCCTTAATTTTTCTCCAAACTGTGGTTTCAGGATGGTCGCCGTCAGATTATCAAGTACGCGAATCCATTGCAAAACTTTTCAATTTGTTCAGCGAATTATCCGACGCTCCCACGGTGTTGCACACGCTCGCATTCCCTTTGGCTATCACTGGCTGTCTATCAACAGAACCTTATGAGCGTCGATTCCAGATTATAACCAAGAGAATGGGTGCCTTGGCGAACCTCGGAGCAATGAGATCTACAGTAAAAATTGTAGAAAATTCATGGAGAGACCGAGATCATGTTGTCGCAGAAGCTCAAACAATGGCTGCGTGCTTGAATAGCTTGGGTTATGCAGTCCTGCTGAGCTAGCTATTCCCGAGAGAAACTGGGGATATCAAGACCGCCGGCTCACTGCAGGCATCTTATGAACCCAGTCTGAAGAACCGCTCTTGTACGCATCAACCAGCCACCGAGCCAAAGCTGCTCGTTTGATCGAGGACGTCCACCCTGCTTGCCCAACATTTCCAACCAAAATTTCTCCGCTCTCCCTGTCTGCCTTCCAGCTAATTTCGTCCGACTCTCCTGGTATCTGTGCGATGCGGAATATAGTCCAATCTAAGTCGTCTGCAGTGTTCTGAAACAGATCCGCCAGCCCAGTCATATTCTGGTATATGGCACTCGCAAACAGCTTCATAAAGACAAGTACCATCGGCTGAAATATTGTCCAAATGTCGTCCTGGTGCTTGATGGACACAGTGCCCATGACGAAGATGCGTTTGACGCCATGAGCGCGCATAGCAGGAAGCACATGCTGGCTGTACAGCTTGGGGTACAGCTCTGGGTCGATTTTGGGATTCTTGATATCCGGTCCGAGGAGCGAGATAACGGCCGAGCATTTTGCCATGGCAGCTGCGAGCTTTTCGTCGTCGCTGATCTCGCCTGTGATGATCTTTCCGAGCCAGTTAGTCCAGGTTGCAAATTAATACCACTCATTTTGGCATACCTCTATCATTTTTCGTTCTCGTATGTCATCTGGAATCTTCGACGTATTTCTGGCATATACGACCGTAGCGCAGTTGTGATGAACCAGCTCTCGGAGGAGGCATATGCCAGCCGGGCCAGTCCCGCCCAGAACGAGTACCTTGCAATGAGCCATTTGAATTTTTATGAGTCAAGTTTGGGCTTTGGTTACAATGACTGTACAGAAACTCTTCCGTTTAATGATAATTTATAGTTGTGTGCAATTAAGAGATTAGGTTCAGACGCTTAGTATTCCCGCCTATAAAGTATCCCGCGCGGGAAAGACTCCCCTCGGAGGAAGCATTTCGCGGTTAAAGATGTGGAGCCTGGGTTTTTTATTACACTGAGATGCAAAAGGGTCTTATCTTAGATATAACGGTGTGGGCTATCCTAACCAAATACTTTATTCAACGTGCATAATACTGAATGGGGAAAGTTTGATGATTCTTGTTCCCAGGTCTGTTACGTAGGTCTGTTAGCATATCGTTAACAGATAATAAGAACTTCAAATCTAAGCATCAGCTGGTGGCTGAGACAACACATTATCACTACGTGGGTCGGGTAATATTCCATCTTCGTTCCTACTATCAGCTAATTCCCCTTTTAGAACAGCCTTTCGTCGAACATTGCTTGTATGAAAAGTCGCTAGTAGGCTACTGCAAGTCAGAGGCTCCGTCGGATGCTACGCGTTCTCATCACAGGTGCATAGTATAGTATACATTTCAAGTATGAGAGCGAGTACCAATGTTGAAAAAGCGAGCCGTTGCCCCTAATGAAATATGATAAGTTACCCCTCTTTAGATCCAATTCTGAGTCAATAGTAAGCAGAGGCTGTGGTACTTGTTCATATTTGGTGGGAGCTGAAACAGAGCCTTATTCCATTCGCTCCTGCTGTGAATAGTGCAATAATATATGGACATCAGCTGCAAGCCATGTTTCATACAAGCCGCAGGCGCTTAGTAGGTGACTTGGCAGTCAGCCGTAGGTCAAAATGCACTTCTCCTCGCCTGAGCACTTGAGTTTCCTTCTGGCCAGTTTTTCTCTTCCGTCCTCAAACTACATTCGACCTAAGCATCAAACTACCATGAACGCGCAACGCTCAATAGAGGACACCAGAGCCTGGCGTGCTCCCGCTCTGAGCAACTTTCCTTTCTTAGCTACGCTTTGCCTTGCAGGGGCTCTAATGGGCATGACTTCAGCCTTTGCCGTACTCTATTATGCAAATGATAGTCGGGTCGACAAATGGCCTATAGCACCGACAGTCTTCCTGTCCATTATTGCCGCCCTGACCAACCGTATGATCAGCGCCGCCTTTCGTTACGCCTCAGATATCCACTGGTGGTCCAGGCTTATCGAAGGTGTTACGATCCAGGAACTGCATACCCTCTGGGATCTAGCTTATAACCTACTCTCTCTCCTAACCAGCTTCCCTGAGAAACGGATACATCCTGTTGTTCGCTTCGGTGCAATATTTCTTTCTCTTACGGCAGTCAACGGACCCTTGCTCCAACGAGCCATCACAGTTGAGGTCGAGAATCGCATGTCGGTGCGTTCTGAGACACTTCCAATTCGACAGCAGCCCATGTGGAATCTAACGACAAAAGTTACGGGAAATAACGGCCATGTCTGGACGGTACCGCCGTACCAAGATGAAATCGCCGAGATTGCGCTTGAACTTAGTCAACGTCAACCGATGAGACTTCAGTCATCAGTGTGCAGTGCTAACTCGACCTGCTCAACGAATGTGGTCATTGCTGCATTCAACAGGATGTGCGAAGAGTCTACCGCCCGCGTAGCAAACCTTTCTTCCATGGACGTTGCTAAGTACGTCCGAGTGAGAAATGAAATGAGAGACGATATACACTATTGCCCATATACTGGGGGCGCTAGGCTCAATTCCGATAAAATAATGGTTTTGGGAAAGGAGATGAGTTCCTACTGCAACAGTTTTGAAACCGTGTTCCAGCTCTCGGTTCACGATTTGAATCCATCTTTCACTAAAGACAACGCCACCGCGCCCCCATGGGACTTACCTTGGAAGGGTCCTGGAATGGCACCGTCAATAATCCAGTACACAAGTTACATTCGCCAGGAAGCACGGAGCGAGGAGATTCTAACTCGAAACTGCAATTTCTCCACAGCATTTGTGCAGCTGCCCATTGAGATAACCAACGGTAGCGTCGTCACTCTACTATCGAGCAAGGTGGCTCGTCTAGATGATATTAGAGGTGAAGAATCAATCCCACACGCGATACGTGGTCTCACCTCACAGCAGAATAATATTTTCCTAGGGGGAATAATCCAAATTTTGAAGGACCAGTACGATGGCTATATAATGGATGACACCAATGAGTATTCACATGTCATGCAAGGCTCTAGCCCTCGGCAGTATGTGAATCAGAGCAGTATTGAGGCCCGCAACCCCGGTTATGATGGCCCAGAGAAATCCTATTTATTCTCAATGCTGGACCCCTTGGAGGATTTCACGAGGACAATAAACGAGATATCATTGCGATATGCACTGAAGTCGCTCCCTGATGATGTGTCACGCACACAGGAGCTGACCGACTATGTCCAATTTCAAACAAAATCTGATCTACGTGAAGATAATCGCCCAAACGCAATACCGTTGATGGAAACCAAGTTTTCGAAAACGGCAGTCGTTGAATTACAAGAAAACCAGACGGTTGCTGTGTACCGGTCCCAGTATGTTTTTACGGCCGTGGCAATGGGTCTAATTGCCATCTCCTCCGCGTTTATCATGATGCTTCTACACGGCTGGCGTCACCTCGGCCGTCAGACCAGTCTGGCACCACTGGAGATTGCCAAGGCCTTCGACGCGCCGCTTTTATCAGATGTTCCAAGCAACTCGACAGGCAACGAGGTGGCCGCCGGGCGATTGAGAAACCTGACAGTGAAGTATGGTGAGGTCTACCCGTCTTCCAAGACACAAACCGAAAGGGGGAGTTTGTTGGAATCGCAAGAGACGTTTATCCTCCCGGGGCCGGATGGAGAAAGTCACATGAACCTTCTGGAGTCTTCTTCAGCAATTGAATTAACAGAGCAGAGAGGGGACATGCACAGAAGGATCCAGGGGCCGAAGTTGGCAGTCGAGGTTGCTGACTTAGTGGCCAACCCTCAGAGCGGAACCAAGTATCATTGACTTACTTGGGCATAGCCTAGCCAGCATATTGGGCAATCGATAGGTTTCTTTTGTTAATTACTGACTTCGAGCACAACTAGTATAGGCTACTAGGAGGATAAGGATGCCTAAATTGTCGATTTTTATCTGCCTGGCTTTCTTACAGGAGAAGGTTATTCTAATGCTCTGACTACAAGTGACGCGCAACTAACGGGCCAGAAAGTGAGATAATGCTTCTCGATTCTTACCATTGGCGATTGTCGTCACCGGCCTCCATACTCTGGCTCTTGATATAAATTGGAAGCTATTATCGAGTTATATCCTTGGTCTCGATGGCTAGAGCGTTTAAATCGAAACATTCATAAATAAATACCGCACCTCGAATCAAAAGGGCTTTATATATAACAGGCAATGTGCATCTGGAATGTGTTGTCAGAATTTATTTTGAAAGTCAGTAATACAACCATACTTTCAAAATTAACAAGTACATAAAATACATAATGAATTAGAATAGCTAGAGTTTCTGTTCTGCTACGCCTTTGAGATGTTCGAGATAACGCTAAGATGCCATGAAAAGCAGCGTGCAGGCAATGACAAGCAATGGCCAGTGGCCTGGAACAGATACCAATGAGCTCGCACTCTCTGGAGCGCAGCTAAAATTTCCTGGGAGCCTATCTTTCATTTCCGTAAACACGCCACAGTCGAGAAGACCATGAGCTGAAACGACTCTAAAGCGTTGGGTTATTCTTGTGGTTCCTTTAATTAGAGGTTTGCTAAGAAGAAAATCAGCGATATAGGCCTTCAGCATGGTACATATTTTACACTTACAAAAAGTTGGTTGACACATCCCCCAAAAAGAAGAAGCTGGACATGGTTTGATTGGGCCAGTACCACGTCTGTCTTCCTTCTGCATTGACCGGAGACTCAAAACGGAGCTTACGCACCAGCGCAATTGAGATGCTCACATCGTTCCACTGCTCAGCTTCTTTCGGGAGTTCCAGGGAGGTCATATTATCTCCCCGAATAGTAACATTAGAGACCTGGTCAAATGGAAGTCGCAGATCCGTAATCATATCATTCATCGACTTAAAACTCCCAATCGAGAGGTTGGTTGTCTTGGATCCTCGCTCAATTCCAATAATGCCTTCTCTAGTCTCCAGCTCGTTGATATAGACTGTTTCTGAATCAGGGCCGCCAAGAATAAGGGTAATGTTGGGAGGGGGGCTCCAATATCGATACTTCAACTGGCCACTGATTTGCGCACTGAATATATTCTTCCAGCCCAAAGTGAGTTGTTTAACGTTGGGTATGTTTTCAATTGTGATGTTCGGCAATTGTGCTTCATTTGTGGGTGCAATAGGGCCTTTGAAAAGTCCGTCAAGACTTTCAACACTGCCCCCGTCGTATATGGTTATCCAACCGGCATAGTTTCTGGTAAACCCTTTCAGCTCGTCGATTTTGAACTCTTGTAGCTTCGGGGCCTCTAGCCACAGGTAACGAAAGTACTCCAGATTTGTGAAGTCAATATGGGTGAGATGTGCCATCGAGACAAAGGAAACTGCCTCGGAAATATTTCCAACATTCGGCAGAATTAACCTCTCAAGTCCAATGGGCCCTATTAGTCTGAAATTTCCATCAATAAGCTTCAAGGTAGAGCTGCTGATATTGAACAGTGTAAGGACTTGGCCGTCGCGGCGGGGGTTGTGCTTCCAGTCACCCCGAACTTCCTCAACGCCATCTAGATTGATGTTCTCGCTAATATTACTTCCAAATATCAAGTCGCCGCCAACTATCTTGCAGTTTTCTCGCAAGTCCTTAGCGTCGCTTTCTTTGGTGATGTTAAAATTTCCATTGCAATCAATGGCAAGGGCATAGGCTGGAATACCCGTCAGCCCTGTAGATCTGTATCAGATTCTATGCTTGTTAAACTCACTTGTAACAGATATGAGTATCCATAATGATTGGAGAAGGCCAGTCATGGTATATCAGACAATGCGCAGCTGTGGCGGCGGTACATGAAAACAGACTTTGCCCGAGGATATGCGAAGAGGGGTTTGTTAATGGGAGAAAAAAAGAAGGATGGCCTGACTTTTACCTGTCAGCTGAAGTCTTGGCAATAACATTACAATAACAATCTCACAGTTGCTCCTTGCGGTTACGAAAGCGCGACCCATGTCGTCAACTCTGTTGACCCTGAAATGAACTATTCCTTTCGTTTGTGCCTCGCTTGCTCCGATTCGGCTATGCAAGCAAGGCGTGTTTGCTTTATATGAGCCCACAAGTGTGCTTTGATTGTATGACGACTATCATGCCATCCCGAACTTTAGAACGGTGGATTCTGGACAGTAATGCGGTCTCATCAATAATACAGACTGCTCCAAATGGGCTTCACCGGCGAACATGAGAATAGCCAACATATCCTATGGACTAAATGTCGGTTATTTCTGGACTCCTCCGCATAATCTTGGTGGGGTTGCTAGCTTTGTACAATAACCGATAAAGCAGTCCCGGATGGCCACAGTTAGGAATAACCAAAAACTATTGACATTTTGGGGCTCAACAGATATTAGGTCGCATTTCTGCTCGGAATGGGAAGAGTGACAACTAAATTCTACACAAGGGGCTCAGAATAGCTAAACCTATCGTGATAAAGGTGGATGATAGATCGCGGTGAGAAGGCATATCAGGAGAATAAGACTTTCGGCGAGATGTTCTATGCAGCACTCTGTCTAATTTAGGATCACCCAATATTCAATTCTAGTAAAATAATAAAGATTAATTTCTTGTTTTTGAAGATATTAAATGTGTTGTGATACTGGGTATAGTATCAAGTTGTTAAATCATTGGTGTTTGGGAATTTCCTTTTTTTTTCAAGCAGCTGCATAGCCCTCTCACTTACTTGAAGTAAGACATGTTTGAAGGCTTTGAACTTTGTATGCCGGAGGAGAGCCGCGCGATTCTTAGGTGATTCTAGAAAGTAGATGAGTGAGCCCAAGAATGCCTGCCTTGGTATAGGGTACAACTCCCTGCACTTTGGGCTTGACATCGGCGGGTATGCCCATTGTGCTGAAAATTGAAGAAAAGTAAAAGGAGGATTGCTACAAACAAGACGCCCGTAGCGGAGGATCCTGTTGGTAGATACATAGTGATTAACTGTCGATGGATCGCGCTATCCCTTCAATGCACGAGAGTAGGGTTTGAATTATGTCACAGATGACCTCATATGAGGAGGTCTAACAGGGCTGTGGTTTTATATGTTGAAGAATAGTGTTTCGTTGTGTAGACGCCCTCGAGAACCTCGTAGTTCTAGGCTTTGTAAACGTTGCAGTGGCCTCTACATATCGCTGGCTCACCGGTGAGAAATGCTGTTGAAGTCATGGAACTACCTGCATCCAAGAGAAATACTAAAATACAATATGAATCACGACATGTAGAAAGAAAAGGGGGTTTACGGAGCAAGGGTATCTATTCTATCGTCTGGTGAAAACCGCAACAGAAGGTTCGTCGTAGATCCATATTCTTGTGGACGGTGAACTTGGGTATCCCCATCCTAATATGCCCTTACGACCCCGGAATTTCTCTTCATTGTCTTCAATTGGGTACGTTCATATATCGTAGTTCGAACTGGGGTTATCCGGCTATTCTCTTTCTCTTCTGGTTTCAAAACCTGCCTAAGCTGGTCAAGCCGTTCCATTTTGGGCAGCTCAGTAACGTTCATGATTAACAATCTCGGCTTCGATCTCGCTGTCGGTTTCGGTACTCTCCAATTGGTCGACCCCGAACTCAGGTCTGCGATCTGAAACAGATCTTGCGGGCAGAGTCGACTAATCAGGAGTAAGGTATTGTACATCTTGTAGCCCTGTAATAAACCGCCTGTAATGGATGGGTAATCCGTCTCACTTTATAGGTCCCCCAAGAAGCAAAGGTCATGGCCCCTGAATTTGCCTCTCGTATAAATCACTTTTAGATGTAGAGTGCGTTGCAAAATTATTGTCAGCAGTACTCAACTGCTGTTTCTACTATATGGGAATATCCAGACCGCAACATGCCAATAGTGCCAATGCATTGTTCAAATGTCTTTTGCTTGGCCATCGGAACTGGAAATGAGACATCTGGCACGTCATTGGTGACGTCCCAGCATCTCGGTAAGGGTATCTTGTACTTGAAACTCTCTAACACCTTGCCAAATAGGAAAGTGCCAACGGCTTCTGATACTCCTGTGTCCAATTTATCCAATGTACCTGGGGTCTATGAAATGAAACCCCAGAGTCCGAGGTGTTGGCTCTGCGTTTCAGATCAGATTCTGATCTTATATTATTCCTATATATTGCGTTCCTTCCGGAGTTGCTGTCCTAATGTTGGACTTTTTGACAAAATATTCCTCGTTTTGACAAATACACACAATTAGAATCCACACATCAGAGTTGCTTATCGTTCGGCATTCATAGAATATTTTTTGCTCTGATCTTCGTCATGACGGGCAAGAGCCTCTTGGCATGGCTCGCCTTTGGCTTCAGTCTTGCCTCTATTGGCGTACACGCCCAGCAGTCCGAGTCTTTCACTGATTCCAAAACAGGAATTACATACCAACAAGTTACCCAGGGCGGCTACACTTTCGGTATCGCCCTCTCTGAAACCTCTTCTACCGATTTCATTGGTCGCCTCAGTGCCCAGACCACAGGATGGGCCGGTGTATCACTCGGCGGGCGCATGAGCGGGAGCGTCATGGTCGTTGCTTGGCCCAACGAAGGCAACATTGTTTCGTCACTACGCAAAGCAACCGGCTACTCAAGCCCTGCTGTTTTCACTGGTACTGGGTCGCTGAAGCCTATACCTGCCGGCAACTCGATTGACGACACGTCATTCACCTATACGTTCCTATGTGAGGGCTGTCTCCAAACTGATGGCAGCACTTTTGCGGCAGATGCTTCGTCGGCCAATATCGGCTATGGTCTCGCGGCCTCGCCAGTCAGCTCGCCCTCGTCACCTTCTTCCGTTCTTGGCTTTCACTCTTCAGGCTTCGGTTTGTTCGGGGTCGATATTACCGCTGCGAGATCATCCAAGTTTGCTGAATGGGCCGCCCAAGCCCAGGACCCCGACTCACCCGGTGATCCCGGCGGCCCTCCTGGAGGTGGGAATGGAACAGTCCCCATCTCAAACTCAACTTACGACTATATCGTCGTGGGCGGCGGCCCTGCTGGTCTCATTGCATCACAACGTCTGACTGAGACTGGCCGCTCGGTTCTACTCATTGAGCGCGGCAAGGCTTCCACCGCGTCAAGCGGAGGCACGCAGTTTGTTCCGTTCAACGATAGTCTCACATATTACGACGTCCCCGGTGTGTTCTACTCTCTGGCTACTGCTACACAAGGAGAGGGATATTGTACAGACACGGCAGCCATTGCTGGATGCATTCTCGGCGGGGGCGGCTCCGTCAACGGTCTTGCATTCATCCACCCTCCCACCTGGGACTTTGATGATTATTGGCCCGAGGGATGGAAATGGTCAGACGTCAAAGCCGCATCCGAAAGGCTTTATTCCAGAAACCCAGGTACAACCTCACCATCCCATGACGGTAAATGGTACGACAATGAGGTTACCGATGTGATGGGCCCCTGGCTCGAGAGCAATGGCTGGAATCGATCTGATAGCATCTTGGATCCCGACGACAAGATTAAATCTTTTGGCCCTCCTTCAATTAACGTGAGTCTGATCCGCCTCCCCCAAAAGGATGATTAATTTAAGCTGAAGTTTCGTCTTGTACCAGGTCGCCAACGGTCTTCGTGCCGGTCCTATCCAAACCTATCTACCGTTAGCCCAGGCAACAGGAAAATTCAAGCTCGAACTTAACATGAAGGTCATCAGAGTGATTCGTACTGGATCAACCATGACTGGCGTCGAAGTGGAGACAGCGAGCGGCCGACTAATCATCAACTTGAACCAAGGTGGCAGCGTTGTCCTCGCCGCCGGTGTCATGTCCACTCCCCGAGTCCTCTTCAACTCAGGCATTGGCCCGGCGGAGCAAATAAACATTGTCAAGTCGGGCTCGGCCAGTGTCACGCTGCCTCCTGAAAGCGAGTGGATCGAGCTTCCTGTCGGCAAAGTAGTCAAAGACCATTCACGTTATCAGATCACTTTCAATGTGACCAACGGCTTGACCACATACAGCCAGGATCAGCTGGTGCACCCTTCAGCAGCAGACGAGGAGCTCTTTAATGCGGGGTCCGGTGTTCTTACTCAGTCCTTCCAACGCCTGGATGCTTGGAGACGAATCACCACAACGGATGGCCACAACATTATGTTCCAATCGTACTGCAACTCTAACGCCAATGACACGGTCACATGTGGTCTCATGATGACTCATGGATTGACTTCAGTAGGCACGCTCGGAATCGATGGTACTGGCACCACGCTATTTACCAAAGAGCCCTGGACAAACACTGATACTGACCTGGAGGCATGGGCCCTCTTTATCAACGAGATTTTAGACATGGCCCGTAAACCTGACAGCCCACTCGTCTTCTCTGGTGGTTCTAATGCCACCGCTGATGCACTTCTTAGCACGCCTGTCCAGCCTGGTATCCATATGGTCGCAAGTGCTAAGATGGGTACCGATGATGGCCGTTCAAATGGCACAGCAGTTGTCGATCTAGACACCAAGGTATATGGAACCGACAATTTATTCGTGGTTGATGCATCATTCCACCCTGACCTTCCTACTGGAAACACTCAGGCTATCGTCATGGTCGCTGCGGAACGTGCGGTGGAGAGGATTATTACGCTTCAAAGCAATAGTTCTTCACAGCGTAAGAGGCATGCTGTCTCTTTTAGCTCTTGAATTAGTATTTGGGCGGTTCTATTAGAGAAATTCGAAATCTGTTTATTTTTCTCTTATACTGAAAGGTACATGGGCTTCCTGGACCCAATGGCAGGAACTTTGAGCTTAGGAATACTAGAAGAAGCCAGACCAATACCAATC